AAAGATTGCCTCATCTCTCTGTATACTAATTGCCTCATCTCTGTACGAATATTCATCGGCTAGAATTCTTTACAGGGATGCAGCCAGAGATGAGAATTGGCGGGAGCCTTAACAAGATCAGCATCGAAGTTGGCGAAGCCATGGAACATCCCATCCAAGTTTTTCATTAGCGCGCCAAGTGTACTTATATATCACTTCTTGCTTCCTTCTTTTCCGAAAAGAGTACGGACTGACTTGTAAAAATGAGTTAAGATGAAGTTGAGCAGGACTTGTAAAAATAAGTTACGAAGTTGACGCTTAATTTTACTCCGGTAACGTTCCATGCTGCGATGTCCTCTCTCGCAAATGCCTCCTTGAACGTGCCCAAAATAGCGTCGAGGCGCCAAGCCGTGAGGTCGTCATAGTCTCCCTGCGCATAAACAAGCCACGCTTTATGCGCTTCCCTTTGCTCGGCACTTGCCTTGTCCCTTAATCTTTGGTAGGTCAGAGGGTCATCAACTTTCTGGAATAGGTAAGTGAGGTCCTCTACTTGCGAAAGATTCCAAATTCGCACTGGGCCGTAGTTAGCCAAGATGACACTCCTCCACGCGTGCGCCGCATGCGGTTGAAGTCTCAGGCGAAGCTCGTCGAGCTCCTGCACATCAAGAAAAGGATAACGCCGCAATCTGTTGAAGATCAATTCATCCAGATCCGATAAACACAAAGATGCATATGCGTAACAGGCTATAGCGATTTGCAAAGCTGTCTTTGACTCGAAGGGCTTGTAGGTTCGAACAGCGTAGGCGATTGAAATAGTTCTTTCTAGGTGTTTGCGATTCTCTTTCAATCCTCGGCCACCGTTCTGCTCGTGCTTATTCTCTTCTGACACATCTTCAGAGCTTGCTTGGTAAGCATAGCGATCCTCTATGAATATTTTCACATCTTCGGCAGACGGATCCGAGGCAATATCGGTCTCGCTGTTCCCCTCCGCTTCCATTGTCATTGCAGCATCTTCAGCTTCCACATCCTCCTCGCCCTCAGAATCTTTTGTCGACTTTGAATTTTCCTCCTGCGGGTGCTCCTTGACAAGAATTACGTTCTCGTGTTGAATCGTGTCTACTGCTGCACCCGGCTGTGCTTCTTGCCGCAGTAACGATGTCAGTTTTTTCGCCAGTAGGCGCTTGAAATCGCGCACGCACATGGTACGAGGCTTGAAGGTACAGAAAAACGGCACAAAACTATGCTCTTCAACATCTTCACCACCGAAACGGCGTGCACCAGCTGTCTCATCGTGGTTGTCATCATCACTTGCGACAGGAGACAGAACATCACCGGTAAGCGCATTCCGGACAACGACATGAATTTTTTTCGGAGATGCCATGTTGTCCATTCACGACGCGCAAAAACGCTGAAGGAGAAGAGAAAGAAAGAACAAGTCAAATCACGTGTCGCTTCATCAGAATCGATCATTCAATGTCTATAATATCAGTGAGTCAATGTATCATCAAACCTGTTAGTTTCTTGTACTTGTAGATGCATTGTAGTATACAAACCATTGCGGGAGGCTCATCTGACTTCATCTTTGGGAGCGTCTCAAAGGGCGCAATTCGCTAAAAAAATTTCCAAAAATTCTTATCATGCTACTTTCCTTTTCAGCAGGTGGGCCTGGAGCTGCAGTGAGTTATCAATACCAAGTCAAATCGCACAAAAAACTCAGCAGCTACACTCGCAACAACACTATAGGAAAATTACGGCGATGGCCTTGACTCTTCAACATCTCAATTTTCCTCGTCTCGTCGTGAATCACTCAACAGAGTCAAATAAAATGGCTTTTGATATAGCCGTCCTTTTACGCCCTCGGACGGCCTTCTGCATCATTTTCCCTCGTGCCACCTAAGCTTTTATGGTACTGCTCATTCAGTATGCTCCTCCGATAGCTCAATGTCGATTATCCGGTACAGTTTGGCGCGACCTTGGAAGAGCTACAGCTACAGCTCTCTGTGACAGACTTAGCTCGATCTCTACAGATTGGAACTGCCTCTTTCCTGCTCAAGGGGAGAACTATAATGCCAGATGATCAAATTGCGGGACTCCTATGGCTATGCTTCTGATATTTTGTTCTGTTTTCCTCTGTTCACAGTGTGATAGAGGTGCCACGGTCAGCAGCAAACTGCGCTGTGGTAGAAGTCAGTGACACAATTTGAGGTGCCCCTTTCGTGTTTTGGTGGGTGTCGAGGCCTCTACCTGAGTAACGTTTTTAGGAGCATGACAAAAGTGGGAGGAAAACAAACGAGCATAAAGTAGGTACACGTACATTTAAATCAGTGCGCATGCTAGAGCAAACATATTATAGGAAAATCAACCTCAAGCTGCTGCCTCTCTATTTTATATATATGAAGACATCAATCAAACGGCCTTGCGACCGCAGCAGCAAGGCGGTGCCGCTGTCTCCAGCCACGAGGGGGGCGGTTCGCGGGAATGTCCTGAAAGCCGTTCCGTCGACTCAGCAATCTCATTATGCGGAGAGGATTTAGAAGCAGAGGCTCGGGACATGAGAGACAGTGCAATGTGGCCTTTTCTGGTTTTCTTCGTGGGATCGCGCGGCCAGAATTCAGGAGGAGAATCGCAAATGCTTTTTTTGCTGCGACCCCACTCAAGAGATTCGAGAAAGGAATCAAAAGTGAAGAGAGACAAGGGTGGAAAATCTTGTGTGCTTTCCTCATTAAGCCAAACCTCGAATGCTTTTGATAGATCCCACGTGTTCAGCGGCTGCGCGAATTCTTCTGCACCATCGAATGCCCTGTGAACTCTTTCCACAGTAGCGACATTCCATTGCCCTAAATTTGGTTCGTTAAAGCGACTAGCTCCGCAGAAGATTTGCGTCAAGTCTGTGACGTTTGCGACATTCCACGCACTTAGGCCCGCTCTTGTCAACCTACTGGCACCGCGAAACATGTGACTCATGTCTCGCACCGAGGAAACGTCCCAGCGACCCAAATCGGGCGCAGCGATGCGGCTAGCGCCGAAGAACATGCAGCTCATATTGATCACACTTGACACGTCCCAGTGTTCGAGCCCGCGACCTTGGAAGCCAGAACCCGCGAACATCCACGCCATGGAGGTGGCCCTCGATACGTCCCAGCAACCAAAATTAGGGCTGTCCAAAATCAATTCATCTTCTAGGTGCCTTTCTCTCGTATTCGGCTGGAATACCTGACAGGGATGCAGCTAGAGATACTTCAGTAAAAACCTTAACAAGATCACCATCGAATTCCTCGACGCGCCTGAACATCGAAGCTAAGTTTTTTACTCCGAAGACGTTCCAAGCACTGATGTCTTCTTTCGCAAATACCGTCCTGTTCGCGTGCAAAATCTCGTTTAATAGGCTCCAGACACGGTCTTGTGGCGGACGAAAAAACCATGCCTTATGCGCTTCCCTTTGCTCGGCATTTGCCATGTTCCATAATCTTTGGTAGCCACGCTGCTCTTGGGCGTGCTCCCAGAGGTAGGCCAGATCCTCCACTTGCGAAAGATTCCAAATTCGCACTGGGCCGTAGTTAGCCAATATGACACTCCTCCACGCGCGTGCCGCATGCGGTTGAAGTCTCCGGCGAAGCTCGTCGAGCTCCTGAAAAAAATGCAATACGTAACGACCCCTCAATTTGTTGATCTCTTTTGGATCCAGCAAAGACGCGACTGCGTGACAGGCGATAGCGATTTTCACCGCTGTTTTGGATTCGAAGGGCTTGTAGGTCCGAACAGCGTAGGCGATCGAAATAATTGCTCCCACGTGTTCTTGTCTAGGATTCTTATGTTGAACTCCTCGGTCCTGGTTAGCTTGCTCTTGCATATTCTCCTCTTCGATCTCCAATCGCAATTCTGCCACATCTTTTTCAGAGCTTGCTTCCTGCTGGTAAGCATAGCGATCGTCTATGAATATTTTCACATCTTCGGCAAACGGATCCGAGACAAAATTATCACTCTCGCCGTTTCCCTCCGCTTCCATTGTCATTGCAGTATCTTCACCTTGCACATGCACATCCTCCTCGCTCTCAGTGTTTTTTGCCGACTTTGAATTTTCCTCCTCCTCAGGGTGATGTTCGTCGAAAAGAATTACGTTCTCGTGATGAATCGTGTCTGCTGGTACACCTGGTTGGGCTTCTTCCCGCAGTCGCGATGTCAGCTTTCTCGCCACTAGGCGCTTGAGATCGCGGACGCACATGGTGCGGGGCTCGAAGCTACAAAAAAACGGCACAAAATCATGTCCTTCAACATCATCACTACCCAACTTTCCTGGACCAGCTACACTTCCGGAGCGGCGTGCGCCAGCTGTCTCATCGTGGTTGTCATCATCGCTTGCGACAGGAGACAGAACATCACCGGTAAGCGCATTCCGGACAACGACATGTATTTTTTTAGGAGATGCCATAATGTCCATTCACGACGCGCAAAAACGCTGAGTGAAGGAGAAGAAAACAGAGGAAAATGTCAAATTCTTGCGTGTCGCTTCATCACATCCCATTCTTATTCAATCCATCAATTTCTATGCCACTGAGGAAATATATCCGATTTTGATCAGTGTACCTGCTAGTTTCGTCTTTTAGACGCACACGCACGGTAAAAATATGCTGCAAACAATAATGAATTGATCTATTTTCATTTACTAAACAGGTATTCGCCATAACAAGCAGGCATTCGTCGCTCAATCACAAGAAATTCCCTGTTGAAAAACGAGTGGGTGTTATGGTTCACGGGTTCATGATCTCGTCACTCTATCTTACCTTTACCACCGGGAGGAACAGGATATTCTTCAAAGCAACAACTAGAACGGACCAGAAAAACTAGACTCTACGAACAAATTTTCATCACCCTTTATCTTTCAAAAGGTGGCGCTGCAGTAGCTATGATCATAGGTTATAATATTGAAGACATTGATGATACCCAGATGGATCAGAAATAACTTCAAGCTCTCCTTCTACTCGATCACAGATAAATCCAAAAACTCTCCTTCTACTCAATACTCGACTTTACACACTCAAAAGAACAAATGGGCCCGGTAGTCATACAGATTCACAGACTCTGGCTGAACAGCTACTCTCTGCGACAAATCCAGGCAACAATGATGGATGTCATCATCATTGCACCTCCTCTAGTGCTCATGCTTTGACAATGTTATCATCCTCAATCCGATGCAGAACTAGAGGTGTCTCTTCGTTATATTAATATACTTAACTGCTCTGTGAACCTATCTGTGGATCGATTCTTGCTATGTGGAGGTGAGGCTGGAGGACAGGACAATCATCTGAGACGTTCTTTCTGAACATTTTTGAGGAAAGACGAAATGTTGGGTTGCTGGAGTCTTGATTCGAGTTAAGTCATGTACTGATGTACTCCAAGTAGGACGTCTGAAACTTTCTAATTGCTTGTTCCAAAGGAGAATGCGCCAGTCTTTACAGACGAACCAAAAGCCTCCTGCTGGTGCATAGAGCCGAAAGCTCCTGCAGTATTAGGAACTACACGACCTCCGCTTGATGTTATGCCCTTTTGATGCACAGTAGTCTCATGAGGCCCTTGATGTGCGAAATTGTTCTGTGACTCTGGTTGTTCGTCTGCGACACAGGCATCGTCCACTTCTGGGAAGTACATTTGGAAAATGTGATAATTTGCTGCCACTGACACGCTTTCCGATGTAAACTCGTCCCTCAGTATCCTCATCCTCTCCACTCCCTCGGTTTCCTGCAAGCGCACGCAGAAAGGACTGGGGTCGTTGTTTGTGAGCGCCACGCCTCGTTCCAGGACGTAATGTGAATTCCTTCGATAGCGGCCATGAGGATGCGCTTGTCCGCTTGCTGGATGGCGGCGCCTGATGCCGTCAAAGAGCCACCTTGAGATATGTCCAACATGTCCACTAGCATCTCCAGGCAGCCACGTTCTAGCATATACTTCAGCTGTGACGAAAGGCCAGAGGCTAAGGCGTTACGGAAGACCCACACGATCTATAGAAACAGATTATGTTGGATACGAAGTAGACAGATGATAGATAATGAAAGGAAACTAATTGATGTGGAGGAGGACAGGAAAAGGATGAGTATATATTTTGAATCACAAACAATTCACAAAGTCGTCACGACCGGGCATAGAAGCACTACAAACTAAACCAAAGCTGCATCCCATAAACGGATGCTGTTGTGCTTGTATCCCATCAGATTTTGTAGTCAAAAACTTAGTACCTCCTCCTTCACATCAAAATCTGGTCTTTTCTTATATATATAGCGTCACCAACGCTGGCAGAACTCCGCTATCTACTGCTTTTTGGATTTGGTTTGAATTTCCTGCTGTAATGTTCGATATCGTCCAGCAAGTCTCTTTCCTAATATGCTTTCTCGCGTGCGAGAGTAACCCAAGCAACTTTGGCAACGCGTCACATTCGAGGATGAGCTGTGTTTTATCAGTACGTAGTTGACGTTGTTCCAATAGGGATGATGACGATGCAAGTGCTGAAGAGAGAGGATGTTGGTTGCAAGTGAACATCTCAATCATTGAGAGAGAAAGAAACTCCAATTCAAAATCAGAACTTCCGATGATGAAGACGTTGATATTGAAGACGTTGACACATTGTACATGCTGTTTCAGATAGGAAGGATCACAAAGTCAGAAATACATCAGTCTGATAATCGTTCCCCACGCACATGTTCCCCACTGGACGCAACACAGGAATGAAAACGAGATAATCGGCATGAGATAGCAGCTCGCAAGCCCGTCTACAAACACCGGCGCTGATCATAGCGTCAATTCGCTCTCCTGCACGGTCACCTGGCATGTATCAATAGAGTTAGAGAGTTGAACTATTATACTTAATCAAAGTAGGAGCTGCACGTCGACGTATAACTTCTCAATGTCTATCCCCTGTGCTATATGCAACTCCTTTAAATTCAACATCATCAACAGATGCAGTCATCGGGTCAGTAGTACCATCGGAAAAGTAGCTCAACGCCCAACACGCGTCGATCAGCACCTCTAGGTCTTGGTGATGCATCATAGCAAAATCACGCCCAAGCTGCAGCCTCTCTATTTTATATGAAGACATCAATCAAACGGCCTTGCGACCGCAGCAGCAAGGCGGTGCCGCTGTCTCCAGCCACGAGGGGGGCGGTTCGCGGGAATGTCCTGAAAGCCTTTCCGTCGACTCAGCAATCTCATTATGCGGAGAGGATTTAGAAGCAGAGGCTCGGGACATGGGAGACACTGCAATGTGGCCTTCTGTGGTTTCCTTCGTGGGATCGCGCGGCCAGAGAGCGCGAGAAAGCTTGCAAACGCCAGTGTCGTGAGAGTAGGTGTGGATGCCACACCAAATGTGAGACATGAATGAATCAAACGTAAGGGACAAGAGAGGAGCGGGAGGACCACGATCGCCTCTTCTACTTCTTGCATCTCGCCAATTGTTGAATACTTTTGATAGATCCCAATCATTAAGCGGCTGCGCGAATTTTGTCGCACCCCAGAACGCACCTTCAACTCTCTCCACAGCAGCGACGTTCCATTTCCCTAAATTTGGTTCGTTGAACGAAGAAGCTCTGGAGAAGATGTAGCTCATATCTGTGACGTTTGCGACATTCCACGCACTTATGCCTCCCCCCCTCATCGCAAAGGCACCATTGAACACGCCCCTCATGCGTCGCACCGAGGACACGTCCCAGCGACCCAAGAACGCATTATGAGCGCAATTGCCAGAAAACATGTAACTCATATCGGTCACACTTGACACGTCCCAGCTTTCCAGCCCGCGACCTCTGTTAGTGGTAGCACTATTGCCTTCTTCAAAACATCCTTCACTTCTTTCCTATCGGGAAACAAGTCAAGCATGATAGTGCAGGATGCAATGTAAAAACCCGTAACTCTGAATCGAGCACATCCCTGGAACATGCTCGCCATTGAGGTGGCTTTCGATACGTCCCAGCCGCACGAATTAGGGCTGCCAAAGATTGCCTCATCTCTCTGTATACTAATTGCCTCATCTCTGTACGAATATTCATCGGCTAGAATTCTTTACAGGGATGCAGCCAGAGATGAGAATTGGCGGGAGCCTTAACAAGATCAGCATCGAAGTTGGCGAAGCCATGGAACATCCCATCCAAGTTTTTCATTAGCGCGCCAAGTGTACTTATATATCACTTCTTGCTTCCTTCTTTTCCGAAAAGAGTACGGACTGACTTGTAAAAATGAGTTAAGATGAAGTTGAGCAGGACTTGTAAAAATAAGTTACGAAGTTGACGCTTAATTTTACTCCGGTAACGTTCCATGCTGCGATGTCCTCTCTCGCAAATGCCTCCTTGAACGTGCCCAAAATAGCGTCGAGGCGCCAAGCCGTGAGGTCGTCATAGTCTCCCTGCGCATAAACAAGCCACGCTTTATGCGCTTCCCTTTGCTCGGCACTTGCCTTGTCCCTTAATCTTTGGTAGGTCAGAGGGTCATCAACTTTCTGGAATAGGTAAGTGAGGTCCTCTACTTGCGAAAGATTCCAAATTCGCACTGGGCCGTAGTTAGCCAAGATGACACTCCTCCACGCGTGCGCCGCATGCGGTTGAAGTCTCAGGCGAAGCTCGTCGAGCTCCTGCACATCAAGAAAAGGATAACGCCGCAATCTGTTGAAGATCAATTCATCCAGATCCGATAAACACAAAGATGCATATGCGTAACAGGCTATAGCGATTTGCAAAGCTGTCTTTGACTCGAAGGGCTTGTAGGTTCGAACAGCGTAGGCGATTGAAATAGTTCTTTCTAGGTGTTTGCGATTCTCTTTCAATCCTCGGCCACCGTTCTGCTCGTGCTTATTCTCTTCTGACACATCTTCAGAGCTTGCTTGGTAAGCATAGCGATCCTCTATGAATATTTTCACATCTTCGGCAGACGGATCCGAGGCAATATCGGTCTCGCTGTTCCCCTCCGCTTCCATTGTCATTGCAGCATCTTCAGCTTCCACATCCTCCTCGCCCTCAGAATCTTTTGTCGACTTTGAATTTTCCTCCTGCGGGTGCTCCTTGACAAGAATTACGTTCTCGTGTTGAATCGTGTCTACTGCTGCACCCGGCTGTGCTTCTTGCCGCAGTAACGATGTCAGTTTTTTCGCCAGTAGGCGCTTGAAATCGCGCACGCACATGGTACGAGGCTTGAAGGTACAGAAAAACGGCACAAAACTATGCTCTTCAACATCTTCACCACCGAAACGGCGTGCACCAGCTGTCTCATCGTGGTTGTCATCATCACTTGCGACAGGAGACAGAACATCACCGGTAAGCGCATTCCGGACAACGACATGAATTTTTTTCGGAGATGCCATGTTGTCCATTCACGACGCGCAAAAACGCTGAAGGAGAAGAGAAAGAAAGAACAAGTCAAATCACGTGTCGCTTCATCAGAATCGATCATTCAATGTCTATAATATCAGTGAGTCAATGTATCATCAAACCTGTTAGTTTCTTGTACTTGTAGATGCATTGTAGTATACAAACCATTGCGGGAGGCTCATCTGACTTCATCTTTGGGAGCGTCTCAAAGGGCGCAATTCGCTAAAAAAATTTCCAAAAATTCTTATCATGCTACTTTCCTTTTCAGCAGGTGGGCCTGGAGCTGCAGTGAGTTATCAATACCAAGTCAAATCGCACAAAAAACTCAGCAGCTACACTCGCAACAACACTATAGGAAAATTACGGCGATGGCCTTGACTCTTCAACATCTCAATTTTCCTCGTCTCGTCGTGAATCACTCAACAGAGTCAAATAAAATGGCTTTTGATATAGCCGTCCTTTTACGCCCTCGGACGGCCTTCTGCATCATTTTCCCTCGTGCCACCTAAGCTTTTATGGTACTGCTCATTCAGTATGCTCCTCCGATAGCTCAATGTCGATTATCCGGTACAGTTTGGCGCGACCTTGGAAGAGCTACAGCTACAGCTCTCTGTGACAGACTTAGCTCGATCTCTACAGATTGGAACTGCCTCTTTCCTGCTCAAGGGGAGAACTATAATGCCAGATGATCAAATTGCGGGACTCCTATGGCTATGCTTCTGATATTTTGTTCTGTTTTCCTCTGTTCACAGTGTGATAGAGGTGCCACGGTCAGCAGCAAACTGCGCTGTGGTAGAAGTCAGTGACACAATTTGAGGTGCCCCTTTCGTGTTTTGGTGGGTGTCGAGGCCTCTACCTGAGTAACGTTTTTAGGAGCATGACAAAAGTGGGAGGAAAACAAACGAGCATAAAGTAGGTACACGTACATTTAAATCAGTGCGCATGCTAGAGCAAACATATTATAGGAAAATCAACCTCAAGCTGCTGCCTCTCTATTTTATATATATGAAGACATCAATCAAACGGCCTTGCGACCGCAGCAGCAAGGCGGTGCCGCTGTCTCCAGCCACGAGGGGGGCGGTTCGCGGGAATGTCCTGAAAGCCTTTCCGTCGACTCAGCAATCTCATTATGCGGAGAGGATTTAGAAGCAGAGGCTCGGGACATGAGAGACAGTGCAATGTGGCCTTTTCTGGTTTTCTTCGTGGGATCGCGCGGCCAGAATTCAGGAGGAGAATCGCAAATGCTTTTTTTGCTGCGACCCCACTCAAGAGATTCGAGAAAGGAATCAAAAGTGAAGAGAGACAAGGGTGGAAAATCTTGTGTGCTTTCCTCATTAAGCCAAACCTCGAATGCTTTTGATAGATCCCACGTGTTCAGCGGCTGCGCGAATTCTTCTGCACCATCGAATGCCCTGTGAACTCTTTCCACAGTAGCGACATTCCATTGCCCTAAATTTGGTTCGTTAAAGCGACTAGCTCCGCAGAAGATTTGCGTCAAGTCTGTGACGTTTGCGACATTCCACGCACTTAGGCCCGCTCTTGTCAACCTACTGGCACCGCGAAACATGTGACTCATGTCTCGCACCGAGGAAACGTCCCAGCGACCCAAATCGGGCGCAGCGATGCGGCTAGCGCCGAAGAACATGCAGCTCATATTGATCACACTTGACACGTCCCAGTGTTCGAGCCCGCGACCTTGGAAGCCAGAACCCGCGAACATCCACGCCATGGAGGTGGCCCTCGATACGTCCCAGCAACCAAAATTAGGGCTGTCCAAAATCAATTCATCTTCTAGGTGCCTTTCTCTCGTATTCGGCTGGAATACCTGACAGGGATGCAGCTAGAGATACTTCAGTAAAAACCTTAACAAGATCACCATCGAATTCCTCGACGCGCCTGAACATCGAAGCTAAGTTTTTTACTCCGAAGACGTTCCAAGCACTGATGTCTTCTTTCGCAAATACCGTCCTGTTCGCGTGCAAAATCTCGTTTAATAGGCTCCAGACACGGTCTTGTGGCGGACGAAAAAACCATGCCTTATGCGCTTCCCTTTGCTCGGCATTTGCCATGTTCCATAATCTTTGGTAGCCACGCTGCTCTTGGGCGTGCTCCCAGAGGTAGGCCAGATCCTCCACTTGCGAAAGATTCCAAATTCGCACTGGGCCGTAGTTAGCCAATATGACACTCCTCCACGCGCGTGCCGCATGCGGTTGAAGTCTCCGGCGAAGCTCGTCGAGCTCCTGAAAAAAATGCAATACGTAACGACCCCTCAATTTGTTGATCTCTTTTGGATCCAGCAAAGACGCGACTGCGTGACAGGCGATAGCGATTTTCACCGCTGTTTTGGATTCGAAGGGCTTGTAGGTCCGAACAGCGTAGGCGATCGAAATAATTGCTCCCACGTGTTCTTGTCTAGGATTCTTATGTTGAACTCCTCGGTCCTGGTTAGCTTGCTCTTGCATATTCTCCTCTTCGATCTCCAATCGCAATTCTGCCACATCTTTTTCAGAGCTTGCTTCCTGCTGGTAAGCATAGCGATCGTCTATGAATATTTTCACATCTTCGGCAAACGGATCCGAGACAAAATTATCACTCTCGCCGTTTCCCTCCGCTTCCATTGTCATTGCAGTATCTTCACCTTGCACATGCACATCCTCCTCGCTCTCAGTGTTTTTTGCCGACTTTGAATTTTCCTCCTCCTCAGGGTGATGTTCGTCGAAAAGAATTACGTTCTCGTGATGAATCGTGTCTGCTGGTACACCTGGTTGGGCTTCTTCCCGCAGTCGCGATGTCAGCTTTCTCGCCACTAGGCGCTTGAGATCGCGGACGCACATGGTGCGGGGCTCGAAGCTACAAAAAAACGGCACAAAATCATGTCCTTCAACATCATCACTACCCAACTTTCCTGGACCAGCTACACTTCCGGAGCGGCGTGCGCCAGCTGTCTCATCGTGGTTGTCATCATCGCTTGCGACAGGAGACAGAACATCACCGGTAAGCGCATTCCGGACAACGACATGTATTTTTTTAGGAGATGCCATAATGTCCATTCACGACGCGCAAAAACGCTGAGTGAAGGAGAAGAAAACAGAGGAAAATGTCAAATTCTTGCGTGTCGCTTCATCACATCCCATTCTTATTCAATCCATCAATTTCTATGCCACTGAGGAAATATATCCGATTTTGATCAGTGTACCTGCTAGTTTCGTCTTTTAGACGCACACGCACGGTAAAAATATGCTGCAAACAATAATGAATTGATCTATTTTCATTTACTAAACAGGTATTCGCCATAACAAGCAGGCATTCGTCGCTCAATCACAAGAAATTCCCTGTTGAAAAACGAGTGGGTGTTATGGTTCACGGGTTCATGATCTCGTCACTCTATCTTACCTTTACCACCGGGAGGAACAGGATATTCTTCAAAGCAACAACTAGAACGGACCAGAAAAACTAGACTCTACGAACAAATTTTCATCACCCTTTATCTTTCAAAAGGTGGCGCTGCAGTAGCTATGATCATAGGTTATAATATTGAAGACATTGATGATACCCAGATGGATCAGAAATAACTTCAAGCTCTCCTTCTACTCGATCACAGATAAATCCAAAAACTCTCCTTCTACTCAATACTCGACTTTACACACTCAAAAGAACAAATGGGCCCGGTAGTCATACAGATTCACAGACTCTGGCTGAACAGCTACTCTCTGCGACAAATCCAGGCAACAATGATGGATGTCATCATCATTGCACCTCCTCTAGTGCTCATGCTTTGACAATGTTATCATCCTCAATCCGATGCAGAACTAGAGGTGTCTCTTCGTTATATTAATATACTTAACTGCTCTGTGAACCTATCTGTGGATCGATTCTTGCTATGTGGAGGTGAGGCTGGAGGACAGGACAATCATATGAGACGTTCTTTCTGAACATTTTTGAGGAAAGACGAAATGTTGGGTTGCTGGAGTCTTGATTTGAGTTAAGTCATGTACTGATGTACTCCAAGTAGGACGTCTGAAACTTTCTAATTGCTTGTTCCAAAGGAGAATGCGCCAGTCTTTACAGACGAACCAAAAGCCTCCTGCTGGTGCATAGAGCCGAAAGCTCCTGCAGTATTAGGAACTACACGACCTCCGCTTGATGTTATGCCCTTTTGATGCACAGTAGTCTCATGAGGCCCTTGATGTGCGAAATTGTTCTGTGACTCTGGTTGTTCGTCTGCGACACAGGCATCGTCCACTTCTGGGAAGTACATTTGGAAAATGTGATAATTTGCTGCCACTGACACGCTTTCCGATGTAAACTCGTCCCTCAGTATCCTCATCCTCTCCACTCCCTCGGTTTCCTGCAAGCGCACGCAGAAAGGACTGGGGTCGTTGTTTGTGAGCGCCACGCCTCGTTCCAGGACGTAATGTGAATTCCTTCGATAGCGGCCATGAGGATGCGCTTGTCCGCTTGCTGGATGGCGGCGCCTGATGCCGTCAAAGAGCCACCTTGAGATATGTCCAACATGTCCACTAGCATCTCCAGGCAGCCACGTTCTAGCATATACTTCAGCTGTGACGAAAGGCCAGAGGCTAAGGCGTTACGGAAGACCCACACGATCTATAGAAACAGATTATGTTGGATACGAAGTAGACAGATGATAGATAATGAAAGGAAACTAATTGATGTGGAGGAGGACAGGAAAAGGATGAGTATATATTTTGAATCACAAACAATTCACAAAGTCGTCACGACCGGGCATAGAAGCACTACAAACTAAACCAAAGCTGCATCCCATAAACGGATGCTGTTGTGCTTGTATCCCATCAGATTTTGTAGTCAAAAACTTAGTACCTCCTCCTTCACATCAAAATCTGGTCTTTTCTTATATATATAGCGTCACCAACGCTGGCAGAACTCCGCTATCTACTGCTTTTTGGATTTGGTTTGAATTTCCTGCTGTAATGTTCGATATCGTCCAGCAAGTCTCTTTCCTAATATGCTTTCTCGCGTGCGAGAGTAACCCAAGCAACTTTGGCAACGCGTCACATTCGAGGATGAGCTGTGTTTTATCAGTACGTAGTTGACGTTGTTCCAATAGGGATGATGACGATGCAAGTGCTGAAGAGAGAGGATGTTGGTTGCAAGTGAACATCTCAATCATTGAGAGAGAAAGAAACTCCAATTCAAAATCAGAACTTCCGATGATGAAGACGTTGATATTGAAGACGTTGACACATTGTACATGCTGTTTCAGATAGGAAGGATCACAAAGTCAGAAATACATCAGTCTGATAATCGTTCCCCACGCACATGTTCCCCACTGGACGCAACACAGGAATGAAAACGAGATAATCGGCATGAGATAGCAGCTCGCAAGCCCGTCTACAAACACCGGCGCTGATCATAGCGTCAATTCGCTCTCCTGCACGGTCACCTGGCATGTATCAATAGAGTTAGAGAGTTGAACTATTATACTTAATCAAAGTAGGAGCTGCACGTCGACGTATAACTTCTCAATGTCTATCCCCTGTGCTATATGCAACTCCTTTAAATTCAACATCATCAACAGATGCAGTCATCGGGTCAGTAGTACCATCGGAAAAGTAGCTCAACGCCCAACACGCGTCGATCAGCACCTCTAGGTCTTGGTGATGCATCATAGCAAAATCACGCCCAAGCTGCAGCCTCTCTATTTTATATGAAGACATCAATCAAACGGCCTTGCGACCGCAGCAGCAAGGCGGTGCCGCTGTCTCCAGCCACGAGGGGGGCGGTTCGCGGGAATGTCCTGAAAGCCTTTCCGTCGACTCAGCAATCTCATTATGCGGAGAGGATTTAGAAGCAGAGGCTCGGGACATGGGAGACACTGCAATGTGGCCTTCTGTGGTTTCCTTCGTGGGATCGCGCGGCCAGAGAGCGCGAGAAAGCTTGCAAACGCCAGTGTCGTGAGAGTAGGTGTGGATGCCACACCAAATGTGAGACATGAATGAATCAAACGTAAGGGACAAGAGAGGAGCGGGAGGACCACGATCGCCTCTTCTACTTCTTGCATCTCGCCAATTGTTGAATACTTTTGATAGATCCCAATCATTAAGCGGCTGCGCGAATTTTGTCGCACCCCAGAACGCACCTTCAACTCTCTCCACAGCAGCGACGTTCCATTTCCCTAAATTTGGTTCGTTGAACGAAGAAGCTCTGGAGAAGATGTAGCTCATATCTGTGACGTTTGCGACATTCCACGCACTTATGCCTCCCCCCCTCATCGCAAAGGCACCATTGAACACGCCCCTCATGCGTCGCACCGAGGACACGTCCCAGCGACCCAAGAACGCATTATGAGCGCAATTGCCAGAAAACATGTAACTCATATCGGTCACACTTGACACGTCCCAGCTTTCCAGCCCGCGACCTCTGTTAGTGGTAGCACTATTGCCTTCTTCAAAACATCCTTCACTTCTTTCCTATCGGGAAACAAGTCAAGCATGATAGTGCAGGATGCAATGTAAAAACCCGTAACTCTGAATCGAGCACATCCCTGGAACATGCTCGCCATTGAGGTGGCTTTCGATACGTCCCAGCCGCACGAATTAGGGCTGCCAAAGATTGCCTCATCTCTCTGTATACTAATTGCCTCATCTCTGCACGAATATTCATCGGCTAGAATTCTTTACAGGGATGCAGCCAGAGATGAGAATTGGCGGGAGCCTTAACAAGATCAGCATCGAAGTTGGCGAAGCCACTGAACATCCCAACAAAGTTTTTCCTTAGCGCGCCGAGTGTACTTATCACCTCTTGCTTCCATTTTCTCAAAATGCTAAAAAAGGGAAACACGAGTGAGAAGGACTGACGTTTCAAAATTTAAGTTAAGAAGTTGCGCCTTAATTTCACTCCGGAAACGTTCCATGCACTTACGTCCGCTCTCGCAAATACCACCTTGCTCATCTCCAAAATACAGTTAAGGCCCCTGGCCAAGAAGTTGCGGTCGTCATAGTCTCCCGGGTAGTCAACAAGCCACGCTTTATGGGCTTTCTTTTGCTCGGCACTTGCAATGAACCTCCATAACCTTCGGTAGCCAAAACTCCATTGGATTTCGGGGCAGACTTCGCGCAGATCCTCCACTTGAGAAAGATTCCAAACTCGCACTGGGCCGTACTTGGCCAATATGACACTCCTCCACGCGCGCGCCGCATGCGGTTGAAGTCTCAGGCGAAGCTCGTCGAGCTCCTCAAAATCAAGATCACCGTATTCAATACTGATACCTCTTAGATCCGACAAAGTCAAAGATGCGAATGCGTGACAGGCTATAGCGACTTGCAAAGCTGCCGTTGACTCGAAGGGCTTGTAGGTTCGAACAGCGTAGGCGATTGAAATAGTTGTTTCTAGGTGTTTGCGATTCTCTCTCATTCCTCGGCCACCGTTCTGCTCGTGCTTATTCTCCTCTGCCACATCTTCAGAGTATAATTGTTCAGCTGCAAAGCGATCCTCTATGAATATTTTCACATCTTCCGCGAACGGATCCGAGACAAAATTATCGCTCTCGCTCTTTCTCTCCGCCTCCATTGTCATTGCAGTATCTTCACCTTGCACACCCTCCTCGCTCTCAGTATCTTTTGCCGACTTTGAATTTTCCTCCTCCTCAGGGTGATGTTCGCCGACAAGAATTACGTTCTCATGATGAATCGTGTCTGCTGGTACACCTGGTTGGGCTTCTTCCCGCAGTCGCGACGTCAGCTTTCTCGCCACTAGGCGCTTGAGATCGCGGACGGACATGGTGCGAGGCTTGGTGCTACAGAAAAACGGTTCAGCATCTTCACCACCCAAATCGTACTGTCCTGGACCAGACACACCTCCAGACGATCTGCGAGCACCCGCTGCCCCGTCGTGCTCGTCGTCATCACTCGCGACGGGAGACAAAGCATCAGCGGTGAGCGCACTCCGGACAACGACGTGAATTCTTTTCGGAGATGCCATGCCCTCATGTGTCTCTGCAGTTGTAGCAACTCTATCTACTGTTCAAGTTCAAGCTCAAGGGCATCACTCATGCCAGATTGCTCGGTGTTTTTTTTTCCATAGGTTTTTTTTTTTTCCATAGGACTACATGCTGCCTCCCATTCAAGTACTTAAATAACCCCATTTAAAAACTTACATACCGGGGGAGCAAGAAAACCGTATCACAACGGCCAAAAACTACGACTATCGGAGAGAACTATATTGCAATAGCCTCTGTAGAACAACTAAGGCACAACCTAAGGTGCAACGGCTTCGCGAGGGGACACACTCATGAGGCAAAAATAAGAGAAAGAACACTGAAGCTGAACGACCAGAGAAAAAATCAGACGAAAAAATCACACGCTAATTGTACTTCTCACGCTCCTCTACTTGTTGGGTGTCGTGTCGTTATCAATCTACACAAGGAATAAACAGCAGGACCAACGACGGAGAAGAATATCTAGCTTCATGACACGCTTTTCTTGTTCAATCAATTTCAATGGATAAAGAAACACTGAAATAAATATTACAATATCAAGCAATTTCAATGGATAAAGAAACACTGAAATAAATATTATAATATCATAGCCCCCTTGGCTCTTTGTCTACTTGCCAGGCTCTCTGTATATTTATACCAATGGACTTGATAGATCATGTGGCTGGGAGCATCCATCTCGAAGGAAACAATTCGCTGAAAGTCAAAGTCTCCACTTTTTATCAGGCTCCACTCTTTATCGGGAATTCGCAACAACAGTACGATGACAAGAAAAGTATGGCAAAGGCCTTGACTCTCTTGCTTGAACGAGAATCACTCAACAGAGTCAGAAATGGCTTTTGACATCGCCGTCGCTTTATACCCTCAGGCGGCCTCCTTCATCATTTTCCCTCACCGATTGCTCCCCTAAGCTTTGATAGTACATATTCACTATCTCTTCTCCGATAGCTCAGTATCTCTTCTCCGATAGATCAACTTTTTTTCTCCATTGATTACAGATTGGCTTGGCATGGTCTGGGTGAAGGTAGTCTCTGTGACAGACTTAGCAGCGAGCGCTCCTCACCAATCGTAAAGATTTTCACTCATGGAAGCTGAATGCCGCCTCTCGAGCGAACACCCAGTTTTTAGAAGTTGAAACTCGATCTCTACAGATCGGAACTACAGATTGGAACTGCCTCTTTCCTGCTCAAGAGGAGAATTATATATAATAACAGATGATCAAATTGCGGGACCCCTATGGCTATGCTTCTGACTTTTTGTTCTGTTTTCTGCTTTTGACAGTCTATTAGAGGTGCCACGGTCAGCAGCAAACTCTGCTGTGATAGAAGTCAGTGAGTCGATTTGAGATGCGCTTTTCGTGTTTTGGTGGGTGTCGAGGCCTCTGCCTGAGTAACGTTTTTAGGAGCATGAAAAAAGTGGGAAGAAAACTACAAACGAGCACAAAAGCACACCTACATCTAAATAAGTGTGCATGTTAGAGCAAACTTATCATAGCAAAATCACGCCCAAGCTGCAGCCCCTCCATCTTAAATATATATAAGGACATCAATCAAGCGGCCTTGCGACCGCAGCAGCAAGGCGGTGCCGCTGTCTCCAGCCACGAGGGAGGCGCTTCGCGGGCGGCAAGTCCTGATAACATTTCCGTCGACTCAACAGTCCATGGAGGAGATTTAGACGCAGAGGCTCGGGACACGGGAGGCACTGCAATGTGACCTTCTGTGGATTTCTTCGTGGGATCGCGCGGCCAGAGAGAGCGAGGAAGTCTGGAAGTGTCGAGCCCCAAATAAACGTCGATAAATGCTGAATGAGAGCGGGTCGGCGTAGCTTTCTTTCCGTCATCTAGCCAATCTCCGAAAAATGCTTTCGATAGATCCCAGTCATTAAGCGGCTGCGCGAATGGTACATCATAGAACGCATCCTGAACTCTCTCCACAGCAGCGACGTTCCATTTCCCTAAATTTGGTTCGTTGAACGAAGAAGCTCCGCAGAAGATGTCCCTCATATCTGTGACGTTTGCGACATTCCACGCACTTATGCCTCCCCCCGTCATCGCAGTGGCATATCTGAACACGCCCCTCATGCTTCGCACCGAGGACACGTCCCAGCGACCCAAGAACGCATCAAGAGCGGAATTGCCAGAAAACATGAAATCCATATCGGTCACACTTGACACGTCCCACCTTTCCAGCCCGCGACCTCTGTTAGTGGTTGCGCTATTGTATTCTCCAAAATATCCTTCACTTCTTTCCTATCGGGAAACAAGTCAAGTATGATAGTGTAGGATGAAATGCGAAAACCCTTAACTCTGAATTGATCACAGTCCTGGAACATGCTCGCCATTGAGGTGGCTTTCGATACGTCCCAGCCACACGAATTAGGGCTGCCAAAGATTGCCCCATCTCTATCTATGTATACTGATTGCCTCATCTCTGTACGAATATTCATCGGCTAGAATTCTTTACAGGGATGCAGCCAGAGATGAGAATTGGCGGGAGCCTTAACAAGATCAGCATCGAAGTTGGCGAAGTCATGGAACATCCCATCCAAGTTTTTCCTTAGCGCGCCAAGTGTACTTATCACTTCTTGTTTCCTTTTTTTCCAAATCGTAAAAAACCAAAGAAACCATGAGAAGGACCGACTTGTAAAAAGGAATTAAGAAGTTGAGCAGGACTTGTAAAAATGGGTTAAGAAGTTGAGCCCTAATTTCACTCCGGAAACGTTCCATGCAGTCATGTCCTCTCTCGCAAATGTCTCCTTGAACGTGTCCAAAATAGCGCTAAGGCCCCTGGCCATGAAGTCGCCATAGTCTCGCGGCGCATAAACAAGCCACGCTTTATGCGCTTCCCTTTGCTCGGCACTTGCCTTATCCCATAATTCTTGGTAGGGCAGATGCTGACTAAACATTCCAGTATGGAGATCCTGGAATAAGCAAGTGAGGTCCTCTGTTTGAGAAAGGTTCCAAAGTCGCACTGGGCCGTAGTTGCCCAAGATGACACTCCTCCACGCGCGCGCTGCATGCGGTTGAAGTCTCAGGCGAAGCTCGTCGAGCTCCTCAAAATCAAGATCAGCGTATTTATTGATACCTCTTAGATCCGACAAAGATGCGAATGCGTGACAGGCTATAGCGACTTGCAAAGCTGCCTTTGACTCGAAGGGCTTGTAGGTTCGAACAACGTAGGCGAATGAAATAGTTGTATCTACGTGTTCGCGATTCTCTTTCATTCCTCGGCCACCGTTCTGCTGTTGCTTATTCTCCTCTGCCACATCTTCAGAGCTTAATTGATAAGCATAGCGCTCGTCTATGAATATTTTCACTTCTTCGGCAAACGGATCCGAGACAAAATTATCACTCTCGCCGTTTCCCTCCGCTTGCATTGTCATTGCAGTATCTTCACCTAGAACATGCACATCCTCCTCGCATTCAGTGTTTTTTGCCGACTTTGAATTTTCCTCCTCCTCAGGGTGATGTTCGTCGACAAGAATTACGTTCTCATGATGAATCGTGTCTGCTGGTACACCTGGTTGGGCTTCTTCCCGCAGTCGCGATGTCAGCTTTCTCGCGACTAGGCGCTTGAGATCGCGGACGCACATGGTGCGGGGCTCGAAGCTACAAAAAAACGGCACAAAGTCATGTCCTTCAACATCTTCACTACCCAACTTTCCTGGACCAGCTACACTTCCGGAACGGCGTGCGCCAGCTGTCTCATCGTGGTTGTCATCATCGCTTGCGACAGGAGACAGAACATCACCGGTAAGCGCATTCCGGACAACGACATGCATTTTTCTCGGAGATGCCATGTTGTCCATTCACGAGTCACGACGCGCAAAAACGCTGAAGGAGCAGAAAGTGCCAAATTGCATGTCGCTTCATCGCACGCTATTCTTATTCAATCCTAAAGTTTCTATGTCACTGAGAAAATACATCCGATTTTGATCATTGTGCCAACCTGCTAGTTTCTTCTATTTTCAGATGCACAGTAATATATTGCTTGAAGGGATAAGTCTACGAGTAGATGCAAGCAATTGATATATTTTCATTTACTAAACAGGTATTCGCCATAACAAGCAGGCATTCGTCGCTCAATCACAAGGAGTTCCCTGTTGAAAAACGACTGGGTGTTGTGGTTCACGGGTTCATGATCTCGTCACTCTATATTACCTTTACCAGAGGATATTCTTCAAAGCAACAACTAGAACGAACTAGAAAAACTACAGACTCTAGTAGAGTACCCAGATGGACTTCAAGCTCTCCTTCTACTCGATCAAAGATAAATCCAAAAACTCTCCTTCTACTCAATACTCGATTTTACACACTCAAAAGAAAAAATGGACCCTGTAGTCATACAGATTCACCCACTCTAACTGATCAGCTACTCTCTGCGACAGATCCCGGCAACGACGATGGATGTCATCATCATTGCACCTCCTCTAGTGCTCAAGCTTTAACACTGTTATCATCCACCTCAATCCGATGCAGAACTAGAAGTGTCTCTTCGTTATGTTAATATAACTGCTCTGTGGACCAATCTGTGGATCGACTCGTGGAGCTGGAGGACAGGACAATCATCTGAGACGTTCTTTCTGAACATTTTTGAGGAAAGACGAAATGATGGGTTGCTGGAGTCTTGATTTGAGTTAAATCATGTGCTGATGTACTCCAAGTAGGAGGTCTGAAAGTTTCTAATTGCTTGTTCCAAAGGAGAATGCGCCAGTCTTTATAGACGAACCAAAAGCCTCCTGCTGGTGCATAGAGCCGAAAGCTCCTGCAGTATTAGGAACTACACGACCTCCGCTTGATGTTATGCCCTTTTGATGCACAGTAGTCTCATGAGGCCCTTGATGTGCGAAATTGTTCTGTGACTCTGGTTGTTCGTCTGCGACACAGGCATCGTCCACTTCTGGGAAGTACATTTGTAAAATGTGATTTGCTGCCACTGACACGCTTTCCGGTGCAAACTCGTCCCTCAATATCCTCAGCCTCTCCACTCCCTCGGTTTCCTGCAAGCGCACGCAGAAAGGACTGGGGTCGTTGTTTGTGAGCGCCACGCCTCGTTCCAGGACGTAATGAATTCCTTCGATAGCGGCCATGAGGATGCGCTTGTCCGCTTGCTGGATGGCGGCGCCTGATGCCGTCAAAGAGCCACCTTGAGATATGTCCAACATGTCCACTAGCATCTCCAGGCAGCCACGTTCTAGCATATACTTCAGCTGTGACGGAAGGCCAGAGGCTAAGGCGTTACGGAAGACCCACACGATCTATAGAAACAGATTATAATGTTGGATAAGAAGTAGAAAGATGATAATGAAAGGAAACTTATTGATGTGGAGGAGGAAAGGATAAATATTTTCAATCATAAAGTAATCACAAAGTCGTCACGACCGAGCATAGAAGTACTACAAACTAAACCAAAGCTGCATCCAATCCTACAAAAGGATGCTGTTGTGCTTGTATCAAATCAGATTTTGTAGTCAAAAACTTAATACCTCCTTCTTCACATCAAAATCTGGTCTTTCCTTATATAGCGTCACCAACGCTGGCAGAACTCCGCTATCTACTGCTTTTTGGATTTGGTTTGAGTTTCCTGCTGTAATGTTCGATATCGTCCAGCAAGTCTCTTTCCTAATATGCTTTCTCGCGTGCGAGAGTAACCCAAGCAACTTTGGCAACGCGTCACATTCGAGGATGAGCTGTGTTTTATCAGTACGTAGTTGACGTTGTTTCAATAGGGATGATGAAGATGCAAGTGCTGAAGAGAGAGGATGTTGGTTGCAAGTGAACATCTCAATCATTGAGAGAGAAAGAAACTCCAATTCAAAATCAGAACTTCCGATGATGAAGACGTTGATATTGAAGACGTTGATACATTGTACATGCAGTTTCAGATAGGAAGGATCATAAAGTCAGAAATTATATCATTGAAAGAAAGACAAAATGAAAAAAAATACATCAGTCTGATAATCGTTCCCCACGCAGATGTTTCCCACTAGACGCAACGCAGGAATGACAACGAGATAATCGGCATGAGATAGCAGCTCGCAAGCCCGTCTACAAACACCGGCGTTGATTATAGCGTCAATTCGCTCTGCTGCACGGTCACCTGGTAGTCGTCAATAGAACTAGAGATGAGTTGAACTATACTTAATCAAAGTAGGAGCTGTACGTCGACGTATAACTTCTCAATGTGTATACCCCTGTACTATATGCAACTCCTTTACAACAATTTTCAAAAAATTCAACAGCTGCAATCATCGGGTAAGTAGTACCATCGGAAAAGTAGCTCAACGCCCAACACGCGTCGATCACCACCTCTAGGTCTTGGTGATATATCAGCGTTTGCAGCACTGCTAGACAGGGTTGCACTGCCTCGAAGGCTGGTGCTGGCTTCCCCCGACACAAATTTGACAGCGTCCACGTCGCATTCCGAAGCAGTTCGGCACTCTGAGAGTGCTTCACCTGTTCCATAATGGGTGCTAGAGCGCCCGCATTGAGGACATTAAAGGTCGTTTCTCCCACACTCCCACATTCTTCAGAACAACATCCTTCCCCTATTATATTTTCTACTTGAAAAAAGGCCAAGGATGTTGGTGAGGGATGTAATGTGGAAACCCCTAAGCACAAGGTCTCTTGTTGAGGGACTGTCGCCACTGATATTGCCCAAACCCCACATGGCCTGCTCGCGCACGTCCGAGTCTTTCGACGACAGCAGCCGGGAACATGAAAGGAGACGAGAAACAAGACGAAAAATAGACTTGTAGTTTTGGGATCGCTTGAGTACACTAATCGTCGCAATTCAAGTAGCATTTCTTTGATGGCTCTTGTTGCTCGTGTCCCATCTTTTTTGTAAGCAATCAAGAATCTTCGAGACTCATTCTCATATAAGAACTTCATCGCCAGATGATCATTTAACATTCATTCATTCGAACCACGTAGCAACTCATTCAAAGCTGCCTGGTTCCGTTAACTTTAACAACTCGTCCATCAAGCAATTTCATAAAACAAAAGCCGGGATTCCGCCATGATCTATCACCGTCTGGGTTTGTGTTTCCGTTCCACTCGCAATGTTCGTCAGGGACCACGCTGCTTCAAACCTTATTTTCGCCAAGGCTTCTAAAGTGTCGCTATCTGTAACACTGGGGTCGACGGCGTTCCGGCTCGGCTCGTGCAGAAACTGGACTAACTGCGGCACTAAACCACAATCGATTACCTTTGTTGATTGATTTTTAGGGTAGCAGTAGGTTTCCAGGTTGATTACCTAGACTGTGATGATGTCTGATACGACTCGTCGTCATAGTGACAATCTCTCATACAACAATAAGCACCATCTTCATAGATAGTCTTGTCGTATTTGCGGTCACATCATTGTAGCTTCTCCTATCTAGTATACCAGCCAAAACAAGAAGACACTTCATAATATCAAGATCACGTCAAAGGCAGTACCTTTTGAATCGGCGGACTCTGCTCCATAGACAGTAACTGTCGTATCTTTTTCACCGCAGGTAACTTGTCTACGACCGTCCCGTGGGCTATTGTCTGTATCAACTGCGGCAATTCTAGCTCATACTGTGCCGCTGCCAAGGCTCCAGCCATATTAGTATTTCCTCCTGTGCTAGAAGAAGATGCTGTCGTAGTTCCGATCTGCATCTCTTGAAGACCTTGCATCTGCATCTGACTCTGATGGAGGGTATCTGGCTGTAGTGGGACATGATTGGTGTCCGCGATTCCCGTTCCACCTCCAGACAGTGGCTGGTGCCCATTGCTGCTTGTTGCAACGCCTGAGGATGGTTGTGACCCACCTTGCTGCAATTGCAGCCTTTTGGCATTGAGGGTGGCCTCCTTTGCCGCCTTTCGCACTTGGACGGCATCATCTTCTCGCTGCCTCCGGAAGTCCTCTGAAGAAATGCCTGTTTGGTTTTTGGTGCAACTACTGGCTGCAAGTAAAAAGGAAAACTCTATTTTTTTATGTGTTTGAGAGATATTCATGGTAGTCACGACACTCAGTTTTTGACATAGACATCGTTGCTACCTGCATTGAAAATGGACAAGTACTAGACACCTTTCTTGTAATTTTTTCGTCGATTCTGGTATCGTTCGTCCATCTTCTTCGCAGGGTCGCTTTGGAACCGCAATAAAGATAAAGAATAAGATATCGGTTTTGTCGAGTCTCAGAGCGAAGAGCCAAACTAGCAAGCCAGAGGAGACGCAAAAGACAAGGCAACGAGGAGCAGTGAAACCATTCTTATTTTCGTCCTAGAAAAATGGTACTTATACTTTGTTTTTATCACGCCACGGGCACGTAGGGAAACATTGGATTCAACTGTCGACGCTTGTAAAAATTTTTGTCGCCACAGCCAGCTACTAGCTCAAGAAATCTAAACCTGCTACACCAACATCTAAGAACCTCCGCAGCTCCTGAAAAAAGTTGGAATTATGTTGAGGTTTCGAGAAAGGAGGTCAGCGCCAAAACTGAATTACATGTTGGCAGAGTAGCCATGATCTCGTTACGGAGGAAAGAGAGCTGAGTCTATTTCTTTACTTGCGTTGAAGTTTTCTCAAAAAAGGATGATCTCATGATATGCCGTGCCTGTGCTGTAGCCCCTTCGCTATCACTGGTGGATCTGCCGCACGACTCATGGTTCGAGAACGACCGCGTTCGTGATAAAGAGAACACGAATTGGGGTTGCTGAAGCGGTCAGTACGTCTCATTTCAGTAATGTTGATGAACCAAAAGAGACCCAGTAAAAAACTCAATCTTCCTGTCGAGTTATGATCAGTGAAAACCTTACCACGTCGAAGAGGTTGTATGATGTGTGTCACGATCTATGTGGAGAGAGGGAGTTGTGCGCGAACTGCTTCATTTGGGTATGGGTGAAGCCTTAAAACAGATCACATGTGTCTGTGGTTCCAGATTTAATATCGCCAAGAATAATCGCTATTTTTCTTCCCTGGTTGTAGTTCTTCAGGGACAGCACCAATTTTCTCCTCCACCTGCTTGTTCGTTCTGGAAGTGGTTGTGGTGCTTGCTGATGTAGTAGTCTTATGAAGAAGCTTCATGTCGTTCTTTGGTGTTCCTGCTTCTAAGCATCTACTTCCCATCATCGTAGTCTGACGCCTACTCCCTATCATCATAGTCTGACGCCTGTCCCCTCGTTGCCCAAAATTTAAATGTTCGGTCAAACGCCACACTGCCTATCCAGTGCTGGCCTTGCACGAGAACAGGACACAAAGCTGCTCCCATCACCCTCGCTTCGTGTCCTACGAGAACTTTCATACAATGATTGTTGTTCGCGTTCCAGAGTTTTACGGTTTTATCGTAGGAGGAAGAGACGAAAAAGCGTCCGCTAGCGTCGTACTGGACCTCAGAAACGCACTTCGAATGCGCTTGGAGCGTGGAGACGCACTGTCTTTTACGCATGTCCCAAAAACGAACCTTTGGCATGAATTAGGATTTCTTCCTTTAGAAGGGAGATGATGATGTTGAATTTCGTTCTCCTAGTAGTACCAACAAGCTTCATGTGAGGTATGATGTTGATATGACATATAGGGAAGATAAACTATGTATCAATCATCTTCTGATAATACTCCGTAGTTGTAGACTAATATCGTACCGTATTATCATCGCTCCCGGTCATGATTTGAAAGCCGTGCTTGTTGAAATCGCAACTAAGAATCTGGCTGTGATGGCCCTGCAGTGGGAAGACTGTGCGGCCTGTCCTCATGTCCCAAACTCTGGCTATCCCACCAAGATCGGTGGTGCATATCAAACTACCATCAGGATGTATCGCAACACCGTAAACACCTGGAGATAAATCAAGTATGCTGTAAGGAAGTTTCAAGTTTGAGAACACGAGCGTGAGTAATGTGTTGAGCGTGGGTTGTTGTAAATAATGGCCCACGTGGGTTTACTTATCAATCTTTTTGGTTCCTTGGTTTTTTTCAAGTAGAACGTTGCTGTATGAGTATGATTGTGATCCTCGAGAAGTACTAGTACTATGTCACTCCTGTCATAAAACGGTAAGTATTTACCTGTGCTATGTCCTTCCTGGCATAAAATCTCCGTTTGCTTTTCTACGTCCCATAACCTCCACGTCTGATCATGGGAAGTTGAGGCCAGTATTCCCGCACCACTGGGATGAAACGCTACTCGGTTTACTCGGTCTTCGTGACCCTTGAGAGTGCACACTGGAAGTTCCTGTTCCGTGTTCCAAACACACACTGACCCATTGGCCATAGCAGCTGCCAGCATCTGCCTATTTTGACTAGCATGCTTTTCGCCGTCAACGTCCATTGCATCGTCTGGACCTAGGATTGGGAACATTTTTGTTGTACTCGATGATACTGTGTTCTCTGTACTTGAAACAATCTTTTCCAAAAACACCGACCTTTCTATGAAATCAAGGAAGTCAACATTGTATATTCAACATAAAAATAGTTGTACCCGATCCTCCGCCCTGGCTCGGTTTCGCGAAACAAACCCCGTGTGATCGCGTTTCCGTTGCCGTGCGCAGTGTCCGCAAGTGTGAACCCGAAGGCACGTTCCACAATTTCACGAGTCCGGTCCAACTAGCTGTTGCAAACATCCTCCCATCGGGAGAAAACCTACCTTGCGTCAAGGGTCGCTCATCTCCAACTTGCGACAGCTCGATACTCGCACTCTGTTGTAGCCATCGGCCTACGCGATCCGTCTCTGCTTCTTCTAGCTCGCGTCGCGGGAGTAAGGCACGCTCGGCGTCTAGTCGGCAAGCGGCGGCGGCGAGAGAATACCTTAGTTGGTTCCCATGATGATGGACCACATCGATGTATTTTCGCTCTAGCAGTACGACGTTCTTGTTCGTTGAAGGGCGTATTGAAAGATTGATTGTTGTCAATGATGACATGTTGTAAATAACTAACCAAGTTTCAAATCTGTTTGACCACTACCTTGCAATCTCCCATCTCCTTTCCTTCAGCGCTTCACTTCCTACTGTAAAAAACTCTTCATGCTGCTGGTCATCGTCCACTCTGGCTGTTTTGCCACTATCTATCTTCTTATCACCAGTCATAATAGACTTCAAACGCTCCCGCCGTTCGTACCTGTGAGGGTTGTGAGCTTATTTTGAGGATGTTTGGGACACTTTGCTTGGCATACTTGCTACGAACTAGAAATCATGCAAATCACTGTGGATCCTAATCAGAGGAGTCATAGGATAAGCACTATAGCATCAGCAGCAAACCATCTCAGATTCTCATGAAAGAATCTTGAGAGCAGTAGCTTTAAAACAATATTAGATGCCTCTGCGGGTTGAGAGAGCAAAGAAAGCAAGGGATAGTTGTACGGCCCTTCTCCAAATAGCGTAATTGGCACTCCATATTCGCGTAGTTTCGTCCTCACTGCTGGATCCTGTGTTGGCAGTTGAATCGTCCTTTTTGCATGGATATCTGCCGTGATCTGCGCTCTTGCCGCATTAAAGGCTTCCCTCTTTGCTGCCATTTCATCGGCCTTCAGTTCGATTGTGTGGCCCTCAGGTCCCGCTTCCCTCTGACCGCCAGCTTTCGCGATACCGAAATGGAGGTGCGACGCCTTGGCGTTGGACGCCGAACTGCCGCCCTCTTCACCCGCCATCTTGTTCGTGGATTCTCGTGATACTCAGAGGTTCCACAAACTTGGTTGTCGTCGCTTGCTTTGTCGCGAAAACCTCTTCTGAGAGGAATCTTCAAGCGTCAGGAAAGGCTTCTTCAGCAAGATCACGGTCGCTTCGTCGTCAGATTCGCACTCTCGCCTCACTTTTCTGCGAGCGCATCGGTAGCAAAAGATCGCTTCATCATGCTGCTTACTCAGTCAAAAACGTAGGCGTACGACGGACGGAGAATCACCAACACATATCACAGAAGCGTTCCCCCATACAAAATCGACACATATCAATTTCGTCTTTTTCAACTACGCGAGCAATGATGGAGAGAGCCTGTACTACACGTTTCTGCGAATCTACAGGTGAGATTCGTACTGAAATTCCAATTCCAAGCGTCTACTTCTCACGATACAGAACTAGAGCATCAAACACTGATTGAAAGGAATTCATTGGACAAGCTCGAGCGCGTTTCTATTCTTTCTTGCAAAGGGAGCACGGCATTCAGCACAGAAAGTAGTTGCTATTCATTGATTACGCTTACCTTACTTGCAGCCACACATCAATGAATACGATTCCAAAGTGCGTCTCTGATTCCTCCATCTGCACATGGTAAAGATCGTTTTCTGATCGTCCACATTGCTTTCCACGACAACGATCACATGCAAGACAGAGTCATTATATTGAACGAAGGACCGCAGTTTTCTTGCACTTCCACATGGCAATTGAGCAGAAACATATTAAGCTTGTTGAACACAGCAGCAAGCTGTTGGAGACCGGGATGACTAATGTTTTCCTTTTCATTTTGATTTCCTGAATTAAGTTTCCGGAATACACAAGATCAACCTGTACACCTTAACCACCCTGAAGTGGTGTAGAAATTACAGCACTGCTTGATTGGTTCAAAGTCCTTTCTTGTTTCACGCTAGCATTGGACGTCGAACTTTCACTTTCCACATCCTTTTTTGACGAGTTCTTCTTACCACTTTCCTCAATTTCTTTCAATTCTTTTACCATCCGTGCTAATCTCTTTTGTCTATCTTCGTTAGCAGGAAATTTTTCCTTTGCCCATTTCTCATACCCGTCGAAACGCTGAAGGAGACGCGGCACAACGGCGAACAACTGTGCTTCCTGAACTTTTGCTGTCTGCTGGATCTTCTCAGGCATTAGAAAGTAGTATTTTGCTTGGAGGGATCATTATAAGTCTACGAGATAGAGGGAAAACTAGCCGGCTGCTTTACTTATGTGCTTTGAGCGCCGCTGGACGACCTAAGCCCCAACCTTATAAAAAGGAAAGTAGATAATAGTAAGTATGAGTCTATGCTACTACAGGCAGCTATGAAGATCGAGTCTTCGAGTTCTCCCAGTCCAAACCCTTCTCCATAACTTGACCATCTTCCGTTTTTCCAAGTCGTCCACCGCATCAGCACGTATCTGCATGTCTGCCATCGCGTCATCTATTACCTCGTCTAGTTCTTCGTCAGGCATATCTAGACACTTCCTCTGACCCGACTGGAAAGCGACTAGGGTTAGAGAGTAAGTACTTGATGATATACCCAGTAAACTTTATGTCTACTTGATGGTTCTGGTGTGATATTAAGGGAGACATAGAGCGAGAGGTAGAATACAAGAACGCAATACAATTTATCTCGCACAAAGTTCATCAGGGCAGACTGCCTACTGGCGTCACAGAAAAAGTAGTCGAAGTTCCTCCAAGTAGCCACCTACGAAAGTACGACAGAGAGAACAAACTAACGCTAGATCATCTTTCCTTCTAAGTAGAACTTTCCTCTAGAACTTTCCTCACCTCCAAATTTCCATAACAACAAGCACGATCGAACTGTGTGTTCGCACACCGTAGCAACGAAGTAGTCAGGACTGAGCAGTTGCAGCTGCTTGTCAGTGTCCGCAAGGACGCGAAGCACGCCCTCAGGGGTTGTTGGCAATACTGCAGCATCCTCTAGGAGTCTCCTCACTGTTTCTTCCTCTATTTTCGTCAACTTTGCCGCAACCTCTTCCGGAATCCGAAGCAGGATTTCGATGGAGAGGCCCTGGATTTGTTTAGATTCTTGATGAGTATTCTTGGTGTAGTAGACACTATACAACGGTGAAATAGAATCTTAATTCACGTACACACCAAGTGAACGAAGGAATATTCAGACAGTAGGTACAAGTTAGAGATACGTATTTCCCTTGTTTCACTGCCGCTTCGCTCGCTCGAAAATACGCCTTCAAGAAGTCTGGTTTCAGTTTTATGGCGCGTTCTGCCTCTGCTAAACTGCGGCTATATTCCTTCTTCTTCAAAAAGCACAAAGCTCTATTTTAACGCTAGACACTTGCTATCCGTGATTGAGTGGCCTGACATGAGTTCCCGTTGATTTTCTCTTTAGAAGATCAAGGGGAACTCAGTAAACACAGTCCACGCCAGATAGTCACCTTCTACTAGCCATACCTATTGGAATACAAGAGATGAGAAATTTCTTTTTTGTCCGTGTCGAGACGGAGAGCAAGCTCGTAGAGCTCTAAAGCCTTCTCGAAATCCGCTGCCTGGACACAAGCATTTCCTTGTTGCTGAAGTGCCTTTGCGCGAATCTGCTTCCTCTCTTCGGGTGTTGTTTCTGGTTTTACCTCAGCACTGGCAGTATTAGACATCGAACTCGCAACACAAGTATTTCTATTCACTATGATCTTCTCAGATGAATCCTTCAAGAAAAGAAAGAATAAGAAGATGGCCTCCTGTGAAAACGAATCATCACCAGGCTTAACAGAATTCTTATTCTCTTTCCCCACAATCAATGGCTCCACTACGGTTCCCTTCATCAGCGCAGTGTCTTCTACCCGCAGCCCATGCGTGCCGTCAAAGAGAACCTTGAACCAAGGCTCCTTTAGCGTGATCCTCGATCCTGGCGGATATTCCTTTTGCATCCAATCTAAACGCTTGCCGTCTTTGCATATGGCTGAGCCTTGGATTAGAAAAGATTTCTACCACAGAAATTGAGTATTTGAGATGTTGCTACTTCTACTCTATGTACGAGGCTAGCGGTCAAGATAGATAGACGGCCGGCTTCTAACGAGGATCCATCTAACTGCACACGACACAGTTGTCTCAACATTTTCTCAACTACATGAGGATACTTACTGCAGTCGAAAAAATCTTAACTGCAAAACCACAAGTTTCATCCGATCTCCATTGTCGTCTTCTATCAGCGTTGCATATATCTCCTTGGTCCCTGCTGGTACCCAATTCTCCACGATAGTCGCGTGAAGCAAACATTTGCTATGCACGCGGTCGAGACGCAGGTCCTTTAGGCGTAGGACGAAGACGTCGCCCAAGTCGAGGGGAGGCATTTTTTCTTAGTAGAGTGAAAAAATAATCAATTGAGACTTCAAGTTGTATTTCTATGTCTTTCCCCAATGCTTCCTTTTCCCCGATGTCGACGTTTTCTTTTGGCCTCTAATTTGTTGTCTTCATTTTTCCATGATGGGTCCATCGATTTCAACAGAACCTCTACTCTTCGCTCATCTCAAGTGTGTATTATCCGTGTGCGCAAAACTCACCAACACCAAAAATGTGCTATAATTCCGGGGAAGGAGTCACTCTTTCACTAGGCAAGAAGTGAGCTTTTTAAGATGTTATCATTTCAAACCTCCCATGCGTTAGTTGTAGAAAAAGCGTGTGTTTTCACTAAATGTAGTCAGTTCAACAAAGTTCATCAACTAAATCATGATGAAGCTCTATGATCTCGTTTTGCAAAGCATAGAGAGTCCAGGAAGGATAAAGCTTTGTTGGACAAAATCTGTCCCGCGGGTCTTGGTGAGGGAGCAGGGATTTTTTCGTTGTCTAATCTAGGCGATAATGCTTGCTTCTGTTCTCCTCGTCCTTGTGCTGTAGGCTCAGAAGTAGAACATGCAGTTGTGGTAGGAACCTCATCCGAAGAAGATGCAGTAGTGGCAATCTTTTGCCTTTTATTTGCTTGCCCGCCTGCTTTACTTGCTGCCCCTACACTGGAAAGAGCGTGCTCATCAGCGTCTCGCGTTGTGGAAGTCAAGTCCGCTGTTGTAGCTGCTCTTTTTCTTGTTTTTGCAACTTTGGGAGCAACCACTGGCGCAGCTTTCTTACTGTCGTTCATAGCCTTCGTGGCATTCTTCAACGTCTTCGTCTTCGTTGCTGGGTTGTTCACCTGCTTGTTGAAGAATATATTCATTTTCATAGAAGCGAGACCACTTGTAGTTTCTCGTCCTTGTGTAGAAGTACTTCCGACAGAACCTCCTCCAGCTTCACCACCAAACGCAAAAGCAGCGAAAAAATCATCGTTTCCTTGTACGACACTGGTATTTTCTTGAATCTTTCCAAACACACGAGAGTTCAACAGAGAACGAGGCTTGTTACCACTCGTAGAAGACTGCACATCAAGATTGCCGGAGGTAGAAGATGTTGCTTGGTTCTCCTTGTCTTCATCGTGCTGTCCTGCTCCAACATCAAGACCATCCAAACCTCCATCCTTTTCTTCTTCTGCATCTCCATTTTCAGCCCTCTGATTTTGCTCGTGAACTAATTCCAGGGTCCCACCACTAGCCTTTCCTCCACTTCCACCTACGACCTCACCCCCGGACGCAAACATTGCTTCAAACTTCGCTAATCCTGCATTTGTTTGGGCACCATCGGCCAGCATAGAAGCTCGCAAGTCATCGGTACGATAGCGCGATGGGATATATCTAGTGTCTTGTTGACCTTCTGCATGTTGTACATCTTCCTTATTATTCACCTTACTTCCATTCTTAGCTAAACTACCACCAGGCACGTTTTTTGCTCCTCCTCTACCTCCTTTAGAACTTTTACTCAAATTGATAGGTGGTGGTAGCATTGTTTTCCCAGGTTGTCCTGATGCATTCGGTGGCGGCTGAAAAAACGCTAAAATGTCCATCTGTCCAGGTTCTGGACCGATGCTTTTATTCTTTGCAGCAGCACGCCGCTTTGCGCCTCCATCATCGCGCAAGCCCGCGTACATGGGATTCCCGGATCGGTTGGTCCGTGCTAACAGACCAGGTCGACTTGCTACTAGAGAAGAGGCTGAAGACGAAGCGTGGTGTGAGGTAGTGCTGCTGTTAGAGATAAAGAAAGCAAATGCTTTGATAGAATGACTCGATGACTCAATTCGTTTTTCTAGTGTTCTTTTTCATAGAAGGACACGCGGAAATAGGCGCGATAGTTTCGAACTATGTAAACCACAGCAATTACTAAGATGTAGATTAGGTAGTCGTAGAGTATTGGGAGGAAGGCCTAATTCAGACAGAATACAAGGAGAAACAATTGTGGGAGACATATTACATTTACAGGAAACACCGCTTGAAGTTAGGGTTCTTAGCCACTGACCATAACATTACTCCCATCAGCTACCGCTTGTTCCGGACTAGCGTTGAATTCCACCCGAGCAAACGTCTCTGGATGTGTCCTCCCAACAGCAACGCCTACAGCGGTTTCGGCGTCATATCTATGGCCGCAGAACAAGTCACTGGTGTTTTCCTGGATCTGTTTGACCCATCTCGCACGAACTTTTCTCGCGAGTTCGTTATAGAAAGTGCTGTCGGAACGATCTTCAGGGTAGATGCGGTGGTCGTCTAGATGCTGGAGGAGGTCGTCTCCTCCAGCATCATCGCCGCCTTCTTGTAATATTCCTTCCACCATTATGTCTTCTCTACTCCCTGGGACTGGATTCGCAAGGATTAGACCTTCCGGCAATCCATCTTGAAATAAGTCATCTTGAAAGGCCCGTTTTCCCCTTAATACACGGAGGTCCTCCAAGATGCTTCTGAACAAGATGCATAATTTCCGAAAGTAGTCATAAAAGGAGGCATTTCGATCGTACCGTCTTCGCCTTCGAGCAATACACCGTCTGATACCGGAAGCAGAGCCAAGCCTTCGTAAAATTCTCTACAAAACAGGCATCCACATCGTAGCCCTCGAATCGAGCACACCTCTGAATCCGATCAGGGTCACAGCCCGCTTTTGCGACTAGCTCACAGACTTTCTTGGGACCGCACTTCGAAATCGTAGTACTGCCGTAGTCGCAACCGAGAAGGATACAGACAGCGAGAAACCGGTCATAGTCGAACGTGAAAGGGGTGTTTGATGTGGTGTGGTCTCCTCCGCCTCCTGGCGCTAACGTTGAAGTAGATGTTGTAGTTTCGCCATTTTCCATCATACCACAAGATGTAGAAGAGAGCTCCTTCTCAGCATTTTCTCCACCCACATTTGTACCTTCCAAAACTCCTCCTTTACTATTTTCCGCTCTACCGAATAGCGAAAACACCTTCTCTAAATGTGACCCACTGCCGAAAACTTTGCAAAAGTCTCTAGCTAAGCACACATGTTTTCCCGTCATGCTGTTGAAGTCCAACTTGTATAACACTGAAGGTGTCCGAAAGGGCAACAAGTCCGAGTCCTCTGTGATGACAAAATCGATTTGTCCAGTTTCTGCCATGTAGCCAAGCTGCGCGTCTGCTTCGTAAGGCGCCACAGTATAGGGAATCCCGTGAGCGTCGAAAACCCTACAGCACCAGCAAGCCATCTCAGGGACGATATCATAGGCGCCGGCGAAAGCCTGGTGTTTCCAATTCAGGTTTAATGTCTATGGATAGGTAGATAGCGCACTAAAAGGAGGATGAGTCCAACAATCTTCTGTTCAAATCTAATTCATCTCCACTTTAAATGTGTATACTTACACATTCAGCACTATCAAAATGTTCAGTTCACTCACTGCTCAGTACCTTATGAGCCGCGTCTTTTTGTCCTGATTTCCAGAGTGCGAAAGCCTTTTCCAGATTTGCTTTACGACTGTCATCCCTGCCTCGTTCTTCCTGCTCCTTCATGGGAAGAAACCCACCGTCAAAAACTACGTGTGGAATAACTTCTGCTTGTTGTAATCGCTGGCAGTACCGCAAGACTGTCGCAGCCATCTTCTTCCAGATCGCTTCCTCCTTGAATCGACGCGTTTTCGCCATGTCCGTCTCATCTTGCTCAACATCTTTCGCAGTGTTCTCAGCTGCACCACAGTAAATCAAACCTAGTTCCGTAGCATGCACGTACGCAGCACGATGTAGCCAGACGTAACCGTCAATCCCAGCAGTTTGGCCTGCGAAGTCCGAAACCCGCTTGTCCTCCTGTACTGCGGAGAGTAGGGGTAGGAGACCTTTGATGCCCATTTTTAGTACTAACTTTGTTGGTAATTTATGAAAACTTTCACGAGGTGGACATATGAAACAACTGACACGATGATCGAATTGCGCTTGCACGGAGAACCAACTTCTTCCTACAGTTGTATTTCCCAGGAACAAATGCACCGACGTACGTGTTGTCTTTATTTGTTGTGAGACGAAAATCCGTTTTCATTTTCCATCTTAGATTTGTTCTACGAACTTTTTTAAGACGACGACGTGCTTCGGTGACAATGGTCGTCGGTCGAATGTACACAAGTATACGTCTTCGACAGGATGAGTTGTCATTCGAGACCACCAAACGATACAACTACAGTGCATCCAAAATGCCATGGCTCCATCCATTCTTCGAAGCGACGTAAAAGAGCTGCTCCGTTCGTTTCAAAATCTTGTTTCCAAAATCTTTGCGCAAAAGTTATGTTAGGATGAGGTTTACTCAGTCACTAACAAAACCAAAGTTCATATTCTCAAAAATTGAATGCTAGTACACCTATGAATTATCCTAGTAGTTGTAACATATATATAAGTTCTAGTATTAAGTTGTACAACAGCTCACAGATTGTCTTCGACACTAGAACAAAAGTGATACGAAAAGGTCATCTTAATCTTTACAATTAACAGACTATATTCTATGAAAACTGATAATGTCTCACAAGGCCAAATCCAGTACCGGGGAGCATGAGTATGTGATGACGTGTAAAAAAATTAGAAGTACGACAACTACAGACAAATAAAGACTTGATACTATCGTCATTTTAGAAATTTAAAGTGCTTTAACGTTGAGCAGACCTATGAGGTGTAGAAAATTTCAGCTGTAGTTTCACCAATCAAGAATCTTCAATAGTCGTTTATTCCTTTGGGATCTATGATTGAACTACAAACCTGATGCATTGGGATATCTCGCGCCGTGAAGACGGGCGCCCGACGATTGAACCTCTCTGACAAAGACAGTGAAGAAGACAAAGTGAGTTCTACGCGCCGGGTGGGAGACTCGACCCGAACACACGAGATGAATTCATGCACATAGGGAACAAAATTCCTACCAAGAGGTGGATGTCGGGGACCGTCTGAAGAGCGCTATTTGTAGCTCAATACTAGATTCCTGGAGCAATGTGACAGGGAATTCCGTGTCGTTGAGAAAAGCGACTTACGAAACGAATTATGTGGATCGATTGAAGCACATCGCTCTTCCATTCGAGCGAATCAATTAGCTGGACTATCATCAGTTTTGTCATCGTGGCTGATGTCTTCATGTGGTTGGAAGAAGCCTTTGTCTAGCTGAACCAATGCGCCTGGAAAATGGGGATCTAACTTCATGGCACCTTTGCAAAAATTGACATCTTCATCTGATAGTTTGACTTCTTCAAAAAGACCAGGGAATAAACGGACAGCAAGTTCAAGTTTGTCTAGACGACTGAAGATATCAGCAATGTTGAGGGCAGAGGGAATACGAGAGATCCACGCACTACCCCCGCATAAAGACAAGGACGACCAAAACAAAAAGGCTGCAAAAGACATATGAGTTTTCTGAGAGCTCTGGTTGAGTAAGCACGATTTAGCGGCCTCATTGTCAATCGCAAAGTTATGGAATGAATTACTTACATGATCAGCGAAAACTCTGACTGCCAACGAAGGCGCAAGTGCCTCTAAAAAAGAAATGGGCTGTCTACCTGTGCAAGGATGTAGCTCTGACTTCGTGAGCAAAAAAGTGAACCACAAGAACTTGAAAGTGCCATCCTCCTTGATGACCACCTTGACCCCCGAAAGGCGGCCTTCCGCATCTGCGAAGGATGCGTCGGTATAAATGATGTTGCCAACGTTCGCCGACGCGCAAAACTTAGCGTAGCGTCGGATAGGTTGTTGGACTAGGAACTTGATGATAGATAGGCAGTGTTTGAGCCTAAACGTGAGCAAGGAAGTCTTATCCACTTCTTCTGAGCGATTGATGAGAGGACGAAGCACAGGATTCATCGCTCTATCGACGAGGGAAGTGAATATGAAGAACACTTTTCCTTGCAGTTTACGCGCGGCAGCGGACTCCAGCTTGCCCTCCGCGAAGATAGAGTCGATCAGTTTGACAATCTGAGCAACTCTATCGCGCGACACGTGATAAAAAGGTCGTCCGGACACGTTGAACAGCAAGCCGAGCACCTCGATTTCATGCCCAATCTTGACCTTGCGCTTGGCATACGGAGCGCCAAGATGGTCCAAAAACAGAATGAAGCAGTCGAGCAGCTCCTGCGCAAGGCGGGCCGGAGCGATACCCGAGAAATCGTCAACGTACAGCTCAAGGATCGTAAACAACATACGCCGAAAAATAAGGCGTAATCCCCAAGAGACGCGAATCCATGAAGTAACGCTGTGGACGTTCCCAAAGGCGCAAACCAGGCACTGGAACGCGAAATAGCACGCATCGACAGGCGACCACACTGCGATGCGATTGAAGACAAGGCGCGAGTCCCGAATGGGCACGTTGTTGTACGCCTTGAGAATGTCCACGACGAACAACATGATCGAAATGACCGCGAAGGAAACGGAATTATCTGATTGCTCTCTCTGCTCGGACGACCTCTTACCAGGTTTATCTCTAACACCCAGGTCAACGCTGGTTGGACTGCGTGTTGGCGGAGCCGATTCATGAAACCATTTGCCATCTGGCACATCTGCACCTTCAAGAATATGCGCGCACACTTCCTTCTCGTATTGCTTTTCTTCCTTCAGTGCTTTCTTGATGAATTTCTTGTTCATCCTGCACACCGGTTGGTCTACTAAGTTGATGTCGTGCAACGCGGTGGCCTGGGCGAGTATATCTCCCGCGCTTGACATGGGGACACTTTTTTCCAGGGTAGAAGTCTTGTTCTGCGGAACGAGGGGGTCGATTAGGCGGATCTTATTCGCCTGCTTCGTTGGAAAACGCCTCGTGAGGAGGCGCCAACCCCGGGCCGCAGCGTAGCTAATCGAAAACGGACCGTCTAGGGAGTTAGTTCCGATAGTCTCACCCCACAAACAACGAAGTAAGCGATTCGCAACCGCGCCTCTGCATCGTAAAGGCAAAAGTTCCAACACTGAACTCCAGCCCAACAAGACGTGTTGCGGTTGCATGAGAAACGTATGATCCTCCCTAGATGGCTCCAGACACTCCATCAACGAGCCCTGCCAAGTGAAGAGTGCCTCATCATCTGGCCAGCCGGGAGAGGCTGCGTTCTCGAACGAGTTAATGTTGTCTGGCAACGTCGAGATTGACTCTCGTTCTGGGCGCGGCTTGTTATGGTCCGGCCAATAATCCGGAGCCCCCGTGGGTCCAACAGTCGTGGCTCCTTTCGCCAGCGGAGTGTAAAACTCCTTGTCCTCGGGAAGATATTCTTCACCCAGGCCTTTCATCAAGCCTAGCGCAAACTTGTGACTGAACTTGAAGATGTGTTCTGACATTCGACTTTTTATGGAATAGTCCGCAGCGCGGCCCTCGAACTTTTTGCGTTTCATGCATGTCGAAAACGACGAGAAGATGTTACCCGGTTGTACAAATCTGAGCTTCTTGATGTACCTCCTCGCTTCGGTTTCCAAGGGAGTGAACGGGAACCTCCTCCTCGTGTCCATTTCGATCCTGGACAACATGAACTGAAGCTCGTGTTTGAATTCCAGGTCTTTCTCCTCCTGGTTGCCATTCTTATTCTTGCCGTGGCTCGAGTCTTGCATCTTTCGTCGTGTGCAACAATCAAAAAAAAAACCTTCTTTAGATTCATGCGCCGTCATTGAAAAGAATCTGACCTGAGCGAAAGAAAAATTCTTGCACCAGTGGTTTTGCATACCTCTCCCTCTTTGGCGGTTTTTTTTCCTTTATTTTCCCTTTTTGAACATCCACGCGAGTCAACCCCCACAACCTTCCTTTCTTATCCTTCAATCGTTGCGTTCTCATCTAGGATGGCATTGATAGACACGTTACCTACTGCCGGAGGGAAAAAGCAGTAAATGAGATCAACAAGCATCCCACGAAGTAGTCAAGCAACGAGAAAAGCCATTATTTCTCGAACCGCTGCGCATGAGACTGCAAATGTTATTCACTTGTGATGAGTGAAATGCCGAAAGGCGTGATGATGCAAATTGCTCTATCTTCAAAAACTGAGATGACTCTGAGCAGATATGAACCCAGCAAAATCGTTGACAAGCAGCTAGCTGCCTTGAAGAAACCAAACCTTAAAATCCACAAAAATCCAATTGACACTAAGCACTACTAAACTATGACTGCCGGTCAGAGATTGTCCACGATGATCTTGTGACTTAGGATGACATACAAGGGAGATACTAACACTCGAAACAACTGCTACTTGGAAGCCATGACATCTCTAAAAAAAAACTCTTTCGACATAAGTACTTACTACTGGATCTGCTATCCTAACTATGAAAGAAGAAGTGACTGCTACCGACGTCAATCAATCAACTCTCTGGCAAGTCGTCGTAGGACAGCCCCGCCACCGCCCACGACAACTTGCTGGATTGCATCTGTTCAAACTGTTCACGAGAAGGACGCTTGTGCTCGTGTGGGCAGTTTTCCTTCTCACAAAGCCCCCACATCCAGTCGAAACACGACTTAGGCAAGGATTGCTTTTTGCCCTTTTTCCCATTCTTGTCGTTTTTACCACCCCCTTTACTGTTATTGCTGTGGTTATTGTTCTTATTATAATTATTCTTGTTGCTGTGCTTCCCCCCGTTATTGTTGTATTGGTTGCTGTTGTAGTTACGAAAACCATTGTTATATGGGCCACTCCATTTGCCAGCCTGGTTCTTCATTTTCTCCATCTCCTCCTTCATCGCCTCGATCTGCTTCTGATTCTCAGCAATAGCCTTGCTCAACGTAATTTGAGCATCCGCGGCGTGTCTCCATAACAGCGGGAACGCATTGTTAAACCTTGTGAAAGGAGTGAATTCTTTTTCAAATGTAACATAACTTTCTTCTTCTTTTTCCAGAAAAAAGGAAATGAACAAAAAACAAAACTGACACACTCTGATTGGAACTACCATCTTGCAATCAATGAACATGTCGCGTAACACACTCCTAAAGGAAAGACGTCAGTGAGTACCACGCATCCATGCGAACTCGATATGCTTCAGCATCTGTGGGCTGAAGCGGATTCGGCTCCACTTGATCCGAACACATCAGCAACGTTTGCACGAAAATGCGCATGCGATTGTCCTCGGTGAGATCACTGCTTTTGATCATCAGCACCAATTTATTCGCGTCGGCAAAGTTGAGAACAGCCCCATTTTCACCGTTGAAGGCTAGCGCGTACATGAACTTATAGATCGTAGACGCATCCTTCACTTCGATTCCGTTTTTGGACGCCAAATGCAACTGCTTCTTGAAGATTTCCTTATTCACCTGCAAGAGAGAAGGGGGACGCGGACAAGACTTGGAAAGAAACCCTACACAACTCGACAACAAGACCAAAGAGGTGACAGACAACTACCCGAAACAAAAGTGAGCGGATTCTTGCGAAACTCTTCTACAAATAACACATGTCTACCCTTTTCATCCAAGCGGCTGAAACCTAAACTATGACTATAATGGGAAAAAAAAAAACAAGTACTACCTTGCGACACAACTCCAGATCTGGCTGCATGGTGATTTCAGTAATCTGGCCAACACAGACGCCGTGAGCCATCACTTCTGCCGCAGTTCCCATGTTGCGGTGGTCCTGTGCTCGCACCATTTGTTGCGCGAGGTTGTCGACTTGAAGGTTGATATTAATGGGGGCTTGCTGTTGAGCCACAACAAGGCCCCCTCCTTGGCCACCCTGATTGCCGTTGACATTCTGACTCGCTCCCCCTGCCCCTGGGGGTGGAGGCGGTTGAACCGGGCCAGCTGCAACACCTCCAGCTGCTGCTTGTGCCATGTTATTATAGTTGAGAAGGAAAAAAACTGAAGCTGAATGCGTGACGGCAACAACAACAAAAAAAAAACCTGACAACAAGAAGGGCTATCCCACTTTCAAGTGACACTACATACTGCTGGTGTCCGCGCCAAAGGGTAAGTACAATTGTAAAGGCGCCACCGTTCACTTTTTCTTTTTTTTTCATCATTTTTCCTCCGTTTGCCTTTTCCTAACCCTCCTTCTTTTTCTTCTCACTCCTCCCCGGGCACGAACAAGCCTACACTAAATGTGCGTAGGTTGACACCAATTGTTTTTAACTAGATCTTAAACATGTAGCCTTTTGTCTCGAGCGGAATGAAAGTGATCGAAACTGAGGTCATCAATAGAATCCGTGGGACTTCTGGAAATGGGGAGATGATCGAGTATGGACCATGCAACTAATCAAAATCAAGGGTGTCAAAATCAAAGTCTTGAAGGGCATTCATGTCAGTGCCATCGAAGTGCTTGTTATGAACTTGGTTGCTTTTCAACCAATTGATGCCATTCGTCCAGTGCGCCGCTCTTGGGAACTTCTTGCTGTTACGGGCGTAGTAAAACAGCATGGTGGTGTCGGACCATCTCGCGTGATGGATAATCACTTCTGGCATCAGTTCGTTCGCAAAAAGATGGACCGCGCAACCCACCCTGCAGCTGTGGGTGGCGAAGTTGGACTGTTGCTCCTCGGGAAGCTTGAGGTTCCTGACAAGGGCTTTTATTGCCCACGACACATCCATGCCACCTGCCGTGAAAGACTTGACGCACTCCCTGAGCGTGCTATTGTGGATGAGGCAAACTCTACTTTTCTTTGTTTCTGGGGCTTCTTCCGTGCAAGTGCAAAAAATTCTCACTACTCTTGCACACCGGACTCCTCCTTTTTGCTTGTAAAGCGAAAAATCTAGAACTAAGGACTCGTCCACATCGTCGAAATACATGCCCACGTAGTTCGGCGCAGCGCGTCCAAACGCGATTGCTTCTGCTTCACTCTTGCGGAGAGCGCCGTAGAAGGCCACTAGTAGCGTAGTTGCAAGCTTCGCTCGAAGCGCACAATAGTCGTCACCTGGTGGGATCTTGCTGATCATAGACAAGGTCAGCGCTTGTTTCTGTTTTCTATCTCCAAATACACCCTTCCGGCGCAGCCTGGCAATTACTTCCCTGGTCCGAAGCCCGATGTGATCTTCTAATTGTGGAGAAGCTGCTAGCACGTCGCTGACCACCTCCGGCACAGATGCGTACTCGGCAGCAATAGCAATGCCGATGTACGTATACAGCGACGCCTCTGACGCAGGCCATGCCCTTAAGGCCGTTCTTCCGATAATTAACTCATATGATTTGAGCCTGCTGTTGGCAACCGCGTTGCTTTTCTTGTTGAGCAACAAGTTGTCTAGATTGACAGGCGCAGCTCCTAACAATTCTGTGTCTCCTGCAATTTCACACGCAATTCTTCTCTTCGCCGTCATGACCACCTCCTTCTTCTTTCTGGGTGCTATGCCTTGGCCGTTGCTTGTTGAAGAGGAACTAGGTACACCCGTTGCACAATGATCAGGGGGTTTGAAGTATGGCAGTGCTCTCGCCGCAGCAGCTGGGGTCTGAACCCACGGTAGCCTTCTGTTGCTACCAATCGAAATGTTAGGGCCTGGCGCAAGGATGTTGGTTAGGGCTTTGTTGAAATTCTTCTGGCGCTCCTGCGAATCCTTGATGGCACGCTCAGCCTCCTTCTGACGACTGGCTGCGAGAGAAGCGATCATAGTTTTGACTCTGTTTGACCAACGACAAAAAAAAATAACGGACTGAATTTTTCTGGGTGGAGAGCGGTGGGAAGAAAAATCTTTGGACTGGACGGACAATGGACTTGGACTTTGAGGAAGGATGGAGAGCTGCCCTGGACACTAAATACGATTCGAGGTAAATAGTAACACTAGGCCCCATTTGATAAAACGCCTTTTTGTATTTCCAATCCTTTTTTTTTTTTTATTTCCTTTTTCTCACACTCTCGACGGGGTGCTCTTCTCTCTCCTTCGAAAGACGAGCTTGAGGACGAATGAGACAGTATGAACACAGAGGTGACGATATGAAAAGTGCTCGTGCCTGAACGCACTCGCAGCACCTATGTTCAATTTCGCTTCCAAATGAATAAACAGCGCAGTAAAACAAGTTTTCCTGCATCCATTTAAGTCACACCAGGCATTAGTGCTGTTCCACTGATCACCAATCAGTCTCCCGTCAGTGGAGTCGCAGTGTAAGGCGGATAGCAACAACTATCTATGCAGTCCTCCATGCATATCGGAAAACACGACAAAACAAAACACGGGAAGTATTCGCACCCATCCCATGCACCGCACTCTTCCGTAATTCTCAGCCATCTTGGTGTTAGCGGTATGCAAATGGAGGCAGGTGATGAGTCGTCTAAGACTAAGTTGTCGTTTGTCAAGAATAAAAAGAGTAGGAGTACAACTGGTACTGGAGCATGATTGAGAATATCAAGCATGATTTCCCTCTATTCATCGCTGAGAAGAAGACAGAAATAGAACCGCCTAGACTGAACCAACAGGTTAGGTTTCGGTGACAGTACATACGGACAAGGCTACGCAGCGACTGTACCATACGATATAATAGTAAGGACGACTATCGAAGAAACGCAGAAACCAACAGGTACAGGTCTATGGACCTACAAACAAGTTCACCATAAAGCTTGCGCTGACTTCTCTTTTCCAATCGATTCAAGCATCGCAGGAACAATTGCAGTAGCTTCATCTTCAGCGACGGACGATGACGACGACGAGGCGCTGCCCGTACTACCACTAGCATCTTGACTATCACTAGTCGGAGAAGCGCCTTCGTCCAAGAGGTGCCTCCTCACTTCTTCTCTTGTAATTTCTGGTAATTCTTGTTCTAAAAAACCATAGTCCAAGCCAGCTAGCAGTACATCATCGAGGACACTGCCCAAAAACGTGACCCCTATGATCTTAGCATTCTCCAGCATTCTTTTGCCAGCCTCAATTTCAGCTAGGCGTTCATCCTCTATCTGCGCTGGACTCGGACTACTCGAAGATGAAGACCCACCTCGTGTCCGATCATGCATCTCATGCTGCTGGGGAGGTTGTGCTAGATGTGGCTTCTGATGTGTTGGATCGTCTTGTAAAGACAGATTCTGCGAAAAACAGCAACAGCAGATATTCTGCAAAGAACAAGTACTGGATGACTGGTCTTTTTGGGTCACTCCTGTCATACCAATAGAAGAAGCACAACCTCTGGTATTTTCTTGTTGCTCAATATCTTGACTGTCTTTCGTGTGCCAAGAAGAATGATCGGTAAGATTAAGAAGTTCATCTACTTTCCTGTGATGTTGATACCAGTATGTTCTGCACTCCGAATCGTAGATTTTTCCTACCTTCGTGCAGCATTGTGCGCAATAATTGCAACTGTAAAAGCAGACGAAGGGCGAACAACCGCACGCCAAGCCTTGAGCACACATTTCGGCCATAACCGAAGTTTGTGAAAATGCTGCGGCCGCGGGCATGCCTGCCACCGCTTGATTAGAAGAACAAGAAACGCCGCGGCTGTGCTACTAGATGAAGATTTGTAGTAATTGCTACTTGAGTCCTCAGATATTGACGTACACGCAGCACGCTGACAAACCTCCAAAAACTTTTCCGATTGACTAGCAAACAACGTCACCCCGAACCAAATGGAATCACTGTATTAACTCTGATGTCCACGACAAGGAGAAGTGACACTTATCTACCCACATCAGATAGTCGAAGTCTCGCTCAAGCATAATACCAACCAAACAGCACATCATCATGCACTCCACAAATTGCTGATTCGGTTCCCCAAACATCCGCGCGTGTGGCCGATGCCTGCTCAAATATTCGGCACCTGTCTTGCAATAGCACAATGAATTTAGCAGCAGTGCAGGATTCGGCACTTTTACTCCCTTACAACCTTTGGTCAACTTTAGAAGGGGCACAAGCACTAACTTTAGAAGGGGATCCAGCTAGACACTTCAGCATTCATTATGGCAAGAGCTGCTGCCGAGGCGTCACTTACTTTAATTATACGAGAGGCAAGAACCACTTAGATACGTCTACCAAACGAAAAGACACGCACACCCACGAGCGCAAACCACCTATCGCGGGGATGGCGTTTCCGAACAAGGGTTGCGGGTCGTTTCCGAACAAGTTGGCATATGGGGATATGGAAAGCACATGGCAGTCATAAACCACAACACCGAAGTCCGTTGCACCGCACCTGCTCCCATCCAGCTAGACACTTCAGCGTCCCACGACGTAAACAGCATTTGGAATTGCGGATTCGGATATGGCGATCCAATGACCTATATTCACGCGACCTTTTGCTCTTTCCTCTGAGCAAATTCTTCGCATGATTTTCTATCGCATCTGTATTCCATGCGCGTATGCGATTGATGCCGCGAGTGCCAGGAGCGAATGGATACCGTCCAAAAACGTGCTCCAATCGGTTCAACGAGTCGTCACCTGCGGCTATAGCTGCTTCTAAGCCTCGTTGTATCCTTCTAGTTAGACCTAGGGTCTTGGCGTTTTTGTGTCCCGTTTGTTATGCGTGTCCCCCTTAGGAGAGCCATAACAAACGGCAACAGGAACACCGCTAGCCTTCCCTTAATTTAGGTCTCATTCGAGCTTTGCTTCTGTCTGGATTACAAGTACCAGTCAACAACGCCCTCGCCACCTTGTTCAGGTCCTCCGAAGTACGTCCCCCGAATGTGCCCGGTGACCTTGGTGGGCCCGCGGCGTACATTGCTAAGACGTGAGTGTCACAGTCGCGGGGCAAATGACATTAGAGGACCCTAATATTGATATAGACATTGCTGGTGGAGCAGACCTAACTAGAAAAAACAAAAACCGAAAGAAGGAAAGTCAATATCATGCAAGTACTTATCTACTATTTTCCCTAATATTGATATTCCAATTCATCCTGAAGACGAGCATCTGGGTCTTATAGTATTGTTTCCCTTCCAGCAAATATGAAACCGTTTCAGGATTGATGCTTCTCCTGTCAGTCTGAAGATGAGTATGAGTAAGCCTTAAAGGTGTGCATATTTTTCTCGGTTCAAACCAGGTAAATGACCGCGACAACAGGGGCATTTTGAAACGGAATCTATGGCAGAACGTGTGGATACACCACGAAAGTTCTGACTTCGATACTTGAACCAGCAGGCTTGATGTGTCTTCGCCGAGCAGCGCATGCAAAACCGAAGCAGCGGGGTGAGCGACTCCTCAGCAGTCTCCATGCAGAATAGACACTGGTCTGGATCTCCACGGCCGGGACCTCTGGAGCCTGTAGATCCTCGTTCGTCATCCTCAGTGGAGCTTGAGGTCGAAGAAGTATCCTCATCGTCCGACCCAGTGCCTGCAGCAGAGGACGTATCCGAACGATCATCTGACGATTCTTCATCTTCAGCAGACGTTGACAACAAGGGTAATCTGGCGTATAATGGTCCTGCCGGTGTACTTCGCTTAAACCCAACGGCATCCGCATTTTGCACCGTTCCCACTAGGACTAGCGGAAAAGGCAGCAGCACCAGAATATAGGAAGCAACGAGTACCAGCAGAGACAAGAAGGAGGCTGAGCATTTCATTAGCACTTTTCCGAAGATGATGGACGGCATTATTTTTGTTCATGTGTAGCTAGTTCTGCTTCTGCTTCAGTTAATGATGAAGTATGATCACTTATATTCTTGTAATCTGGTATACTAGCATGGACATCACACTCCACTCATTTGGAGTTTGTACGTTTGTTGATATTGTTCGAGTTAAACGCTATATGCTCAGTGTCCAGCAGCACTATTTCCAAAGCCGGCTTCCCCTGTATGAGATCGGCAGGAAGATTCAGTAGAACGCCACGCTTCCCCGAGTTCGACTATCCCGCTCAGTAGATGTTTGTATTCGCAGACTGCGTTCGCGAATATCACTTTACAGATTGATACCGGTCATGTTAAAAATCTGTAATGGCATCATGTCGGGTCGAACGAACAAACAAAATCTTCTTCTTCGTTATCGTTTACTATACAATGTCGCATTCCTGACCTCCTTCGTTCTCGGAACTTACTATGTATAGCCTTGCTCTTCTATGAACGAGCACGAGGATACAACGCAATGCAATAAATCTCGCAGAACTTCAGTGCAGACTGCCTTAGGGGCGTTGTAGATGTTGCTCAGCACGATGCTATTTCACACAAGATATTATAACGACAAACAAAATTCTACACCAGTACAACTTTCACGCACTTCTTCACATCTACTTCTTCAATCCTCTAATCCATCGTCTTTCTTTTTGAAAAGCAGAAGCAAAAGCTTCCCGGTTCCATCCCCACCAGCCTGCATTGTGGATGCGTTGTGAGCCACACGTCCATATTTACGCCATCTTGCGATCGTATCATCCTCACGAACGGTTGGAATTAGAAGATTGTCAATAGACACCTGTTACCTTTGATACACAGGCACAATGTCTCCAGTATGGCGGGCAACACAACTAGTCGTGGCTCTCCATTAGCCTGAAACTCATTACCGATGGATACTCATGTCATGTCATGGTGCCTCGTGTGTAGCTATATTATAAGTGTGGAGCTATAAGTGTCTACTTCTGAGTTCTGACTAGCTATACTCAGTTGACGATTCCCTATGTAACCCATCCACCATAACATCAAATCCCACTTCTCCTGTAAAACTTGGTATATCAAGTAGTCTTCAATTCCAGGCAATCGCACAGTGTGGCTGAGCACAAGGAACGAGCCAGGGTGGCTCAAATCGTATATCTTAAAGCTCAATTCCTTGGTCATCATGACTCTGAACGGAAGAGACCCCCTCCAAGGCTCAGGCTCTCCCCTTTCCCTTCATTTTCCCCTGTTCTCGCAAGGGGACTCTCTTCGATGTCAGTGGCCGACCTCTATGACCAATGAAAGAAGACGAGCCATAATTATTGTCTTGCCGAGTAAGCGCATGACATCCCGGTGTGCATCTTCGTCCTTGTGATCCCCAGCTACTACGTCAGCACCTAAGATAACGTCGAAGGTCTTGCTTCGTGGTTCTTGTTGTTCTTTTGCTTGGCTTTCCTTGTTTCCTTCTGGGAAAAGCAATCTCGCTAAGTCTTCGCGATCGACACCCCAAGGCAAGGAACAGGCGCTAATCTTCAAATTCTTCTTGCCAGCAGAGGTGGACGTCATCAGTTTACTCGCATTACTATCGAGATTTTCTTGCGCAGCTGCTACCAGTTGTGGTAGGTAGTCGGTGACTATGACTTCCGAAGCGCCTAGGACCCTAGCCGCCATGCCTGGTAACGGTGCGGCCCCACAGCCTAATTCAATCACAGATCGACCAGCGATGGAGGAAGGATTAGATGGACATGATGTACTTTCTTGGCTGACTGAGTACTTACACACAATTATAGTCTAAGTATGTATAGTCTATAGTCTATCCTGTTGATTCACAACGACCTCAAGGAACCCTGGGGTACTTCTGAGCAGCGAACGAACGCACGACACACACATACACATTCCAAAACAAGAACTGATATTTCACATCATAATCGACGCACTCAGGGTTTTCCCCTCAAAGAGGGCCACCATTAAAGCATGTGCGGCGTCCCAGAGTCCGAAACCGAGAGGCACACGATAGAATACAGTCGGGTCTCTTTGCACGTTTTGCGCTAGCGTAATCTCCGGAATATTCAGGGTGAAAAAGGAGGAAGTTAGATTTGAATACTCCTCCTGTTCTTCGGGTAGCTCATTATTACGAGAACGGTCAAAGTCGAAAAAAGACTTGATGATTAGCTCTTCTTGCAGATGATCTACACCATATAACTTCTCTCCCAAGCCCAACCGCACCTACCTCATTTGCAGTTGCTGCTGTGGAAAAATAGACCTCGAACGGGACGGTTTTTTGAATCAAGTCCTCGAACGCAGATGGGTGAACGCTGCTTCCTCCACAGTCGTGCGATCGAAAGAGAGACGATGGCAATGCAGCAGGATAGAGGTCCGACGTTGGTTCCTTCGTTAAGGTGGACGACTTCACTTTGGTGGTCCCAGCAGTTAGTATAGGTGCGCGAGACGAAGAACTAGTGCCGCTTGCTCCGCGTACGTTAGAAAAGATCAAATGAACCTTCGAAGAGATGATGAGAGAAACTCAATGTGAAAAACGCACAAGAAGCTATCGACGAAGGAATAGTGTAAGTATTCCGCATAAAAAAAATGTTCTTGCATAGCTATAGACGGACAGTATTCAGCATAAGGTTAGACATAACTATAGACGAATAGTATTCAGCTTCGAAAACCAGGTCTGATGCGTTGTACTCTTCTGGTAGTCCCTGAGCTGCTGCTCGACTCGCAGAGCCTTTCTGCTCCTGTACTCTTATTAGAACCTCAAACAAGATCAAAATAGCGAGAAAGTTGTAGCTTTCATCATCTTTAATCAGCGAGAAAGGTGTGGCTTTCATCATCTTCAATCTTATACTGAGAGATGAATTATAACATGATCTAGTGTTCTCTCTTCTTACTTCTTCTGTTTGGGTGATGACAAAAGAAAGCTTAAAGTGGCCTTAATGCTTCGTCACAGGGCAGGCAGCAAGCCCTGTCCTTCTGGCTCATCTTTCCGTCGTCTTGTTCGTGCCCGTCGACAACGAACTTGTCTTTCTGTAATGACAAGGTTCGGCCAGTAACCGTCGACAACGAACTTGTCTTTCTGTAATGACAAGGCGCGGTTCGTTTTTCAGAGCTTCCGGCTGTTGAGAAGACGCTTCATCTTGGTATCTTCTAGTTTCGTGTACATCAGAGTAGTTGCGACCACGACATGAGGAATCCCCCGTGAAACTTATGTTGTATCAGGTAAACAAAGTCAATCTTCCCCTTCCGGCACATATACTATGTATAATGGAGGCAAACACATGTTGACATATTGCGATCCTTACTCGATCACCTATCAAGAAGCCATAACACGTAGAATGGAACAATAACATCAACCCTCACCGACTCACCTGAGTGCTTACACAGATGAACTCCTCGAACAGAACTCATCACGACTTCGTCCGCTGAACAGGAGAACTCTAAAGAACAACGTACTTGCACAGATGAGCAGAACTCTCAAAAACAACGTACACAGATGATGACCATATTAACTCATGGACGCTCATCCCCAGAACTATAATAGTTAGACTAAGTAGAGAGGCTCTCCGAAGCGTGATGCCTGAGAAAGCGTTCCCTTAACCTGCTCCGTCAGCACTCATCTAGCATTACGAGCGAGGGAGTGATTGAATGTACCCACTCCAGGGGTATAGAAGACCGCTACACCACTGCTTCCGGCGTTTGCAACATTATTAGACCCAAGAGAAATCCATCTTGAAACGCATCTTAGAACCTTTTCCCCTTGAAAACGGTCTCAGGATGCACGTGAAGATGGATTTCTTGTAGCCTTAACATTAACACTAGAGTGCTGCCTTCCTTCACAATCGCCCTCATTCCACAGTAGCTGAGATTCATTCCACAAGCTCTTCTTGTCAACTCTCCTTGTCCACATAGTGAGCACTCAGAGGTACATACAGTAGGTTGGAACGGAGCGTCGGCGAAGTGCGATTTCAAGATGAATAACACCGCCACAGTCAGATTTCAAGATGAAGAAACATCTAGGCATTTATACATAGTAGTACCATGATGCCTTCAAAGAGGAGAGTAGTGGTGGTAGTGTATCCAATCGCGAGGAATACGTTATTTAATTCGGTGCACTTCTTCTTCGTCTTTCCTTCTTCACCTCACACGTCGTTGGCTTTCTACCCTTTCACAATCGTTCTGGCACCTTTCCTCTATACGCTACCACTTTTTCCATGTAAACGAATTTCACCTTGTCTTTCCAATCAGGCGCAATGGATTAGATGAGGCTTTCAAATCATAAAAAAAACTAGACAATCGAAATTGAAGACTACAATTGAAATCGAGTTTCTTGTTGTAGTACCCAACACTGCGGCTAGGTCTACTTTTCCAGACACGCAGCACGCTCGAATACATAGAAGTACGAGGCAATCCCCGTTGCAGACTGTTTGTTCTTCAGAGAAACCTTAAATCTAAAACCAGAGAAACCCTACAGCAACCCTACAGATTGATTGAATTCAAGTACTGAATTCTATTAATCAGTGTCTGTTGTCCCACAAAACCTGAAAGCACCAACATGTAAGTAGCCATAAACAATATATGCGACATCTGGCGGCAACGGGACCTCCTTCAAGACGCTGAAGCCTCTTCTTTCGTACCAAGCTCTAATATCCGCACGCACGGACATCGTGGGGAAAGTGATACGATAAAGTTAGAAGGCGACAGAAATAAGGGGTCATGCGACAAGAGTCAGGCGACAGAAATAGGAGTCGCATACTCTCTCGCAGTTGAAACTTGTAGACTCTCTATCAACAGTCATAACACCTGTGCGAAGGAGCCTGTGACGAGTCTTCTTGAGGAGTAGCTGGTTGCTGACCTCGATCTGCGTCTGTGCCAAGAACCTGTCCAAGAACGACCTTTCCCTCTCCTTTTTGTTTGTCATTTGCAGTTGGCGGATACACACCTGTCGCAGCCCACTCATCTACCGCTTTTATCAGCAAACCGCCTATACCTCGGCCACACGCTTGCGGTCTCACTGCAAGAATACCCAGAGTCACACTCCGCAACCTCGGCGATTCCTGTCCGGCACTAGTCGCTGCGACATCAGTTGCACTAGTCGATGTCGATGTGCTAGTCGATGTCGATGTACCAGGAGCACCTGTAGTTGTACCTGCTTTCTCAACGCCCAGCCCGTCCTTGAAATCGAATCGTGAGTTTTTCTCGATAAAATCTACAACATCTTCGGACTTCATCGATTCCCACCCCAGCTCTTGGACGCGAATACAGCCGAGAATAGAAGAACGCCTCTGCTCCGTTGATGACGTTGATGTTGATGGCGACAAGGAAGTGTCCGCGCAAGAATCCTCTTTGGCGTCTGGTAGTGGTGTCTGGTTTTGATCATCTACGAAGATGAAGAACTTCTCTCCTCCTTCTGCAAGCATAGCACGAACCTCCGATCCGTCGCGTGCAAAGCGATAGATGTCTGCTTCGTTTTTGAAAAAAGCATCCGCTAGAAAGGCCTCATTAGCGACCTCGGTGATCGCTTCCGCATCTTCGACGGTCGCCAAGCGAATCATGTTTACTTGAGGTTGAGTTGATGAAGATCTCAGTAAGAACCAAATTAGGAAGTAGTTATCTTCACTGATTAAATAACTCCTTGACGAAACTATGATTAACGTACGTGTGTAGCCACACATTCACTCAGATCTAGTCTTTTCATGTTCTTTGCCCTACGGTCTCAACAAGGAAACCTGAGCTCTCGAAGAACTAGCCACGCACTTCTCTACTCTGTAGTATTTCAACCAAGAGTCGTCATCTCGAGATTCCAAACAGCATGTGCTCCACCAAGACCACCGCGAAGGGCAGAGAAACAGTTACGCTTTTTTCCTTGATGTGATGACCTTACACTAAGTTTATACGGCAGTTAAACGGGGACCAAAACAATAAGGGTCCCACGTGCTCGGGACAGGGGATTCATTGGGCATGTACGCAGAAACAGCAGATGGCATATCTTCTGTAGTTGTATCACATCATGGGAATTGTACGTGGGAGGTGATTGCGAATTATGGTCAGGTCAACATCAGACTGTCAAGAAACATCAACATACTCGAGCAGCAAACTCGTATCTACGAACTGCTCAAGCGCCACCTTATAAACAGCTAAAATTTTTTGCGTGACTTGCAATAGTTTCCACTATCATTGCCCCCCGACATTTCCAAACGCCAAAGAGGGTTCTCTGATTCGGCGTTTAGTCGCTCCAAGTGGTTATTGAAACCATTTTCAAAGCCTTTATGCTTATTTCTCACTGCGACGCATTCTTGCTCATGGCCTTCCTTGAACCTCTTTTCAAGTATCTTAGACATGGCAGCACGCTCCTCTGACTCCTGCTCGGCGGGAGGAAGTATTAGAATTGGATAATCAGGAGAATATCTTCGGACTCTTGCTCGGTAAGCGGGGATACTAGAACGGAATGGGGGGAATTATATAAAGTGTGATATTCGAGGATACGCAAAGAAAGTATTCTTCGAGAGAATTTAAACCAAGAGAAATAGATTTTTTCGCATTTAGATTTATTTATTAGAGAGTACCTAAGTATCTGCAAGTCAGTCGGTGGTGCCTTAACAATGCATGCCAGTCTTTCGGCAGCTGCTTGGTCGGCTTTTCCACTATCCGCTTGCCGCCAAAAAGACCCTGCCAGAACAACATCATTTCTCGACAAACAAATTGGCCTTTGCTGGTCTTTCGTCGGTTCAAAAACTTGCTTACCAACGCCTTACAGGCCATGCACGTTACTTCGTAGCTGTGCATCACGTCCTTGTCGAGTGTAGTAGGATCAGTCACTGTCCGAGCAGCTGCCTTCTTCTTGTTCTTATCCGCTTCGCTGTTGAGCCGACGAGCCCGTATGCTTTCCGCAGTAGCACCACGATAGGTGCCGCACTTGGAAAAGTCAATCGGTGCGACTTTGTTTCCAGCATCGTTGCCACCTTTCCCTGATGGTCGTGCATCGTCTTCTTCCTCGTCTTCGGAATCAGAGCTCATGTCTTTCAACGACAAAATAGGAACACTTTTTGCCTTGTTTTTCATCTTCTTTTCCTCTACCTTCTTGGTCTTGTTCTCCGTAGTTGCAGAAGAGGTAGAGGCGGTGGTGTGAGTGGTGGTGTTGCCGTTCTTACCCATAGGAGTGGTGGTAGTCAAAGTTTTTTTACTGGTCGTGTCGTTATTATTCATCTTACTGTTAGTCGTGGCCTTTCCCATTTCGCTCTCCGAAGTGGACTCATACGAAATTTCTTCTTCCTCTTCGTAACTGGATGACTCTTCAGAGGAGTCGTCGGAGTCTAAAACTTCTACAACAGTTCCAGCAGTGGTGCTAGGTGGAGTAACCGCTGTACTTTGCGGAGATCCTCCTGTTAAAGCTGCTGATCCTGGAGTTCCTGTTTTAGTAGTAGACGAAGTTCCTGTAGATGCAGCAGGAGTTAGCACCGCACTGCTTTTAGTAGTTGTGGTTCCTGTTACAGCCGCAGGAGTTCCAGTTTTCGCCGCACCTCTAGCAGTTGTAGTTCCTCCTGTCACACCTGGTACTACAGGAAACCTTTGTATATCAGCAAAGAGGACAGCTTTTTCAGTAGTTGCAGTGCTTCCGTTTGCAACAGCCCTTGCACGATGTGACTCAGTAGAAGATGCCGAGTTTTGATTTTGACCAACAAGCTCTGCAGCGGTTTGAAATAGGCGTGAACTGTAAGGTCGCCTTCTTTCCCTAGAATCCCGCCTACCTCCTCTAATGTGCGATGGCTCTCGTTCTCTTCCCCTGTAGTCACGTCTATCACGATGTCCACCTTGATACCGCCTTCTTTCCCTAGTAGAATCACGCCGACCTCGAGAGCGAGACCGCTTCGTTGTCCTCGAGTCCTGCCGACCTCTAGCTGTAGATCGTCCTGTTCGTCCCCTAGTAGAGGCATGTGTGTTCGTCCGCGTATCTCGACCGCGCGACCGTCCTCTTCCCCTACTGCCTCTAGCGCGTGACCTGCTTCTCCTTCTACTACTCCTCCTGTCACGGTTATCAGGCACTTCCCTCAGAGTAGACCTGTAGTTTTCTTCATTACGGAATCCAGAATCATGACTCGACGATGACGAATGGCCACCAGACCTCGACGAATTTTTCCATATATCTGGAGGATCAACATTCTGCTGTGGTGGCAAATTCCCGCTGGTGTCGGGAATCCACCTAGGGACAGAAGTGCTCCAATCCACCTTTCCTCCTTTGATTCCACCGAAACCTTTCGCTCCTTCTGGTCCGAAAGTGCTGGAGTTACTACTGTTTTTATGCACTTCCCGAACGTTGTGGAAGAAGTTTCTTGCTGGCTTATTAACATTATTGGTGCTGGCATCTTTAACATTATAATTCCTCCATGGTAACAAAGTCATCCGCTGCAAAGTAGCCGATGCACTATGATGTGCGACTTGAAGAGGCAGCGAGCATGCACTAATAATATGTTGTTGATGAACTTGAGGTGGCCATGAAGATCCATCATGATGTTGTTGAACTTGCGTTGGTCTTATAGACGAAGATCTTGGAATGCTCTTAGGTCTCAAGTCTCGATCGCGAGGATCAACAGAGACCGAGTTATGTGACGAGAAATCGCTATAATTGCCTGTCGGTCGTGGCGGTTGAGCCACTCGGACTCTCTGATGTAGTAGAGGTCGCAACTCCACTCTCTGCTGTTGGACTCGTTGGCCTCCTTGTTGTGTAGTCCTACTGGCATGGCCTTGGCCTTGACCTTGATCTACTTGTGCGCCGCTACTGTAATAATCATCCTGTACTATGGATGAGTCATCCGCTATGAAACCAAACTGCGGCATCTGTTCTCGTAGCCTGCCATTCGCAGCAGTGCCGGTTGCAGCAGAATAGTGCCCTTTCATTGCCGCGTCGTAAGTCATCTGATGATGCCTCGCCATTATGTTTGATGCTTTCCAACCTAAGATCATAATCGCAGATCTAGTTGATACAGATTCATGGCCTCATCGTTCATAGCGACAGCTCCTTGTAGTTGCAAACTAGTTGTAGTTGCAATACTTATACAGCTACTTACGCACGTCCTGTGCAAACAACATCATATTTCATTTATAGCGGATTCGTCCGCAGTGGGGAATATATCTGAAAGTGCGAAGATGAACATGGGAAGGATTATTGGGGACATACTTATCAGGAAGAAAAAGCCCTGAGGATGTAGGAGTATATAAGATCATGATCATCGTAGAAGTATATAAGATACACAGAGCACAAAGAAATCCGGCGGGATCGTACGCGTCGCCCGGAGCGCATCAAAACAAACAAACAAGTATATAAGATCATCATCATCCTCAATCTCTTTACTTGTAAAGTTTTGCCTTCGTTTTGATTTCTCTTTTTTGGTTTTGAATTTTGATTTTTGAATTTTGATGGTCATGATCTGAATCTATCGAAATATTCCACAAAGATCTACCTCTTCTAGTAATTTGTTATTGCGCTTGTTATTGACCCATATTTAGCTTCCTCTCCGTACAGAAAATCGGTCACAACCGTTATCTGGAAGACGCGATCATCTCGCAGCCGTTGTAGATGTAGAAACGATAGACATGACCAAGATCTTACTTGCAGTCGGATGATCAACTGTAGAAACGATAGACATGACCAAGATCTTACTTGCAGTCGGATGATCAACTGTAGAAACGATAAGATCTTACCTGCAGTCGGATCATTTCTTGCAGTCGGATTTAGATCCAACATCGATGTCCTTAGTTCTAAGTCAGATGATCCACTGATCATGTAGACCTCGAACGGAGTTTGTGAACACCAAGACCAAAATTGTGACATTTTTCCAGACTTTTTCATAGATCCTTCGTTTGCTCCTACGTTTCTTTTGAATGGCTTACATGACGTAGAATTGTCATGCCATGTTACCTCAACATGGCCCATCCTTCTATAAAATGGCATTGAGGTCTTTTCATGCGACTTGTACCTTCTCAGAAGAATTTTCCCTGGTACCTATACAACAATAATGAGTCACAAACTTCTCCTGTGCTACTCTACGGCAGTGGACGCTCATCTTCAAGATCCGAGCTCCATGAATTTTCCGGCAAAGGCAAAGAATTTGCCCATGTGCGGTTTCAAGGCTTCCTTCAATTTTTCTGTAAATAAAGGGCTTACTTCTTTTTCCTCCACCCCTTCCTCTGCACCACAGGGATCACTTTTCTCGGGCTTAAGAAGTAACTGGTTCTCGGTTGCCTCCCTCTGCTCCGTGGAAATGGCATCATCTTTATCCTTGTCTCTAACATCTCTCACCACGTTTTGTAAGTCCTCATCCTCTGCTACCAGGTTTACGAACCTTTCAACTAGTGGCCTCACGTGGTCTTCCGCGTATCTCTGCAGCACCGGATCATTTTCGTTCAGTGATCCCCACGCGAGAAAATATGCGATCCTAGCATTAGCTTTAGCCTTAGGAGACTTCACGTTGTTACTGTTAGTGTCGTGTGGATCGACGAACTCCCACAAGTGCGGAAGCAGCCCTTTCGCGCACATCTCGACAACCTCCGGAACCTGAAAGAGCAAGATAAGAGCCCTCTTCTCCTTCTCCTCGTGCAGCAACGCAAGAAGCATCTTCTCCTTCTCCTCCTGGGCCTGCGCACGAAGAATCTTAGTGTGGAGATCATCCATCTTCTCCCGCTCAGCACGAATCACAAAGTCAAGTTCACGCACCAGAAGAGCGACAGCGAAGCTTTCCATTTCGTTCTTGCGATCGCGCACCATCTCGTCTGGTTCTGACTTTCCCTCTGGATCTTTAGATCCGTCAAAAAAGACAACATGGTCCCGCGTATGCGCTTTCAACCAGAATCTTTTCTCCTCGGGTTCCATCTTGTTCAGCTCTTTCCTCTCCTCGAAAGCCTGGTCCAATTCAGCTCGCGCTGAGGCAGTCAGCAGTCGCAACACCTTGTCATTCTGGTGGTTCATCTTCGGGTCATCTACATCTTCATTTGCGGTACTGGGATTATGGCAAAGGCGCGTAACGGTTCTGCCTAAACCAAGCATGAAGGAGGTACACAAAACGGAAGCTTTGTTCTTCAAAATCTTCCTTGGCGGTTCATAGAAAGTCACTTGTCTCCTGTTCTCCTCGTTTCTAGACACTAAAAATGAGCCATCCTCTGCCGTACCTTTGCCGCGTGGGAGCTCGCGTTCTACGGGATTCGCCTGTGGCTTCGCTGCGGGACTCGCCTCGTCTGGCTTCGCTGCAGGACTGGCCGTCGCCTCGTCTGGCTTCGCTGCAGGACTCGCCTCGCTTGCCCCTACTAGTACCTCGTCACGGTGTTGGAGACCTGTTGTTCCCAATCGGACTGCGGAAGCAGCCTTCAACGCAGAGTGAGAAAAGAGCACTGGAGTCCCAGCGAACAAGACCCAGAGTGCTCGTTGCGCGATAACAATGTTTCTAGGCGAGGACATCTTGTTGTAACTCTAAGTGCTTTATTGCCTTAACCACAGAAGAAGTGCTTTGTTGTAACTAAGAGCTATACAGTAACAGTTTCGTTGAGTAAATTTATGGATCCTATGTATCTTAGGATACTATCAGGGAAATTCAGCCGTCTATGCAGTTTATGGATCCTACGTATCTTGGGATACTATCAGGGAAATTCAGCCGTTAATGCATACTAGGACACGAAAACCGTCAAACTGTAACGTAATTCTGTAATTATATCAGAATGTGATTGAATGATGAAGATGTATAGCTTCTGAGGATAACAAGGGAGCCAAAAATCTATACCGGGATGATTTAATCGAGGGTGGAAGCACGACTACGATGAAGCACCGTTGTTTTTTCTTCGTTAAAAAGGTCTCTAAGAGTCAAAATCCTCTTAGCTCAAATGGATTTCCACTGTGTGTAAGATGAAGATCACAGATGCACCTACTTATTGGCAGCTAGAGCGAGGTGGTTCAGGTTCTATTTCTCAATTATAGTTGTTGATGTTTCTCCTGCCCTACCATGCTACGAACAAGACAGTTCTTCTGCCCTACCACGCAATTAGTAAGACAGCTGATCGTACACTATGATCTACACTACTGGAGCGCTGATGTGATTCGTGCCCTTTCTGCGCTGCTGGCATGTTGATCCTACTATAGGAGTGCCATGCGATCTTAATCCTACTATAGAAGTGATCCAAGTATTATTTCATTATGATGCTACGAACTTCTTTGTAGTGACTCGACAGAGATGAGGATCCTCTTGTGAGTTTCGGTGAAACTTTCGGCGCAATCGACTGGTCAATAAACTAGCTAGAGCACGAGGGGTTTCCGATGTACTTAACCGAGTCAGCTAGTTACTCAAATCAACACTCTTATGTTGATCTTTGTGATTGTGGTCACTCAAGAATTGCTGATCACTGTGAAAACAAGACTTCTGGTGTAACATCCTTGCTGTACTAACGGTAGGAGTAACAATAAACCCAATCTGGGGGCACAATCCAAAGGGTTATAACGGAAGGAATTAGACTTCTTCTAGTAGTTTTAAACCAACTGAGAAAGATACCACAGACAAACTCACTAATAAGTCAAGATACAGACTATTTTGTTGAACGAGATTATAGTCGATGTCGAAGTCAAGATACAGACTATTGTATAAAAGGCCACCCTTGAAGTCCATTCAAGCAATATCTAGAGAACCTTACAGATGTCGAGCGCGGAAACAATCAGTAATCTCCATCATCATCATCATCACCGTCATGGCGTCTCAAGAAGTAGTCCTTTTAGTGGTCAATTTCTCTCATTTTGAAGGTGGTAAAAGAACACTCAAAAAAACTAGGAGGAGCTGCTTAAGTTCTATTTTCTATGGTCAAATTTGACATCATCAGTTTCTCCATCTTTCGTCGTTCCTCACCTTGTTCTGCAGGATAAGCCTGTAGTTTTTATTTCTTAGTTTCTCTTCAACGTAAGCGATGGACTTCATTCATTCATTCGGTAATTGGCAAACTAATACTGCCTTCGATTTCAGTGGTGCGCTCCTTGCTTTTCCTTAAGCCGGAGGGAACAGTTGTAACGTTGAGACTGGCTTCAATTCATTTTTAGGTAGTCTAGCGGTGCGGTTTCTGTCGTCCTTCCGAAAAATAAAGAAGCAGCCCCCTCCATTCAACTCCTCTTCATGCATATGATTAACGGCGCCACAATTTGTTGATGTTTTTTTAAATGTTTTCAAGATTGTTACTGATGTTTCTGACTTTTAGAAATGCTTCATTCAAGGTGTATTCCTTCCAGTTTATTTGCTTAGTCCTAAATTTCCAAATAGTAATCCCGATCATGAACAGTTGAACACAGTTTGTATATGAGCCTTATTTGATGAGTGTTGTAAGTATGATTAATTCATGCGTTTGCGTAGTCATTGTTGCATTATTATAATGTATAAATTCTTCTCAGAATGGTTGTAGTTTCCACTTCAGTCACCAAATCCTTCTAGTATACGAGATAATAGGCTGTCTTCGGGACATTTCATTCATAGCGTAGTCTGTGGCATTTATCCACTCCAGTTTACTGCTCTACCTGTACCTCTGATGTTCACGACCTACAATGACAGCACTCTCACTTCTATTCTAGTGTATCTAGTAAACAAAAGATGCTTGGCATTCCTTGTCTTTGCTACTAAAATTCCATCTCCACCAGGTAGCACCTTCTCGCTTCAATTCCATCTCTATCAAGTACTAGCGCCGCGGCTCAGGCGCCATGGCGTGCTCCTCGCTTCTTCCAATAAGCGAGTGCCGAGATGATGAGTGAAAAAAAGGCCAGCGAAAAAACTAGCAGGCTGAATCCCTCAAGCCCGCTGAAAGTCGCAACCGGCNATTGTGACATTTTTCCAGACTTTTTCATAGATCCTTCGTTTGCTCCTACGTTTCTTTTGAATGGCTTACATGACGTAGAATTGTCATGCCATGTTACCTCAACATGGCCCATCCTTCTATAAAATGGCATTGAGGTCTTTTCATGCGACTTGTACCTTCTCAGAAGAATTTTCCCTGGTACCTATACAACAATAATGAGTCACAAACTTCTCCTGTGCTACTCTACGGCAGTGGACGCTCATCTTCAAGATCCGAGCTCCATGAATTTTCCGGCAAAGGCAAAGAATTTGCCCATGTGCGGTTTCAAGGCTTCCTTCAATTTTTCTGTAAATAAAGGGCTTACTTCTTTTTCCTCCACCCCTTCCTCTGCACCACAGGGATCACTTTTCTCGGGCTTAAGAAGTAACTGGTTCTCGGTTGCCTCCCTCTGCTCCGTGGAAATGGCATCATCTTTATCCTTGTCTCTAACATCTCTCACCACGTTTTGTAAGTCCTCATCCTCTGCTACCAGGTTTACGAACCTTTCAACTAGTGGCCTCACGTGGTCTTCCGCGTATCTCTGCAGCACCGGATCATTTTCGTTCAGTGATCCCCACGCGAGAAAATATGCGATCCTAGCATTAGCTTTAGCCTTAGGAGACTTCACGTTGTTACTGTTAGTGTCGTGTGGATCGACGAACTCCCACAAGTGCGGAAGCAGCCCTTTCGCGCACATCTCGACAACCTCCGGAACCTGAAAGAGCAAGATAAGAGCCCTCTTCTCCTTCTCCTCGTGCAGCAACGCAAGAAGCATCTTCTCCTTCTCCTCCTGGGCCTGCGCACGAAGAATCTTAGTGTGGAGATCATCCATCTTCTCCCGCTCAGCACGAATCACAAAGTCAAGTTCACGCACCAGAAGAGCGACAGCGAAGCTTTCCATTTCGTTCTTGCGATCGCGCACCATCTCGTCTGGTTCTGACTTTCCCTCTGGATCTTTAGATCCGTCAAAAAAGACAACATGGTCCCGCGTATGCGCTTTCAACCAGAATCTTTTCTCCTCGGGTTCCATCTTGTTCAGCTCTTTCCTCTCCTCGAAAGCCTGGTCCAATTCAGCTCGCGCTGAGGCAGTCAGCAGTCGCAACACCTTGTCATTCTGGTGGTTCATCTTCGGGTCATCTACATCTTCATTTGCGGTACTGGGATTATGGCAAAGGCGCGTAACGGTTCTGCCTAAACCAAGCATGAAGGAGGTACACAAAACGGAAGCTTTGTTCTTCAAAATCTTCCTTGGCGGTTCATAGAAAGTCACTTGTCTCCTGTTCTCCTCGTTTCTAGACACTAAAAATGAGCCATCCTCTGCCGTACCTTTGCCGCGTGGGAGCTCGCGTTCTACGGGATTCGCCTGTGGCTTCGCTGCGGGACTCGCCTCGTCTGGCTTCGCTGCAGGACTGGCCGTCGCCTCGTCTGGCTTCGCTGCAGGACTCGCCTCGCTTGCCCCTACTAGTACCTCGTCACGGTGTTGGAGACCTGTTGTTCCCAATCGGACTGCGGAAGCAGCCTTCAACGCAGAGTGAGAAAAGAGCACTGGAGTCCCAGCGAACAAGACCCAGAGTGCTCGTTGCGCGATAACAATGTTTCTAGGCGAGGACATCTTGTTGTAACTCTAAGTGCTTTATTGCCTTAACCACAGAAGAAGTGCTTTGTTGTAACTAAGAGCTATACAGTAACAGTTTCGTTGAGTAAATTTATGGATCCTATGTATCTTAGGATACTATCAGGGAAATTCAGCCGTCTATGCAGTTTATGGATCCTACGTATCTTGGGATACTATCAGGGAAATTCAGCCGTTAATGCATACTAGGACACGAAAACCGTCAAACTGTAACGTAATTCTGTAATTATATCAGAATGTGATTGAATGATGAAGATGTATAGCTTCTGAGGATAACAAGGGAGCCAAAAATCTATACCGGGATGATTTAATCGAGGGTGGAAGCACGACTACGATGAAGCACCGTTGTTTTTTCTTCGTTAAAAAGGTCTCTAAGAGTCAAAATCCTCTTAGCTCAAATGGATTTCCACTGTGTGTAAGATGAAGATCACAGATGCACCTACTTATTGGCAGCTAGAGCGAGGTGGTTCAGGTTCTATTTCTCAATTATAGTTGTTGATGTTTCTCCTGCCCTACCATGCTACGAACAAGACAGTTCTTCTGCCCTACCACGCAATTAGTAAGACAGCTGATCGTACACTATGATCTACACTACTGGAGCGCTGATGTGATTCGTGCCCTTTCTGCGCTGCTGGCATGTTGATCCTACTATAGGAGTGCCATGCGATCTTAATCCTACTATAGAAGTGATCCAAGTATTATTTCATTATGATGCTACGAACTTCTTTGTAGTGACTCGACAGAGATGAGGATCCTCTTGTGAGTTTCGGTGAAACTTTCGGCGCAATCGACTGGTCAATAAACTAGCTAGAGCACGAGGGGTTTCCGATGTACTTAACCGAGTCAGCTAGTTACTCAAATCAACACTCTTATGTTGATCTTTGTGATTGTGGTCACTCAAGAATTGCTGATCACTGTGAAAACAAGACTTCTGGTGTAACATCCTTGCTGTACTAACGGTAGGAGTAACAATAAACCCAATCTGGGGGCACAATCCAAAGGGTTATAACGGAAGGAATTAGACTTCTTCTAGTAGTTTTAAACCAACTGAGAAAGATACCACAGACAAACTCACTAATAAGTCAAGATACAGACTATTTTGTTGAACGAGATTATAGTCGATGTCGAAGTCAAGATACAGACTATTGTATAAAAGGCCACCCTTGAAGTCCATTCAAGCAATATCTAGAGAACCTTACAGATGTCGAGCGCGGAAACAATCAGTAATCTCCATCATCATCATCATCACCGTCATGGCGTCTCAAGAAGTAGTCCTTTTAGTGGTCAATTTCTCTCATTTTGAAGGTGGTAAAAGAACACTCAAAAAAACTAGGAGGAGCTGCTTAAGTTCTATTTTCTATGGTCAAATTTGACATCATCAGTTTCTCCATCTTTCGTCGTTCCTCACCTTGTTCTGCAGGATAAGCCTGTAGTTTTTATTTCTTAGTTTCTCTTCAACGTAAGCGATGGACTTCATTCATTCATTCGGTAATTGGCAAACTAATACTGCCTTCGATTTCAGTGGTGCGCTCCTTGCTTTTCCTTAAGCCGGAGGGAACAGTTGTAACGTTGAGACTGGCTTCAATTCATTTTTAGGTAGTCTAGCGGTGCGGTTTCTGTCGTCCTTCCGAAAAATAAAGAAGCAGCCCCCTCCATTCAACTCCTCTTCATGCATATGATTAACGGCGCCACAATTTGTTGATGTTTTTTTAAATGTTTTCAAGATTGTTACTGATGTTTCTGACTTTTAGAAATGCTTCATTCAAGGTGTATTCCTTCCAGTTTATTTGCTTAGTCCTAAATTTCCAAATAGTAATCCCGATCATGAACAGTTGAACACAGTTTGTATATGAGCCTTATTTGATGAGTGTTGTAAGTATGATTAATTCATGCGTTTGCGTAGTCATTGTTGCATTATTATAATGTATAAATTCTTCTCAGAATGGTTGTAGTTTCCACTTCAGTCACCAAATCCTTCTAGTATACGAGATAATAGGCTGTCTTCGGGACATTTCATTCATAGCGTAGTCTGTGGCATTTATCCACTCCAGTTTACTGCTCTACCTGTACCTCTGATGTTCACGACCTACAATGACAGCACTCTCACTTCTATTCTAGTGTATCTAGTAAACAAAAGATGCTTGGCATTCCTTGTCTTTGCTACTAAAATTCCATCTCCACCAGGTAGCACCTTCTCGCTTCAATTCCATCTCTATCAAGTACTAGCGCCGCGGCTCAGGCGCCATGGCGTGCTCCTCGCTTCTTCCAATAAGCGAGTGCCGAGATGATGAGTGAAAAAAAGGCCAGCGAAAAAACTAGCAGGCTGAATCCCTCAAGCCCGCTGAAAGTCGCAACCGGCTGAGTGGCTGACGTCGAGTGGCTGACGACTTTCCCGCGACCGGCTTGGCCCCTAGCAGTTGGGACCACTCGGCCCATCGAAGATTCGTTTTGTAGAAAAGAATGCGGCTTGCGCTTTCCCTGTAGAACGGAGCCGGCACCGTTGCAATCATTATCTCCGTCAGCGCTGACGCCCTCGTCACAAGATGGGTCACTGGATGGGGCGTCAGTGTGGCCGTCTTCTAGAAAGCCACACGGTTTACAGGGGCCACCGTCATCAGGGTTGGCTTGCGCGTTGATTCTGGGGCGGCGCTCACTGTTCGGGGCTTTTGTAGCCGGCAATGCTTTCGCCGCTTCGGCTGCCTTGGCATCAGCCTCCTCCTTCGCCTTTGCTCCAGCCTCCCCATTCGCCTTTGCTCCAGCCTCCCCCCTTGCTCCAGCCTGCTCCCGTGCTTCATCATCCTCCTTCGCCTTTTCTTCAGCTGCCTTTGCTTCATCATCCTCCTTCGCCTTTTCTTCAGCTGCCTTTGCTTCAGCCTCCTCCTTCGCATTTGCTTCAGCTGCCTTGGCATCAGCCTCCTCCTTCGCATTTGCTTCAGCTGCCTTGGCATCAGCCTCCTTCTGCGCATTTGCTTTAGCTGCCTTGGCATCAGCCTCCTTCTGCGCATTTGCTTCAGCCTGCCTCTTTTCTTCAGCCTGCTTCTGTTCTTCAGCCTGCCTCGCGATTGCTGACTCACACCAATTCTCTTGCTTTTCTCCGAAAAAACTTGCTTCGAAGACGTGCTCTATTTGCTCTATTGTTTGCTGCAACTCTTTTTCTGAAGTAGAGGAGTCGAGTCTCCCGATTTCATCTGCTGCTCCTTTCAACGCATCGCCAAGGGCCCCGACCCAATGTGCTCTGCGGGTTCCTCTGCATATCGACGCCACGTTCAGCTGCCCGACAGGTGCTGCTGTCATCTTCTCAGCCCTCCAACCGGAACCTTCTGTACAATCCACCCCAGTCGTAGCCCCATCTCCGACTGAGCAGACGGCGTGTACCAAAAAACCGTAGACGTTCCCGCTCAACTTGCCGAGCCCGGATGCGGGTGTCCGTATCGTCTCCGTCAGTTGTTTTTTATCAAAGTCTTGCAGAAGCAACTCTGTATTCTCGTCGGCACCATCGCCTTGTTTGGCCATATCCTCCAGCAGATCCCTCACGACTTTCCTCACTTTATCCGCGATCAGTTGAGTTTCAACACGCTCGTTAAACTCTAAGAAAGCTGTTGGCGATGGGGGGGCTTCAACTGGACTCCCCTCAAGCACGTCCTCGTCTGCCTCAGGCTCTAATTAGCGCGCACCCCAATCCATCTCGAACTGCATCCTAGGCCGCTTTTCCACTTAAGGAGCCTCGTGGGGATGCTTCCGGAAATGGATTAGGGGAAGCCTTAATTGAACTGGACTTCCCGACTGCCTCGCAGCGAAGCCCTCTGCTCTGTGGTCGGCATTTTCCTTTACGATAGGAGCCAGAATGTCAAGACGTGATATCACACAGAGAAAGAATATGCTGACGATGCCTGAGAGGAAACAGTACTGCACACTCAGATAGAATATGCTGATGATTCTTGAAAGAAAACAGTGCACACATACAATATATTGGATGGAGGGACTAGCCTTGGATCCCTATGAGAGAAAAAGTACCAGAAAAAGTACCCGGTTGTTTTTCTTTATATGCTTTCAGCGTGCCTGGATCTAAACCTCTACCAGAAAAAAGTATACATACAGATATACATAGATGGAGCAATTGAATAGAAGGAGAGACACCGAGTCAGTGATCAGTTGCCTCTATGCTGATGAGGATGGGAAGATAGAATTCACCCTCGTGGATATTTGGTCCGAACAACAATTCAACCCTACCAAAGTTAGGTTGACATTTGCTAAAAGACTCGAGTAAAAGAGAGAAAATGGAGACTAGATATGGAAACTACATTGCTCAGTAATGGGACAAGAAAAAAGGCGACGAAGTGACGTGGGGGGGGTCGGTAGAAACACAGTGATCACATGGAAAAGTAAGATGGGAACCATGATGGGGATGTTGCTAGTCGGATTAGATGATATTTCATGTGTGCATGTCGAATGACTATCCTCCGTCATTAGTGAGATGATATGGATGAACATAGACTGACACAACATCTGCAACTCGAACTCAAAAAAATAAGAATTTTCAATGCCCTCAGTCATAGATCTTACCTCATTCACAGATGTCTATACATAGGATATACAACTCCAATTTCCTCATAGGTCCTCACTCACAGATATTTATACAACTTCTCCCGTTGTTGCCCCTCAAAACAGAAACAAGAGCACTTTTTCGCTCACAGCACTCAGACAGATTCAAACTCTTCTACCACTCGTGAGAGACAGAGATGATTCTTTCATTCTACTCCTCTAAATCAGCACTCACTCCACAACCAACACCAGAACGATTTCCGTGGACTGCAGAACAAGAAAACCACAAGATGTGCCTCAAAGAACTGAAACCTTTTCTCAAGAGCTTAGTATTTTCTCACTTGTGCTTCTTCTCGTGTAACTTTGTTTTCCTACAAACGGCAAAGTTGTCGCTTTCTCTCATTTTGAAGGTGGTGAAAGAACACTCAAAAAAACTAGGAGGAGCTGCTTAAGTTCTATTTTCTATGGTCAAATTTGGCATCATCAGTTTCTCCATCTTTCGTCGTTCCTCACCTTTCGCAGGATGACAAGCCTGTACTTTTTATTTCTTACTTTCTCTTCAACGCCGGCGATGGACTACTTCCCTAAAAATTGGTAAACTAGTACTGCCTTCGATTTCAGGGGTGCTCTCCTTGCTTTTCCTTATGTTCAAAACCAGGTTACCAAATACCAGAAGCATACAGGCGACGGAGAAACTACTGAGTCCTATTGACTTTTCTAGCATCAATCACTATAAGCGCCTTGCTCTCGTTGGTCGGCAATGTAATAGTATTTTGCTTAACATCCGCCTTTTCATCGTTCCGACTTTTGGTCGGAGGTTTTGTTCTTCTCCTTGACCTCCTTTGCGACCACGATGAATAATATCAGACTATCTACAAACAGAGCACTTAGATACGCCAGGCTTACAGTCTCGACATTCTCCGACTACAACTTCCAGTATTATAGTGTTGCACGGGATAAGCCTAGGTTTGTAGAGGTGAAAACTAACCGGTTGCTTTACTTAGTGCTTTGAGCGTCGCTTAGTTAAGTATATGCTGCTTTACTTAGTGCTTAGAAGTTAAGTATATGTTAGTACTATCGACATAAAAACAACCACTTATATTTGATATCCCCGAAAAAAAAATCCCAGACTGGCGATGGTTGCTTGATATTCACAAAAAAAGTTACGGATCCTCCATCATATTCATTTATGAATAGCAATGATATTGTATGTTATCACCTGTTGATTTGAAGAGGCTGAAGAGCACTTTGCTTGAGCAATTATGAGCAAGCGTTGCTGATTTTGAAAGCGTTACTGCTTCTGCTCTGTTTGTTTCTCGCTGTAGTACTATCCATACCAACTAGCGTGTAAGCCGGAGGGAACAGTTGTAACATTGAGACTGGCTACAATTCATTAGGTAGTCTAGCGGTGCGGCTTCTGTCGTCCTTCCGAACGATAAAGAAGCAGCCCCCTCCATTCAACTCGTTTTCCTGCATATGATTAACGGCGCCACAATTTGTTGATGTTTTTTAAATGTTTTCAAGATTGTTACTGATGTTTCTGACTTTTAGAAATGCTTCATTCAAAGTTTATTCTTTACAGTTTATTTGCTTAGCCCTAAGCTTCCAAATAATAATCACGATCATGAACAGTTGAACAAAATATGTATATTAGTCTTATTTGATGAGTCTTAGTATGATTAATTCATGCGTTTGCGTAGTCATTGTTGCATTATCATAATTAATGTATAAATTCTTCTCACAATGGTTGTAGTTTCCACTTCAGTCACCAAATCCTTCTAGTATACGAGATAGTAGGCTGTCTTCGGGACATTTCATTCATAGCGTAGTCTGTGGCATTTATCCACTCCAGTTTACTGCTCTACCTGTACCTCTGATGTTCACGACCTACAATGACAGCACTCTCACTTCTATTCTAGTGTATCTAGTAAACAAAAGATGCTTGGCATTCCTTGTCTTTGCTACTAAAATTCCATCTCCACCAGGTAGCACCTTCTCGCTTCAATTCCATCTCTATCAAGTACTAGCGCCGCGGCTCAGGCGCCATGGCGTGCTCCTCGCTTCTTCCAATAAGCGAGTGCCGAGATGATGAGTGAAAAAAAGGCCAGCGAAAAAACTAGCAGGCTGAATCCCTCAAGCCCGCTGAAAGTCGCAACCGGCTGAGTGGCTGACGTCGAGTGGCTGACGACTTTCCCGCGACCGGCTTGGCCCCTAGCAGTTGGGACCACTCGGCCCATCGAAGATTCGTTTTGTAGAAAAGAATGCGGCTTGCGCTTTCCCTGTAGAACGGAGCCGGCACCGTTGCAATCATTATCTCCGTCAGCGCTGACGCCCTCGTCACAAGATGGGTCACTGGATGGGGCGTCAGTGTGGCCGTCTTCTAGAAAGCCACACGGTTTACAGGGGCCACCGTCATCAGGGTTGGCTTGCGCGTTGATTCTGGGGCGGCGCTCACTGTTCGGGGCTTTTGTAGCCGGCAATGCTTTCGCCGCTTCGGCTGCCTTGGCATCAGCCTCCTCCTTCGCCTTTGCTCCAGCCTCCCCATTCGCCTTTGCTCCAGCCTCCCCCCTTGCTCCAGCCTGCTCCCGTGCTTCATCATCCTCCTTCGCCTTTTCTTCAGCTGCCTTTGCTTCATCATCCTCCTTCGCCTTTTCTTCAGCTGCCTTTGCTTCAGCCTCCTCCTTCGCATTTGCTTCAGCTGCCTTGGCATCAGCCTCCTCCTTCGCATTTGCTTCAGCTGCCTTGGCATCAGCCTCCTTCTGCGCATTTGCTTTAGCTGCCTTGGCATCAGCCTCCTTCTGCGCATTTGCTTCAGCCTGCCTCTTTTCTTCAGCCTGCTTCTGTTCTTCAGCCTGCCTCGCGATTGCTGACTCACACCAATTCTCTTGCTTTTCTCCGAAAAAACTTGCTTCGAAGACGTGCTCTATTTGCTCTATTGTTTGCTGCAACTCTTTTTCTGAAGTAGAGGAGTCGAGTCTCCCGATTTCATCTGCTGCTCCTTTCAACGCATCGCCAAGGGCCCCGACCCAATGTGCTCTGCGGGTTCCTCTGCATATCGACGCCACGTTCAGCTGCCCGACAGGTGCTGCTGTCATCTTCTCAGCCCTCCAACCGGAACCTTCTGTACAATCCACCCCAGTCGTAGCCCCATCTCCGACTGAGCAGACGGCGTGTACCAAAAAACCGTAGACGTTCCCGCTCAACTTGCCGAGCCCGGATGCGGGTGTCCGTATCGTCTCCGTCAGTTGTTTTTTATCAAAGTCTTGCAGAAGCAACTCTGTATTCTCGTCGGCACCATCGCCTTGTTTGGCCATATCCTCCAGCAGATCCCTCACGACTTTCCTCACTTTATCCGCGATCAGTTGAGTTTCAACACGCTCGTTAAACTCTAAGAAAGCTGTTGGCGATGGGGGGGCTTCAACTGGACTCCCCTCAAGCACGTCCTCGTCTGCCTCAGGCTCTAATTAGCGCGCACCCCAATCCATCTCGAACTGCATCCTAGGCCGCTTTTCCACTTAAGGAGCCTCGTGGGGATGCTTCCGGAAATGGATTAGGGGAAGCCTTAATTGAACTGGACTTCCCGACTGCCTCGCAGCGAAGCCCTCTGCTCTGTGGTCGGCATTTTCCTTTACGATAGGAGCCAGAATGTCAAGACGTGATATCACACAGAGAAAGAATATGCTGACGATGCCTGAGAGGAAACAGTACTGCACACTCAGATAGAATATGCTGATGATTCTTGAAAGAAAACAGTGCACACATACAATATATTGGATGGAGGGACTAGCCTTGGATCCCTATGAGAGAAAAAGTACCAGAAAAAGTACCCGGTTGTTTTTCTTTATATGCTTTCAGCGTGCCTGGATCTAAACCTCTACCAGAAAAAAGTATACATACAGATATACATAGATGGAGCAATTGAATAGAAGGAGAGACACCGAGTCAGTGATCAGTTGCCTCTATGCTGATGAGGATGGGAAGATAGAATTCACCCTCGTGGATATTTGGTCCGAACAACAATTCAACCCTACCAAAGTTAGGTTGACATTTGCTAAAAGACTCGAGTAAAAGAGAGAAAATGGAGACTAGATATGGAAACTACATTGCTCAGTAATGGGACAAGAAAAAAGGCGACGAAGTGACGTGGGGGGGGTCGGTAGAAACACAGTGATCACATGGAAAAGTAAGATGGGAACCATGATGAGGATGTTGCTAGTCGGATTAGATGATATTTCATGTGTGCATGTCGAATGACTATCCTCCGTCATTAGTGAGATGATATGGATGAAGATAGACTGACACAACATATGCAACTCGAACTCAAAACAATAAGAATTTTCAATGCCCTCAGTCATAGATCTTACCTCATTCACAGATGTCTATACATAGGATATACAACTCCAATTTCCTCATAGGTCCTCACTCACAGATATTTATACAACTTCTCCCGTTGTTGCCCCTCAAAACAGAAACAAGAGCACTTTTTCGCTCACAGCACTCAGACAGATTCAAACTCTTCTACCACTCGTGAGAGACAGAGATGATTCTTTCATTCTACTCCTCTAAATCAGCACTCACTCCACAACCAAAACCAGAACGATTTCCGTGGACTGCAGAACAAGAAAACCACAAGATGTGCCTCAAAGAACTGAAACCTTTTCTCAAGAGCTTAGTATTTTCTCACTTGTGCTTCTTCTCGTGTAACTTTGTTTTCCTACAAACGGCAAAGTTGTCGCTTTCTCTCATTTTGAAGGTGGTGAAAGAACACTCAAAAAAACTAGGAGGAGCTGCTTAAGTTCTATTTTCTATGGTCAAATTTGGCATCATCAGTTTCTCCATCTTTCGTCGTTCCTCACCTTTCGCAGGATGACAAGCCTGTACTTTTTATTTCTTACTTTCTCTTCAACGCCGGCGATGGACTACTTCCCTAAAAATTGGTAAACTAGTACTGCCTTCGATTTCAGGGGTGCTCTCCTTGCTTTTCCTTATGTTCAAAACCAGGTTACCAAATACCAGAAGCATACAGGCGACGGAGAAACTACTGAGTCCTATTGACTTTTCTAGCATCAATCACTATAAGCGCCTTGCTCTCGTTGGTCGGCAATGTAATAGTATTTTGCTTAACATCCGCCTTTTCATCGTTCCGACTTTTGGTCGGAGGTTTTGTTCTTCTCCTTGACCTCCTTTGCGACCACGATGAATAATATCAGACTATCTACAAACAGAGCACTTAGATACGCCAGGCTTACAGTCTCGACATTCTCCGACTACAACTTCCAGTATTATAGTGTTGCACGGGATAAGCCTAGGTTTGTAGAGGTGAAAACTAACCGGTTGCTTTACTTAGTGCTTTGAGCGTCGCTTAGTTAAGTATATGCTGCTTTACTTAGTGCTTAGAAGTTAAGTATATGTTAGTACTATCGACATAAAAACAACCACTTATATTTGATATCCCCGAAAAAAAAATCCCAGACTGGCGATGGTTGCTTGATATTCACAAAAAAAGTTACGGATCCTCCATCATATTCATTTATGAATAGCAATGATATTGTATGTTATCACCTGTTGATTTGAAGAGGCTGAAGAGCACTTTGCTTGAGCAATTATGAGCAAGCGTTGCTGATTTTGAAAGCGTTACTGCTTCTGCTCTGTTTGTTTCTCGCTGTAGTACTATCCATACCAACTAGCGTGTAAGCCGGAGGGAACAGTTGTAACATTGAGACTGGCTACAATTCATTAGGTAGTCTAGCGGTGCGGCTTCTGTCGTCCTTCCGAACGATAAAGAAGCAGCCCCCTCCATTCAACTCGTTTTCCTGCATATGATTAACGGCGCCACAATTTGTTGATGTTTTTTAAATGTTTTCAAGATTGTTACTGATGTTTCTGACTTTTAGAAATGCTTCATTCAAAGTTTATTCTTTACAGTTTATTTGCTTAGCCCTAAGCTTCCAAATAATAATCACGATCATGAACAGTTGAACAAAATATGTATATTAGTCTTATTTGATGAGTCTTAGTATGATTAATTCATGCGTTTGCGTAGTCATTGTTGCATTATCATAATTAATGTATAAATTCTTCTCACAATGGTTGTAGTTTCCACTTCAGTCACCAAATCCTTCTAGTATACGAGATAGTAGGCTGTCTTCGGGACATTTCATTCATAGCGTAGTCTGTGGCATTTATCCACTCCAGTTTACTGCTCTACCTGTACCTCTGACGCTCACGACCTACAATGACAGCACTCTCACTTCTATTCTAGTGCATCTAGTAAACAAAAGATGCTTGGCATTCCTTGTCTTTGCTGCTGCTCATCCATGATGATCACAGCCCTATGGCATGCAAGTATTACTACACTTTGTTCTACTACTAAAATTCCATCTCCACCAGCTAGCACCTTCTCGCTTCAATTCCATCTCTATCAAGTACTAGCGCCGCGGCTCAAGCGCCATGGCGTGCTCCTCGCTTCCTCCAATAAGCGAGTGCCGAGATGATGAGTGAAAAAAAGGCCAGCGAAAAAACTAGCAGGCTGAATCCCTCAAGCCCGCTGAAAGTCGCAACCGGCTGAGTGGCTGACGTCGAGTGGCTGACGACTTTCCCGCGACCGGCTTGGCCCCTAGCAGTTGGGACCACTCGGCCCATCGAAGATTCGTTTTGTAGAAAAGAATGCGGCTTGCGCTTTCCCTGTAGAACGGAGCCGGCACCGTTGCAATCATTATCTCCGTCAGCGCTGACGCCCTCGTCACAAGATGGGTCACTGGATGGGGCGTCAGTGTGGCCGTCTTCTAGAAAGCCACACGGTTTACAGGGGCCACCGTCATCAGGGTTGGCTTGCGCGTTGATTCTGGGGCGGCGCTCACTGTTCGGGGCTTTTGTAGCCGGCAATGCTTTCGCCGCTTCGGCTGCCTTGGCATCAGCCTCCTCCTTCGCCTTTGCTCCAGCCTCCCCATTCGCCTTTGCTCCAGCCTCCCCCCTTGCTCCAGCCTGCTCCCGTGCTTCATCATCCTCCTTCGCCTTTTCTTCAGCTGCCTTTGCTTCATCATCCTCCTTCGCCTTTTCTTCAGCTGCCTTTGCTTCAGCCTCCTCCTTCGCATTTGCTTCAGCTGCCTTGGCATCAGCCTCCTCCTTCGCATTTGCTTCAGCTGCCTTGGCATCAGCCTCCTTCTGCGCATTTGCTTTAGCTGCCTTGGCATCAGCCTCCTTCTGCGCATTTGCTTCAGCCTGCCTCTTTTCTTCAGCCTGCTTCTGTTCTTCAGCCTGCCTCGCGATTGCTGACTCACACCAATTCTCTTGCTTTTCTCCGAAAAAACTTGCTTCGAAGACGTGCTCTATTTGCTCTATTGTTTGCTGCAACTCTTTTTCTGAAGTAGAGGAGTCGAGTCTCCCGATTTCATCTGCTGCTCCTTTCAACGCATCGCCAAGGGCCCCGACCCAATGTGCTCTGCGGGTTCCTCTGCATATCGACGCCACGTTCAGCTGCCCGACAGGTGCTGCTGTCATCTTCTCAGCCCTCCAACCGGAACCTTCTGTACAATCCACCCCAGTCGTAGCCCCATCTCCGACTGAGCAGACGGCGTGTACCAAAAAACCGTAGACGTTCCCGCTCAACTTGCCGAGCCCGGATGCGGGTGTCCGTATCGTCTCCGTCAGTTGTTTTTTATCAAAGTCTTGCAGAAGCAACTCTGTATTCTCGTCGGCACCATCGCCTTGTTTGGCCATATCCTCCAGCAGATCCCTCACGACTTTCCTCACTTTATCCGCGATCAGTTGAGTTTCAACACGCTCGTTAAACTCTAAGAAAGCTGTTGGCGATGGGGGGGCTTCAACTGGACTCCCCTCAAGCACGTCCTCGTCTGCCTCAGGCTCTAATTAGCGCGCACCCCAATCCATCTCGAACTGCATCCTAGGCCGCTTTTCCACTTAAGGAGCCTCGTGGGGATGCTTCCGGAAATGGATTAGGGGAAGCCTTAATTGAACTGGACTTCCCGACTGCCTCGCAGCGAAGCCCTCTGCTCTGTGGTCGGCATTTTCCTTTACGATAGGAGCCAGAATGTCAAGACGTGATATCACACAGAGAAAGAATATGCTGACGATGCCTGAGAGGAAACAGTACTGCACACTCAGATAGAATATGCTGATGATTCTTGAAAGAAAACAGTGCACACATACAATATATTGGATGGAGGGACTAGCCTTGGATCCCTATGAGAGAAAAAGTACCAGAAAAAGTACCCGGTTGTTTTTCTTTATATGCTTTCAGCGTGCCTGGATCTAAACCTCTACCAGAAAAAAGTATACATACAGATATACATAGATGGAGCAATTGAATAGAAGGAGAGACACCGAGTCAGTGATCAGTTGCCTCTATGCTGATGAGGATGGGAAGATAGAATTCACCCTCGTGGATATTTGGTCCGAACAACAATTCAACCCTACCAAAGTTAGGTTGACATTTGCTAAAAGACTCGAGTAAAAGAGAGAAAATGGAGACTAGATATGGAAACTACATTGCTCAGTAATGGGACAAGAAAAAAGGCGACGAAGTGACGTGGGGGGGGTCGGTAGAAACACAGTGATCACATGGAAAAGTAAGATGGGAACCATGATGAGGATGTTGCTAGTCGGATTAGATGATATTTCATGTGTGCATGTCGAATGACTATCCTCAGTCATTAGTGAGATGATATGGATGAAGATAGACTGACACAACATCTGCAACTCGAACTCAAAAAAATAAGAATTTTCAATGCCCTCAGTCATAGATCTTACCTCATTCACAGATGTTTATACATAGGATATACAACTCCAATTTCCTCATAGGTCCCCACTCACAGATATTTATACAACTCCCGTTGTTGCCCCTCAAAACAGAAACAAGAGCACTTTTTCGCTCACAGCACTCAGACAGATTCAAACTCTTCTACCACTCGTGAGAGACAGAGATGATTCTTTCATTCTACTCCTCTAAATCAGCACTCACTCCACAACCAACACCAGAACGATTTCCGTGGACTGCAGAACAAGAAAACCACAAGATGTGCCTCAAAGAACTGAAACCGTTTCTCAAGAGCTTAGTACTTTCTCACTTGTGCTTTTTCTCGTGTAACTTTGTTTCCCGACAAACGGCAAAGTAGAGAACACCGTATTCGAAAAACTGAAGTAGGCAAGTATGCTGGTGAATAGCCTCAGGTAGTTGGGTATTTTTGTGCTCGTTACGTGCATCTTTTGAGTATTCGAGTAGAAAGAACTGAAAAAACTGCTCCTCTTGTCATATTGAGAAGTCGTCTAGTCACATAGAGACGTCGTCTTGTCATATAGGGAACTCTTGTCATGATCATGTAGATCATGAAGAGAGGACTACAAGAGAAAAACTAGCCGGTTGCTTTTACTTATGTGCTTTGAGCGTCAGAACTCTTGTCATCGACCAAATCTTTGAGAATATCTTGCTCACATCAAGATGATACCTGTCGTGATGTTTGTGTTTCTCGTGACTCATAGTTGTTCAACACCACGCTTCGACTTCTCATGATCTGACTGTCACTCACGGTCTGCGGGTGTGCTTTGCAGGAGGGACAATAATGCCGCATTTTCCAGGGTGTTAGGAGAAACCGAATTCTTCAGATGAAATCCAGTACTCTTGATGTTCTGAACGACGATTAACGGTTTGGACTCTTGTTACATTAGGTGAATGACAGGAAGATCCCGATTTTTTCTCTTACTCCTGCGTCGCGTGCTTCATCCCTCACCTCCGTGGAAGATTCAGATGGGAGAGGATATGCGAAGGTTGAGTTATGCTGGACAACCGACAGTTTCTTTCTATGTGCATGTAAACCTGAGATAGTCAACAAAATTCCACATGAGATGAAACAATCCCGAACACAGGACAGAGATGCGGCACGCGGTTGGACGACATTTTTTTTTTGCATCCAAGTGCTCGTGGGGGTGTCCTCTATGTTTCTGATTCTAAACGGGTACTACTACAACTGGTAAAGTTCATTTGTACTATTTTTTCATCTAGTTTTCCTCGTGTTACAACTCCTCCGTCGAGCGTGCGGGCAAGCAAAGGGTAAAACACTTACAGAAAGATCCCGATATCATGGCTAGATACTAGTGGTCGCTGAGAGCCGCCCCTTTCCGTTCTCGATGGCATTCACACGAGCGCCGAATTTTAAGGAGCACGCAGTCTCGCCGACATCTGCTGGACTCACTTGTAACAGGAACATTAGACGAGAGTGCATGCGTTTGGGCCATGCGCATGTGTTTGCCTCTACTGGGGAATGTATTTTCCTCTACTGGGGAATGTGTTTGCCTTTTTACTGTTATGATTTTGAAGTACGTTGTGCCTCTACTGCTGTGATTTTGAAGTAGAGTGAGGCGCGTTCGTTCATCGTCCCTTCCTAGATCAGGTTCTAAGATAATTTCAATCAGGTTTGCATGTAACAAGTATATTCGAGAGTATTTTGGCTGTGTGAGGTTTCAGTCTGATTTCATTAGACACGAAGTGTTGAAGATGGTGATACTAAGATTTAGGGTCTTGGGATAGAGTTTGGATCCTAATACTATGGTTAGATCGGTCATGGTGATACTGAACAGTTCAAATGCCTTGTTCGAATGAATAAGTATCTATTCAACACTTCCTTCCATAACATCAAACTTTTTGCATCTCCCGATAAGCTGCTTTGTAAGAGATACGTCAGCGTGGAATTCCTGTAGGGGACATGAGCCTGCCGCAGTGCTCTTGCCGCAATCACATCGCCAAGCGCCGATAATGACTTGTTGATGGCTGTGTGAGGAAGTTGGAACTTGATATTAAGCAGTAGTTGCAGAAGTAGTAGTTGCTGAATTCAGCAGCGGAAAGAAACTACTACTTGTTCCGTTGAATGGTGTGCGACAACAACCTTGTTTCTACAACTTGTTAAAAGCTGAGCAGCAAGAAAGTGATAATGTAACGCAGTTCAGGTTAAGGTTGAGGGTCCGCACACGCAGTTCCCCAGATGTCCTTCATACAGAAAGTGACTCATGGAGTTACGTTGTTGCATGAAGGGATCAGCCTAAGATTAGAGGGAAAACGAACCGGTTGTAATATGGTCATTTTCACCGTATCTGCGTAAGGAGTACCTCTCGCCTCCTTCTGCAACTCACCCGTTGCGCCACTTTTCGAGAGTCGCTCGCTTCCTGCAAGATCAAGGATTAGCGACTATAGTATCAGCCCCATAAGATCAGTGATATTTTTGCCTGAAGGGATACATCTACGAGATAGAGGGAAAGCTAACCGTTTGTTTATTTACAGGCTGCATTCCTTAAGATAAGTGACATTTTTGCCTGCATTTGCTCACCGTTTGGCTTCCGGACGTGCACAAAGACCCACCCCCTTGGCGAGCTGCATGCACCCGACAGACCTGGCAAAGGTGGCAAGGCTGGCCCCCTCTGGCGTGTAGTTGCATGTGCCCAACCCTACAGACCTGGCAAGGCTGGCCCCCTCTGGCGTGTCGTTGCATGTGCCCAACCCTACAGACCGGGCAAAGGTGGCAAGGCTGGACCCCTCTGGCGTGGTCCACCACAGATCCATCCACAGGGGGAAGGGGCCTCCCTGCCTGGTAGATATATACCCTAATTCCCCATGGTACTTGATTGACATCCCTAAAAATTCTCCATACGTAGTGTTTTTTTTTTGTTCACATAATTATAGCCTTAAGATAAGTGACATTTTCGACTGCATTTGCTCACCGTTTGGATTCCGGACGTGCACAAAGACCTGTATAATATAGTGCGAGCGCGAAGAATGCTCATTGAGGTTCGTGCAACCTGTTTTGCGCGCTCCCTCTCCGACTTCGAGCGCTCGCTGTACTTCCGCAAGACAAGACACAGGGCTGTAGTTTCAGGGGACAGGACTATTGTTGACAAGACACAGGGCTGTAGTTTCAGGGGACAGGACTATTGTTGCTCCATGGGATAAACCTAGGGTTTAGAGGTAAAAACTAACCGGTTGTTTTTTTAGTGCTTTGAGCGCCGCTGGACCTAAACCTCGACCCTATAAGAAGGGGACAGGACTATTGTTGTTTCAGGGGACTGCTGTTGCTTCAGGGGACATGCATGAGGGGACTGTTGTTGTTCTTCGAAGGGACAAAACTACACTGAACTTTAGTTTTAACTGGCAGTAACATTATGGTATGTATCAAGTCAAAAACAATAAAGCTACGAGGACCGCACGTCTGCGTATTGTTCAAAGAAGCAACCGCATCTCTTTCTAAATTCAAAGACATTCATTCATTCATTCAGTTTGGGTCTCCCTGTATGTCGCCCTGGTCCTCAGTCCAATTTTTTTTTTTGATTTAGGACTAGATGCTGCCTCCCTTTCAAACAATTACATAATTCTAGCAAGTCACATACTGGGGGCGCATAAGACCGTACAATCGGCCACAAGTCTACAACTATCGGAGAAGTCGTACATTCGACCTCTTAAGAATTTTTCATCCAGATAAAAGTGGTCTAAAGCATAGGTTATTAATCCAGAAAAAGTGGTCGTCTAAAGCTTACCGGAGTGTCAAGTGGGGGACGCAAGGCGCATTGTTCTCTGGATCCAGGCGGATACTACGCTTCGTTGGCCCTGAGGCACACAACAAATCCCTCAATTCCTCGTTATACACTTCCAATATGCCGAGTGCTATCTCGTACCTGAGTGAATGAATGAATGAATGAATGAATGAATGTGCCTAACAAGAGGTGTTTGGACGTCCTTTAATTAGATGCTTGCTGTCTTTCGTGACTTAAGAAACTTAGAAAAGAAACGTGCTATTTTTTTCCTACTGCAGTTTAGTGATTGCGTCGAACCAGGATGAGGATAAGGCAGTAGAAATCGGTTCTGCTCGTAACTACATTCACTATCAATGAAAGAATGTTATCTTCCTCTACATCATAGATATCCCTTGTTGTAAACACCTTGCATACAGTGCCCTGTGTACTAGATTTTCAGCTTGCTCTTTGATGCGCGCAAGTAGGTCATGAAAACGTCACTCTGCTCGTAACTACATTCACTAGTATCAATGAAAGAATGTTATCTTCCTCTACGTTGTAAACAAGGAAGTAGTACGTCCAATTTGTGTCTTTTCTAGCTTCTTGTACTCGGAAAAGCTCATCGAATGTGCGAATGAAAATTCCAGGATCCTTTTCGGTGCCTGCCATGCTATACGTTTTGCCACTACCCGTGGGACCATAGGCAAAGATGCACACGTTGTATTTAGATATATTTATATTGAAGATTTTTTAGTACAAGAAGTACGCACATTGTTGTACTTAGATAGAATGACTTGCCACAGCTATTGTTATCGTAGTAGAAGAATGAGAATCTTTTACACAGGACATTGTAATTCGATTTCGAGTAAACACCTGGAAAGCTTAGCATGCTATCTGAGATCTGATGAGGTGCTTTCTCATGGTAGTCAACATTTAGATTTGATGAATTGAATCTATTCGGCGAGCTGCCTAAGATTTCCCAGTCAACATTTAGATTTACCTCTACTCAATATGCATGCTTACCCCTCCAGGGTACAACTTCACCTTTTAAAATACTTCTAGTCATTAAAATACTTCTAGTCATCGGATGTTTTAAAGTAACCCAAAGTGCAACTAGTCAACATTTTCGTAATATACCCATCCATGGTGCTTGTAACTAGCTCTTTCACTTCCCGAAAGACGTCTGCGTTGGTACTTCGGTCTCCGAAAACCCGATCAAATTGCCACACCTTATTACTGCCGTTGTAGTCATTGTACAACCCGATTTCATCGACTGTATCGCGTGTTAGAGATTATTATTTATTATTTAGATTGTAGACCTTAGAATATCTTCAAGAAAGATTTAGTGCTATTGCAAAGATGAAAGAAGTCTGATGCTGGAAGAAATAATCATCATTAGGAACACAAAGATAGGCGGTGTAGTAGACATCCTAGACGAGGTCACGTACACGCTTTGTCTGTCATGATGTGTCATGATGAGGCGGGGCTTTTGTACTTTTTTATCTCACGACATCTGCTATAGTTCATTGACTGTGTCGTGTGTTGGGCAATCTGTGCTAGAGCTTCCTGCTGCTGGATCCTCTTTTCTATTGCAGTACGCTCTTTTCTATGCACTCAGAATGTAAGGAAAAGCTGTAACCATAACTCCGGAATGTGCACGAAGGAGGCTGTACCGTTGGCATTTGACGTGGTTAGAGGAGTCCGCTGAAGAGCCTACTTTTTTCAATCTACCGATTGCAAGTTACTGCTTTTCTTTGATCGCTCCTTTAGGTAGGTGATCATAGCTAAGATAGATGTTTGTAGATCGATGTATGTTTTAGTAGCTAATCCGATAGAAGATGAGACGAAGATTTTAAATCTTTTTTTCATGTCAAAAAAATCTATCTCCTTTTCATAAAACAACTCCGTCATCCGTCTGTTCGTCCGCCGAAGATTCTGCAGAGGCTGCGCGAGTACCGTCAGTGGGCAAAGAAGGTCGGACACGACAGAAAACGCGGATGTTTCCTCTAACCTCCTGCAACAAATTATGCAACCGTCTTCGTTCCGTACATTCCGTCTTAGAAATTTAGGTAGCGATCACGTAGTAAGACATTGATACTTAACATTGTTTTTGAGCGACGTGATAAGTGATTCAAGATGACTGCTAGAAGAAGCAACGAAGCCTCAACTTTGAGAAAACGGGCTCTATAATCCTGCAGGAGCCTGGCTAAGCGCGCTACCGGATCTAAAGAGCCGCGCAAACGGGGCTTCATCTCCCGCAGAAACACCGCGATTTCCTGTTTCAGCTGCTCGAAATGCCGCTTCAGAGAACGAGCTTTTTTGTCCAATTGTCGCAGCTTATTCACTCGGCGCGATCGATCATCCTCCTGTTGAGCGGCGTCTTGTGTCACACCACCATGCGAGGATCCTGCTGAAGAAGTTAGACCTTGGGGACTAAACTCATCTTGCTGAGCATCTTGGTGCCCGTTGCTCCCGTTATTTCCCCTTGCGGAACTGGAACAAGAAGATGCTTGGAGGAAGGATGGATTCGTTGTAGCCTTAACGAAGCTACCGCTCTTCCTACTTGTTCCCCCTGTTGTAATTCAGCTATCCTTGCTCGTGCGGCCTCTAGTTCACGGCGTAAGCCCGCAACCACCATAGGATCGTCCTCACTGCATCCCGTCGGTGTGGCTTCAAGCGACACGTTGTTCTTGGAACAATTATTGGTGGTGGAATATTTAGAGCGAGGTAATATATGTAGTGGAGCAGACCTAACTAGGAAAAAACAAAAACCAGGCATATGTATTTAGAGCGAGGTAATATAAAGTACATGCGATTAGTAATCCGTATTTTAAGGAAACAAGTAGATGTCAATTTTCATGGTGTTAGGTAATGTTCATCAACAGAAAGCACGAGGCTAATATATATACTCTTGTTCGGTGATAAACTACTTGTGAACCTTAGATAATCAAAAAAACTATCATTGCACAAGGTATAATGACTAGGATGTCACGACGAACCTCGTAGCTAGGATTCTTCTCTTCCTTGCGTTCTCCGTTGAATGGGGTGACAGGAAACCTCACACCAAATTTCCAACTCTTTCATGCTACTAAAACGACCCAAGGAAACCTCACACCAAATGACCAACTCTTTCATGCTACTACAACGACCCAAGGAAACCTCACACTGTATTCACTGTTTCTTCCTAGAACGATCCTTAACTGAAGCTAGGGCAGCACCAGACGTTGTACCGTTAAACGGACCGTTAGACGAGGAGGAATGTGGTGGAGAGGAGATTTTCACTTGTTCCTGAAAACCGGCGCTGCTCGTCTTGCTAGTCGCTTTACTGTTGAAGCCGCTACCCGATAGAGAAGAACCACAGGAACTACTCGAAAACCCAGTATACAACGGAGGCTTCTTGGCATACGAAGTTAGAAATTCAGGGTTAGAAATTCAGATCCACGACAACAGGAACAAACTGATTAGTATGAGCAGCATTATTGGTGGACATGGATATGCAAGGCGAAGGGACTATAAAATCCAAGTGACGGAGGAGAACGAAAGGATGCGTGAGGAAAGAAAGGCGAGGAAAAAACCAGCACGCCCGAGCCTATGACCTGCAAAGTAGGTATTAAATGTGTACTTCATGCAGTTACTACTCGCACAACAATCTGCGTTGTTTTTTTTCCTAGGACGCCAACTTCTCACCCCTCTCGTCCCAATCATCAAGAGAACGAGAAGCTCGAAACCACATAAGGCAACGGACGATACACTACAACTACTACCACTACTACCCATACCAAAGGCTCATAACAAGAGTTCAAAATTTTCCGGGATCCCACGTCCAGTCTCCCTACGGTACCAATCTAATTGCTCGTTCAACAGTTGATTTCTAGCTTCCAGATGCTGGATTTTAGAACTCGCTATTTCCCGTTCTTGTCGCCTCTGTGTTTCCTTGTTCAACAAGGCATTCTCGAGTTTCCGTTCTCGTTCCGAAGAAGTTGACGGTAGTTGGGCGCTGGTATGTTGAGTTGCTGATATTGCTGATGTGGTTGATGAGAAATGATGTTGTTGACCACTTGTCAACCCAAACGTGGACGACGACGAGGAAGAGGAGGAACTACTGGAGGGGTGCGCACCTGACTGCAGCTCTCCAGGACTTGAACTTTGATGGCTGAATGATGTAGCAGTTTTCCGATTTAGTCGTGCTCCCGGATGGTCTTCCAAAGAGACGACGTGTGGCGCGCCATTCATAGTCGCTCTTGTTGTGTGCCGAGTCGTTATAGCCGCGGCAGGAGCATGTTGACCTCCTCCACCATCCTTATACGGTAGTTGGTGGCCATGGACACTCCTAGCTGTGCCAGAAAAACTATTGCCATTAGATGAAGCAGTGCCTCCGGAACCAGAGGGAGCGACCGAGCTTGGCCGTTTCTTCCTGACACGTGGTGCTGCTGAAGAGCCTGTCGAAGCCGTGCTCACATTGGCAAAGTCCTGCTGAGCGAAACTGCCGCTCCTAGGTGGGAGAGTACTCTTCACAGAAAGCGAGTTTCGACGTCCTGACGATCGGGCGAAGGCTTGCTGCTGTCCTCGCTCTGGTCGACCTGCTGAAGGCGTAGTTCCTGCACCATTCGGCGCTGACCCATTAGTCGGTCTTCCAGGTGCGTTTGCGAAACCGGAATTTGATGGTCCTGAAATAGACATATTTCAAAAAAAAAACATATCAGGTGCATGGTGCTACCTTATTGGGCTCGTTCCTCTGTACGCTAATCAGACTGGACGTGTGAGTGTCAAGAACAGCATAAGTATGATGATCCTATGTATTGACACCTTCTGTGCTCCGACTTGACGAGGACCCTCCAGCAACCGCGACGCGCTGCAAACCGGGACTGTTTGACATACCATGTCCTAGAGAAGCCACTCCGCCACCTACCGCCCCATGATTGGTTTGTGTACTTATACCTGATGCAGTGGGTAAGGCCGCGGAAAACCCAGGAGCAGCACTAGCAGTCGAAACGCTCGCAGAAAACCCAGGACCACCAGCTAACCTCCCGCTAGAGATGCTCTGAGCACTGCTCATTCGAACCGGTGGCGCGAAAGGCATCTGGAGTAAACCCCCAGTTGATACTCCAGTCGACTGTCCTTAGATGATGAGCCCAAGTAGTAGTCGTAGAAGTAGTAGTAGTAGTGTGCCCAATATCGAGAAAACAATTCATTTCTTGCGTTCATTTCTCCGGAATGAACCCAAGAAGGAAGCAGAAGAAACTAACCTCCGCTCAAAATGACCTTTGAAGCGGAGCATACAGCGCTTGAACATGCGATCTCCTAGAAGATGAACATCTAAATCAAAAGGCACAGAAGATTAGTAATTTGAGCCCCTTAATGTCCAGGTCTTGTGGACAATGAGTCTCTTCTTGGTGGCATTCCGGGATTCTCCAGAAATTGCTGGACTAAATCAGGACTCGCTTGCATCAAAACGTTCGACGTCATTGATTGAGTAGGCGTACTGGACGATCCAGGAGAAGCGCCAAGAATCAGTCCCGGACTTGTCTGCAGTAATGGCTGTGTCGTCACTCCACCTCCTCCGGGTAAAAATGCGCTACGAGCTGTGTCGTAGTCACTTCCAGCACTAGTAGAACTAGGTGCTAATGGCGGTCGCGAACCTCCTCCGACGTTAAATAACCTTGGTGAGGTGTTTGCGACACCGTAGTACCCAGAAAGCTTGCGTCTGCCCTCAACCATCGGAGGATGCTGAGAATGCTGGGGATGACCTCCCAGATGCGAAGAACTCATCTTTTCTTATGTACTAACTGCAACTCATGGAGACAGAAACACAACTAGTGTCAAACTCAATACTAAACATGTATTGATTTTCATAGAGCATGGCACTTTCAATCTACTCTCTGAACAGATTCGTCACTACTTACATCGATAACTGTTTTCTTCAACAATCTTGTTGTTCTCGTAAACGGAAAGAAGCGATCATCCCCTACACCTAGTACGTATCCTCATCTCATGCATACAGAATTATCGAAACTTGAACAATTGAAACTCGAACACGAGTCGCCTCAAAGCGAAGTAAGCTTTAGAATCACGATTCAGTGCACAATTTGTCATCAAACGGCTTGATCAAATTGAGAGAAAGCAAAATTTAATACGCCCAACAGCATGATGGAAATGTGCAATTATATGGACATAGAGCTTGCAAAACTCAACATTCCACCTTGAATTATATTTTTTCTTGGAAAATACACTTCAATACTGTGCAAAAATTAACAATAGACACATCAATATGACGAGTGTAAGTTTCATCTTCAGAAGTCCGTCTTATACAGCAAACTCCTATGGTAATAATGCGTAGTCTGAGCATTCTCTGCAATTCTTGTAAGTCCTGTAAGCAGCCAAGCTTTTCCGACTTTTCAACAGAACAGCCTTTCCTGCATGTCTTTAACAAACAGCACAACAGGATGCTCCGCAAGCGTAGCAGCAATCGCAAGTAGGACGTCCTTCATCAATGAGGACAGTAGCAACAGCCCCAAGTTGCTCAGCAGCACTCGAGTACTCCGGAAAGCGGATTTTGCTTAGAGTCAAGATTTGCAGCACACCTCTAAAAGAAAACGATGGGGAATCAAAGGCCTGCTATGGGAGGAGGTTACTTACATAAGAGTCAGATCAATAAGAATGTCTCTTCGGAAAGCGGATTTTGCTTAGAAGAGAGTGGGCAAATTTAGAAGAGTGCTATAGGTACTAGAACTTAATTTAGCGAGTGGGCAAATTTTGTTTAGCTGTGGGGTTGTACCTTAGTTAAGGGTTAGAAGATACTTGCTCTCCTCTAGAACCCACTTCATTCGCAAGAACAATTTTTGGGATTCCACTACCTCTCGCAATAGGACTAGACCTCTACAATCGGGTACTCCGGAAAGCGGATTTTGCTTAGAAGAGAGAACAAGAGTGCTATAGCCACAAAAGCTAGCTCTTAATATGTAAATTTTCAGAAACAGAAAACTTTACAATAGACTACAGACCATAAAGACCATCCACTCCCCTTTGGAAGCCGCGTGACTTTCCCTGGTCCCGATAGAACTTTGAATGTATCGAGATTCTTTTCCCGTTGTTCTTTACTGCCAAATAAATCCCCACAATAGCCGCAAATATCTTCACGAGGAGGTAAGTTTCGAATCCGCAAAAGTCTCGCCAGCTGCACTGCCTCTAGGTCATAAGCTGCAGCAGCAACGTAATCGGTCTGGATGGCGTAGGTTAGCAGGTCATGTCATGTGCCCTCTTAAGCCACGTGGTCAAGTAGCCTTGAGGTAGTTCAGCCTAATTGTACCTTCTAAAAAGAAGAGCTTTAGTTACATGATCACATATAATCTGGTACTCTCTAGTAACAACTATACTCTCGTCCACAGACAACTCTACTTGATGTTCATCTACATACTAAGTGTAACAACTGCTAGAACCTTGTTCATGAAATCAATGCAGATTGCAGAATAACTGCGTCGAAAGCATATATTCTATCCATTCATCCACCCAGCCATAAGTAGCTTCTCAAGACCAGCAAGTCGCAACAGGAACAGCATTCATCGGTCGCGACACTCCGCATATTCGATGGTATCGGTTCTTCGCGTACCGACGCCATCTTCGTGCCGAATTTCTCAGTGCTGTAATTCTTTGCCGTGGCAGCTGCTCCGCTTGGTATTAGTAGTGGAGGTCATGTCTTGTAAGAAAGTGACATATGAGTGTTCAATTGTCATCCTGTGGCATTCTTGCCATCATATCATAGTGCGATTGCTTTTGATTGATTGATGTGCCTGGCAAGAGGTTGAAGTTCTAATTGTTGCAGGTAGCATGGCCATCGCAATTTAGATACAACCACGGCTTTCCCACTATTTCACAACTATTCCTAAACTCAAGTCCGTTGTCGCATATACCACCGCGCTGTCGCTGTTGCCACAACAGCCACACAACCGACTGCAACAAGGGAAAAGACCCCCTCGACAAGCTGGCTTCCTGACAATATAGGACGACGACGAAGCTGAAGCTCCCGCCACAGCTGGCAACTTAATGTCCCAAGCAGCAGACGCACAATCTCGTAACCCACACAGCCCACAACATCTTGCAGGAATTTCGCATTTGGAGCAGGAAGATTGGAGCTACTACAGGGTTTTCCTGCAGACCGCTAGAGTCATCTTGGGACTCGGCCAAATCCTTGTCTCTTCCTAGAATTTCAATTTCACTCGTAGAATCATGACTAAGAATAGTTCCTAGAATTTGATGACTCATTTTTTGAAAAAAAGAATACCCATGAGTTCAAAAAGTGATACCCGCCTCCGCCAATACATAGTTCATAAGAAGAGATACGCATTAACAGCGGTCCGCCAAAACCGGAAGAGCGAACTTCATATCCCCCATCTGCTTGTCTTATGAGGTCGATGGTGTCCGGCAAAATCGAAGCCTGCATCTTGGCTAGAGACACTTTACTGAGGTTGTTAGAGTTCGTTCAAGGCGGGGATAAAATCGAGGATATAAAAATCGCCCTCATGTTACTTGCAGAAGGAGTTCAACAGACAAGCAAGAGTATGTTGCTTGTCGTAGCGCTACAGTTTCAGTAGATCTAAATACATAAAACGCCTAGCAATCTCACATAAGGAACATGACTCGAAATCATAACAGTAGTGAAAGGCATCGAAATCTGTACAGGAGCGGCCATCTTGGAGGAGCTTGAGTGTTAAGCAAGACAAGGCTCTCTTCATAGAATACCTACTCTGACACACAAGATATTGAGGATATTGTAATCCTTTCCAAAAGTTTGCATGCAGGCGTGATCAACTGTCATTTCCCGCTTGAAGATCAACTCCAGGACATACAATAATTTTTTTTTCCTGGAGTCGATCTTCAAGCGGGAGGTCGCTATGATCTTCTGGTGTTACAAGGTCTGGGGCCTGTCGTCGTGCTGGTCCAAGCCGCAGGCCACCCGCTATATCTCTCTGATACGCGCGCACATTCATCCAGCAAGGTAAGTATGTTGTTGTTGACCCCAATCGCAAAACAAACACTTATTTTCTAGTCATAGGATCATGTAGATGATTCTTGAATAATGCTCACTTGTTTCCAACTCCAAGAAAATACTGACTCCGTCGTGGTGCAAAAATATGACTACTGAACATTCTAGGGTGCTTCAGCGATTCTTGGAACTATCAACTAAGTAGTATCTTGATGGCAACAGACTATTTCTATGAGAATAAAGCCATGGAACCAAATGTGTGGATCAAATTCCAAAAACTGCAATTTAGGCGGAGTGAATAAAAAAACAATAAATTTTTGTGATGCTGATGAGATATGGTTTTGATAGTTTATTTCTTGAGGGTTTAGGGTTTAGGGTTCCCCTTCTGAACATCACTCTAATCGATCGATAGAAACATCAGGTAGCTACCATTTTCAAACGTATGATCCTAGTCGTTTTATCTTCCACCACGAAATTTTCCACAATAACATGCTACTTCTTCAATCATGACAAGCTGATACATGGTTCATCCTAAGCTTACTTTCATGACTCCAAAGTACTTATGCATACTCTCCATCTGTTGACTCGATTCTGGCGTAACTGTCGACTAATGAGTTGGAGTAGGGTCCGTATTTCCACCATCAACCATGGACTCATCAGCGCCCCTTGCCTCATCTTCCATACTGCCATCGATTGATGTGCTTCCGACCGATCCTGGTTCGTGTTCACCCTCTACATCAGCGAGTGTGAAAGCTCCAGGTGGATTGGTTAATCGGTAATCTCGCACTGCGTGGAGCACATGACGGGAACGCACATTAGAAGGGACGCGGGAAGAATTTCTAACAATTTGAGGACGGAGATTAGACTATTGTCGATGAGTTGTATGAGCAATGAGATATCATCATGTTTTTGCCTGTCCAAAAGTTTTTACGCCTTAAGCACCGTGTTTGTTCCTTCCGCCGCACACTGTCCCATGATATCGCGTAGAACCTCACGCATAAAGTGTTGCATATGCGCATCTGATAGGGTGTATGAATAAGCGATCGGGTAACAGATAATTTGAAGTGACCACCACTTCAATGAAATATATTGAGCTGAACAAACTAACAGGTTAGGTGGGGTTATGGATCCTGCACAGATCGTAGGTTAGGTTAGGTTGTGAATCCTGCACAACGAGTCCGCCCGGCACCTGACTCGACTCCGAGGATGATGGGTGACTTGAGTATTGTTTGCATTACGTAACGTTTAACGAAACTTTGCTTCTGAACTACTTCAAGCAGGCGCCTGCACTGTGGAAGACGAGAATTCTCCTCCTGACATTAAACACCTGGCGATTAAGAGTTATGTACGGAATCAAGACTCTAACAACTATCTAAAAAGTAACTGTGAGCATATCTGTACTCGCTTCTCGATGCATCGCAGCTGACACGTGGGTGACACCAGCACGGCGGGCCAATCGCCGCATCTCTTTTTTCGTGAGACCTCGAAACCCTGAATTTCGACGCTCCTGATGTTCTTCTATCGGAGCCATGATTTGTCCCTGCTAGACGAAGGAAGTAGAGCCCGCCGTAAAAAAAAAGTTATTGTGCCTCGCTATTTCTATCACCGGGCAGGAGGAATATTTCTTGTTGCTTGAAGACAGAGGAGTCATAACTATCAGTGCTTCTTTGGTGATGGAGGTCTCTTTTCGAGCTGACTTTCTTCTACCATTTTTGCGTCCTCTTTGTTAAAGCTAGTCTTTCTTAGCTCATTTTTGCAATCCTGTCGTTCCTGAGGTTACACCGACATCATCGCTGACTAGCTGTAAAGTTGGAAAAATCTCGACAAAGAACAACAGCACCAGGTAGCAATGCCATACACAGCAGAGTGTTCACTTCTCGACCTGAATATTGCAGCAGTACTACTGTACATATGGTCCTCAATTGACATCATCTCCTTCAGAATTGAGGACCATGTGTAGAGTACTGCTGCAATTCAATGTCGAGCGCCACCTCCTTCACAACAAGCGCCTCTCCTTCAGAGGACAAGCGAGACCTTGACAACAAGCGCCACTCCTTCAAAATGACCCCGCCGCGCCCGCTCCTTGGCGTATTTTCTACTTGAGAAAAGGCTAAAGCCTTTTGCATCAATACTGTTGTACACATGGTCCTCGTAATAGAAATCATCTTTACATCAACAAGTAAGAGTGTATCTATGGCCGCGAGTTCTTACAAATCCATCGACGTCTTGAGTAAAGATTAAGATATTACAAGCTTCACCCACTTGCGAAGGGATCACCCCGCCGCGCCCGCTCCACTATTGCACGATGATTCTCCACCGGACATCCCTAACCTCTGACCCAAGTAACCCCTTGTCAACAATGCAGAGAGTAGGGAGCTAAGAATGACACTTATGAGCGAGTACATCACTTGCAACACTGTGTAGGTGCATTTCATGTAGAGAAACCGGACTGGTTCGGTCTCTTGGCGCTTCGTGAAGTCCTCTATTATGTGTTCCGCGAAGTCTATGAATGCCTGATGTTTGTCATTCTGACTCGTCTCCATTGCCAATCGTTTGAACTGTCTTGCTTGTGCAACACGCAACAGACAGGGCACTCGGTCAAGCGCCGCGTTTGCAGCAGCGCCGGGTAATGAGAGAAAGAAGGGGGAGTAGATACAAATGGAAAATGATTAGTTACTTAGCAATAAGTCCCCTAGAGAAGACAGTTTTCTGTTGAAGCATTCGTAGTTAAATCCCACTTCTAGCTTCTCCAACTTTTGTACATCTGTACCTCCTCAAAATCTGAAACACACCCTCTCCAAAGACAACCGTTTTATCAACTCAGTGTACAAAAATATTCCCACGACGCCATACCAGCGTTACCGTGATCACAGTGGAAGCGGCGGTGACCATGAGCGCAAAGCCCAACTCACAGAGAACGGGCAGATGTAAAGCCGATCTCCACGACCCAGTCCCCCGCACAGCCTCCGGGTCCGTAGAAAGAATAAACAGAACGAGAAGCGCTGCATGGAACAAAAGGAACAGCACTATGAAGGATTAGAATGTCTTAAATCTGAAGAGACAATCTTCCTCTTCGGTTCATCTTGCTTGTACTTCTAGTGATCTCTTCTAGTAAATGTAAGTAAACGAAACTACTTCTTCTTCTTCATAATTCACCGCAAAAGCTGAGGAGTAGCGCGTTCCGAAATTGAGGAAAAATGTCCCGCTACCGGCAACCCTCAAAACTGCGTGGAAGGCCACGAGGTCAGACACGGTGGACAGGCCGATTTGGTGCAAGGCTACAAACTCGTAGTCAGACAGCGGAGGAAGAGGAGTCGGTGGAGGAGGTTTGGACGATTGAGCAATATGACGTCCTCGGATCTCCTCGTCTTTGTGTAATTCTTCAGTCCTAGCATCGACTTTCACCGTATAGTCAGTTTCTCTACTTTGATGATGGTTCATCACCTTTGACGCTGGCTCAGCAGTACTACTAAGAGTCCTATTCTCGCCGCCTGGAGCCTCGCTCTGAGCCTCGCTCTGAGCTTCACCCGAAAGGCCCACACGAGTAGTCCCCTCACCTGTTTCTATCGCCTTTGCTCGACTCTGACCTTTCTTAAACCGGCCTACCGCACGTAGTGCTGTCGTACTTACTACAACACCAGGGGTCTGCGACGCGGTCAACGAGAGATGCCGTTCCACCACCTGCGACCCAATGATCATCTCTCCATCTGCTTTGTCCGCACTTGCATTCACTTCGCTCACAACCTGCTTGATCTTGGATCTACGCCTAGGCTCAATCTTGACATCGTCGATTGTACTTCTGCCATCAGAAGTTGCAGAAGTCTTACTCAGTCCTGAGACTGTAGTTCCACTAGTACCAGTAGAAGTAGTTCCAGCATCGCTTGTTGTACCTTGACCCCTAGAGGCAGGTCCTCCTTGTTCTCCTTCTTGTCGTATACGACTTCCTGCTCCTCCTCCGACACCAATATTAACGTCTACTTTTTTATACTTCTGTTCCAAGTTCGCCAGTGCCCGTGCGTCTCCGAACACAGCCAATAACATCTCGGCCAGTCGTAATCGCCTGTACATCTCGAGTACTGGGTAGCAGGCATACAGCGTAATCAGCCAGGTGTGCGTGGATATTACCAGGTAGCGACCGACGCCAATGATTAAAGCAGTGTAAGGATGAGCTCCCGTGGTCCACAGTAGTTCTTTCTTTCTGCCACCATAACATCAATATCTCCATTCCACTGTCGCCAAACCACACGCCGTACTGCAATTTCCTTACACAACAACCGCAAAAAAACATGGACATGTAGCCAAGAAGCAGTAAGCGCATCAGCCATGGCGGTCCACGAGTTACCTGCGCTACTGGTCGGTAAGCTCGACAAGTCAACGCATATAAAACTGCAGAAACGGGTAAGCCTCCCCCTGGAAAATCTCGACCACCACCAGAATCTCCTCCAGGTCTCTGCGTTCCTAATACAGCTGCAGCTGAACTCCTTGTGTCCTCTAGGTTTAGGAGTTGAAGAAGGTTGCCGAATTTCCCCACTGTGACGAACTCAAAATCAACTGGGGACATGCATTTTTTCTTCTCCCTCTCAAAGGCATTCCGATCCTTTACCACAGCCAACTGCTGTCCTGCGTCCTGAAGCCAACCCTCAAGTAACTTCTCGTCGCGCTCATCTTCTCCTAATGTTGATCCTATAGCAGCTTTACTAGGTGTTGTACTTGTACTTGTCCTTGCTGGTGTCATCACAGCTGCTGCCCCTGCTACCGGTTCGAATTTACTGCTGCGCACGTCGTCGAGGCAGCGGGCACGCAAGCTGGCATTAGACCTTCCCCGGTGAATGCATCTTGAAACCAGTCCTGGGCCTAGTTTCCCTTTCGAGAGAGCCCCGGCGATGCTTCTGAAGATGGATTCCCGAAAGCCTTAATAGCAAGCAATATCTGTTCCAGCAAAGACCACTCGAAAGCGGCTTCATCATCGAAGAATATGCTGGCGCCTAAGCGTCTATTCACCATCTTTGCTCCACCTCCGTAGGTCGCCGTATTGTTTATCACTGCTAATTCGCTTTCGTTGAAATAAGCGTACTTCATACCCACACTGACACCGCGCATGAGCCGGAAAGAGATCAAAGTCACAAAATCCAACCAATGGAAACATGATTTAGCGAGGGTTAGAGGGGACGTCAAAGGTTGGGTTCTTAGAGAAGAGTCACAAAATCTAAACAATGCAAGGAAAACATCTTCGCATCCTCGCATGATTTGAGTCGTCAGAAGGATATTGATGTTTTTCGAGATTTGAGCACACACACTCAAGAAGTTCTCGTGGTCCTGGTCCTTAATGTATAAGCCAGCACTAGACGTCGACGATGTTGCTTCTGTAGTAAGAATGCCAGTCTGAACCATTACCCACAACACGCACACAAGCAGCATCCAACTACCGTTGACACCTAGAATGTCCGCTGGTATCAGTCCACCGATCGCAATAAAGCGGTTGTAAGCTGCGCGAGGTCCGTCTATGAGATGGCAGAGGATGAGGCCCATCCAGGCAGGCGGAAACTCGTAGAAGACGCCCTAGGTTTAGAAATAGAATGCTGTCTAGATCTACTTTGATCCTGTACATTTATACAATGCGATTGCTCCCGATCATAGGCAAGACGAAACACTCCTTGCGAAATATAGTTACAAAACTTTCTACCACCGCCACCATCTCCAGGAGGTCCCTGCGTTCCTAATACTTGAGTCGAACTCCTTGTGTCCTCTAATTTTAGCAGGTGAGGCGAAATCTAATTCGATCAAAAAACAGCAGCATATTAGAAGTACATAGAGTCGTAAAAATTCGATCAAAAAAAAAGTCTTAACATAAGAAAGCGCTCCATTTGAAGATGCCTTCTTGCCAGGCCTCCGCTTCGTAACGGCCAAGAAGTCTTGCTGCCTCATGCGTTTCTTCAGGACTGCTTTTCTTCCTCGAATTATAGAGTATTTCTGCGCACTCAGCGAGAGAACGAGGAAGAGAAGATGTGGAAGCGGACATGGTTTTGTTTGTTTTCTTGAGGGTTGAAGATTTAATGTTGTTGTGCTAGGTAGTAGACTTGTGGGTTGAAGATGATTGTGCTGGGGCTTTGAGTAGTAAATCTAGACTCTTAGTTGATATTGTAGAGAAAATTGTTGTTAGTGGCTCTTACTAAAGTCGGCTGTGTCAGCCTGGTAAATTCAAAAAAAATAGTACTAAGAATGACGTCCTTGTGACCTCCACGAATCGCTTTCGTCTCTCTCTCTGACCGACGATGATGAAACTAGATCTGCGTTTTGTCAACTTTTTAGGAGCTGGAACAAGCATAATCAATTCCATAAAACGGAACCTCCTGGACGGTTCCGACAACCATCAGAATAGATCAGTGAGTAGGTCATATGTGCCCTTGCAAATTCTCCACACGAGCCACTACGCCGAAGGCATGAAAGTCGTATATGCAGTTATTCTCCACTTGATAAAATTTTGCAATACAATGGGTGACTCTTTGCTGGGTTTAAGTGGGTGAGTCTAGTGAGGCCTAGGGATTCGGGTTTCGTATATTTGGAAATGCCATGGTACTGTGTATGGAAAGTGAGCGCTTCACGGTTCCTTCATACTCGACAATGAATGTAAAAGGTTTAAGAAAATGTTTGATCAATTCATTGCTTCGGGTTTTTTAGTGCTGCAATGAGAGGGTAAAAATGAGAGAGGAGGGTACTACAGCTCGCTCCTAGTAGAGGGAGAAAACGAGACTCAACGACGAGGCGATCCACCAATATCTTCATCTTCTCAGACTCCAGGACAACTAGATAGCCAAGCTATTCTTCTCAGCGTAGTCCAAGCCAGCTTGAATCTCCTCCATCAGGACTGGTGTCAATTCCGCCAAACGTGTCTTCTCATGATCGTTCAGGTCGCCGATGCTTTGTACTGGGTCTTAGAGAGCTGCTCGGAAAATTCACCTTATCGGTATTACGATGCACAGTCTCCTCTACCTAGGTACACCTCGAAAAGCAAAGTAGAAAATCCACAAACAATCAATTTCAATCTAACCAAAAAAAAACTCTCCTTAATCCTCGACGCCGCCTTTTCCGAAGGTTACCTTGCTCGCGAAGTACGGAAGCCCATCAACAACCGAGGATTTGGTGTAGGCGCACTCCGTCTGTGGGGAGCCGGTCGAGATTAGAGGATGTAGTTTTTCATCAAAATCATTCTGACCTCAGGCACGCGCCATAAGAAAGTAAAAAATGTGTTCCGCATAACAACGATTTGACGATCGCAACTCCCAACCGCGCACCCGCGTAGGCCATGGAGAGCGTCGCCGAGCCCTTGCCATTCTTCGCCTCGACTACAACCGTACCCGCATTCTAGTTAGAACCACTTCTACGCATCCATCTTGAAGAGCATCTTTCCAGTGCTTCGTTTCTATAAAGAGCATCTTTCCAGTGCTTCGTTTCCCCTATAGAAACAAGAAAATGGCTATGGCACCAAGACGTTCTGTTCCGTCAGATGGATAATTTCTTGCGGCCATAATCTGCACCTTCTCATCCATAGCCGGAACGTCTCCAGCGGCAATCTTCGCACCAGATGCGCTCTGCGAAAACAAAGGCAAAATGGTCTTGCCTGCATGACCGCCAATCACCGGAATGTCGATGCTTTTTAGAAGAAGATAGAGAGCTTCCACCAAGAATATCTTGCGGACTAAGGCGAGACGGCTTCTAGTAGAGGCGCAAACCCACGGACAGTCCTAGGACTTTCCGTTGCTTCTAACAAGATATCCTAGAATTTGAACAAACCAATCTTAAATCTTTCACATCGTCACCAGTTGCTTCAGCGACAAACTTATTTGCGCGGACGATATCAAGCGTGGTGACTCCAACAATCTTTTTCGGGCTCAAACCAGCCTTTTCCCAGAGGGCAGTCATGGCAGGAACCTGGTTCAGTGGCTCTTAAAACTGCCTAAGTGAAGATGATGGAGAGAGGACACTACAGAGAGAGAGCAATGATCTCGTGATCCTTCATAAACAGAGAATGTAGGTATAACCAAAAAGCAATTGTGAATTCAAAGCAAAGAATGAATGCATGCTATTGTCCCTGTTGCCACCGTTCACGGTGACCGTAGAGACGTGGTCTGACAGTATTTCTGTGATACTGGCAGCTCTGGACAAAGCTTGAGGTAAGCGAAAGTGCAGGGAGCTACTTCTACTAGAGCAAGTACCACACTGTTAACCGGGTTCACGATGAGTGCGACGACGGCTTCCGGACAGTATTTGGCACAGGCCTCCACCAGTCCTTTCGCGATATCCGCGTTGACACTGAGTAAGTCGGCACGTGTCATACCAGGCTTACGTGGCATGCCTGCTGGAATCATCACGAGCTGGCAGCCCGTGAGGCACTCTTGCAGATTTAGCGTCAGCGTTTATTCCTCTCGGCCCCCTCATCTCGACCCTTGTTCCCTCGTAGGAGCCATGAAAAGAATACAAGGGAAGCAACAGGGTATCGAGATGCTGAGAAAGATGGATAAAAGCTAACCTTAAAAGATGGTCCACAGGTTTCTGCCCCACTTCCATGACGTAGCCTTTCACCTTACAGGGCCTCTCGACATGAGACAAATCGGCGGCCACTCCTTCAGCCGGAACCATTGCTACGTTTAGGTCGAATATACACAGTTCCGAAACCAGAGGCTCCATGGCAAGAAGCAAAGACATCGGCTGTCCGATGCCACCAGCACCTCCGCAGACGCAAACCTTCACCATCTTGTCGTGTCTATCTACTATGGTGAGCACCGTCTTATTTACTATGATGTAAAAAGTAGTTTCAGTTTCTTTTGTGACCACACCTAGCGATACTTATTGTTATGGAGAAAGTTTTTGTGGTATCGTTAGTTTGTTCTTTAACATGGTGTAGCACCTCTTGTGTAGCTATACGAGAAGAACTTGTTGTGATACAGAAGATAATTGTCCTGTTAGATTCATTAACTACAGTTTCATCGTCTCTTCTATGCATGAATGTTATCGCTCTTGTTCTTCGAAACTCTCTGTCTCTCAATCTTCTCTGTCTGTGTGAAGATGAGAATACTCAAGTGCTTCCTTTCCGTATGGAGCGCCACATCCACGAAGTGAACACTGATCCCTGTAAACCTCACAACTGACGGAAGTCATCATCTTTATCGAATCCCTATACTCCCAGAATGGGTACAATGCTAGCGCTACTCTCAAAGCCACAGTCATGATATGATGGAAAAGCCACGACGCGTCACTGGTGCGGAATGAGGGATGCTTGGTGGAGATAATCATCTTGGATCCCATCCTCAACCTTTTGTGCATCCTCTGTCTTTGTTGCATTCTTAACCCTTATCCTCAAACTTTTGACTTTGTGCAGCCTCAACAATGCTTAGGAAGATGGATATACACCAAGGTGGACGCGTTGGATCTAGTATGTTGAGCTAGTTCGTTACCCTCATGGTGGACACGGACAGAGTAAGAAACAAGCTAGCTCTATTTTTGTCTGTTCTTCCTTGTGTAGACTCATATCTGGTATGCGAAGAGAGCAAGGATGTTGAAGGCGCATTATTATAGTCATAATATAGTTTAGAAGCTTCAAAAAAAATGGTTGGATACAAGTCGGAGCACAAAATAAATGCTCCGCCTCCACGTGCCCTAGGGTATTGTCAATGGTCATGGTGCTCTGGTTGCCATCATCCTCCTTGTTCTCAGCTACGCTTACAGGTACTAGTCTTTCGCTATCACTGTTTGTGTGTAGTTTCCCCTCTTGGGCGTTTCCCTCTTAGTAAATTCTCCTTTGGTAAGTCAACAGCTCTAGTAGATTCCTCCATCCACTGAACATAGGAGTTCACATGGGACGAAAGTGAAAAACTAGCATCAACTTGTCATTTGCTGCACGCACCTTCAACGTGTATTCCACAGTCCCTGCATCCTTCTTCGGATTTGTTTTCCCAATTAGGGCGAACCTAAAGGTTTCCTCTGTGAAGTTCGCTTCATCCAATTGATGAACACCCGATGACAGATCTCCTGCAGGAGCTTCGTTCCCTTCTTGTTCATTCTCCTCATTGTGCGAAGAAGAAGCAGTACTCTTCCTAAGAACAAGTGGATACTTCGCGCGCCAGAGGATCCACAAATCTAAGTCCCCGCTGAGATTCTTTGACCCGGGAAGGGAAAGCTCAATCAGCGGCACGACTTTATTCATGTAGTTCGGATCCACTTGAAGATGGGACCTCTCTGCTTCTCCTCCAGGAGGACTACCGTCTCGTCGGCGGATAATGTGATCCAGTTTGGGAACGAAAGCATGGCAGAAGTCCAGAATTGCCGAATGAAAATCCTCTTTGTGTTCGTCCGCGATGAACAGCCACCCATCAAACCCAGGATGTTGCTGACCTAGTACTTCAACAAACGAGGAGATGCCCGCCTTCGTGAGCAAGCGTTTAAGAGCCGACTGCATGTAGTCCGCCGCAAGCGGAATGATTCTCGAGTGCAGCACATCTGGAACACTTCGGTTCAACTTCGAAAGCAAATCTTTCTGTTCTCCGTTTTTATCCTTGGCCAAGAAAGCAAAGCTGGTACCAAAGGGCGGAAGACGGGTGCGATCAGTGGCCGGAGTGACCTCACGAGCAGGGGCGCGCACCGAAGAAGACCCCGTACCTGATGACGATGAGGTGCTGCCGAAGGCGCCAACACTCCCATCTCGCACGCACCAAACAGCCCAAGAGACGTCCGTCATCACGGCCAGGACGGCGGCCACAAGAGAAGTGACAAACCAAACCATTTTTGTACCTTCTTGTAAGAGCTGACCACACAGCTGATAATTCGTTGTAGACGTAGAGATGAGCTTCTAAAGTACTAAAAAGCAGCAACAACAACAACAAAAACAAGCTGTGTCTACTTATAATAAGACTTCTTTTTTCCTTTGAAACACTCAATAACAATCAATGGCTAAAAAAATGAATCCAGTGGTCGCAAAGGCAAAGCAGCTTCTTCCAACTCGCGACTTTAGTCGCTCCTAGAAATTGGAACTTCGAAGCAGTACGTCGACAACTAGGAAAGAAAGGGACCTCTGTATTGCTGCATAGTCTTGGGGATTCATGACAGGATCACGTTGTCGTTGACTCCGATTGCCGCAGTATGTCACATTGTCACGCCCCTGAAGATATGGTCGCTTTCTTTGTCATCCTACTGTCTACACGCACGATAGATTAAATTCAAATTCTGGCACCACCGTAGAGACAAACATGGCAGCCAACTTCGACGCATCTACTTCAACGAAAGATGCTGCGAGAGAATTATAATGGATCCTCAACACGAAACAGACGCCTTTTCCGAGTGCATCCTCAGCCTTCGGTACATTCTCAATCTTTTGACCTAGACCATAAGACAGAACAACCCACAAAAATCACTGTCTTGATGAATAATCTGCATCTTGATCAAAAATTAACATCTTGACCACTATAAGGCAAAAAAGAAACAAAATCAAGGACATAAAAGATAAGATAAAAAGAAAAAGAAGAGAAGGAAGAAAAAAGGCCCAGATCTGCNACTGCTTCAGGATCTTATACACGGACTAACTCCGGGTCTTCTCTTGTGGAAGCATGAGAAGGATGCTGCATTGCGATTACTTGAATTTCAATTAGATATCTGCGAGATCGTCTTGCGTGGAAGCACCAAAAAAGATCGCAGCTGAGATTACTGCAAGATCTGCTTCCGTGGAAGCACGGCAAAGATTCTAGACTGCTACAAGATCAGTTTTGACTATGGAAGCACGACAGCGATGCGCTACTGAAGACCAAAGATCGAAACAAGCCGGAAAAGATCTTCTGCTTTAGGAGGTTAGGAGCAGGACCAAGATCCAAATTTTTCTCCAAGAGCTAGATTCTTGGCAAGACGCTAATTTTTTGGCGTCAAGACGCTAATTTTTTAGCGTCTACTGTCTTGTGTTGAAGATTGTCTAAACCTTGACCTGGTCGCGCATCCTCAACAACCCTTACGATGATGAATATGGATCAAGGACACGGACAAAGTCAGCAACAAACTGAGCAGCTCTATTTTTGGCTGCTCTTCCTTGTGCAGATTCATTTGTGATGAGCAAAGAGAACAAGCTTGCTGAAGCTGAACCACAAACAAATAAAGTAGTGTTGATGAACCGAGGAAGACCAAACTAACAAACAAATACAAAGTAAAAAGATCAAAGTAGCAATAAACTACGCTTATCTATTAGCTTCGAATAATGATGATGATGAGGGACTGCTACTAGGGGGAAGTTAACAAAGAAGAATTCGAAGAATCCCCCCTGCTTTTGTTCGAAAAACGAGCACACTAAGCTCGGTATATTCGTTCTTCACATCTAAGACGATCGCACTAACGCCTACTTGAGTACAACACTGAAGATTATTCAGTAGTAAGCGCCACTTGAGGAACAAGGCACTGAAGATTAATATTGGTAGAGGTAGTATTACTATAAGCACAGTAAATGCTGCACCTCCACGACTTGCTCTAGGTCTAGGGTAAGAGTAAACAGATTACGCACGCTCGCCAACTGAGCATTTCTGGCTTATGGTTGCGTAGTGTTTCTTAGTGGATCGCTGATTCGTAGACCCTCATGGTGCTCTGGTAAGTCCTTCGTCCCGCTCGTTGGGCACATGAGAGCAATCCACGGGGTTCATCTTGAAGGCACCCTCACGCGTGGCGACTAAAACTTTCTTAGCCCGGTTCCATTGATTCGGGAGAAGCGAATCCAGCAGCTTGGTCTGAGATTCATCCTCCGGTGCATACACCAAAAGCGCGTATCTCACAATCTCCGGATCGTCCTCTGGATCTCTCGTCACGAACAACTCAAACCCGAAGATTTCCATCGCCTCGCCGTCGTCCTTATGCGCCGGTTTGTTCATAGTTTCAAATTGAAGAGCCGATCCATCGTCTGCAGGACCCTTCCGCCCGAGATCAAGGTGAGAAGAAGCACTCTTCTTCCTACGGAGCGGGTACTTCGCGCTCCATTCGATATGCAATATTTTGAGCCTGTCGCCGCCAATCTCGGAATGCCCGCGAACATCGATCGAGTACTTCACCAGCACGCTATCTTTATTAACGTAATTCGACACCCTGTCGCCATCCACTTCCTGCGACCTCCATGCTTCTCGTCCACCGGGGCCCTTCCTTGACAAAATCCGATCCAGAGCGGGAACGTAAGCGAAACTTAACGCCAGTCAATCACTAGTTATCGAAAGTGGTTGAGTGAAGGCTTCTTGATGCAGTTTGCCCCCTGGAGGTTTCCTCCCTTCCGAAATCTTCACACAAGGGAATGGAAGACCTCTGCCATTGAATTCCACTCAGGACAGGCTACACGAAACAGTGATTAGTGATTGACTAGCCATAATTGGCAAAACTCCACTATTGCCGGAGAGAAATCCCTCCCCAATGACCAGCCACCTCGCCCCCGATCCTCTCCGGATAATGACCTACTACGCCAACCGCTGTCCCAGAGGCAGACTAGTCCTTCTTCATCGGGGCTCGCGAGGAGGACGTCGGTCTTCATGAGCAAGCAGTCAATAGCCGGCTGCACTATCGGAATGATTCTCGAGTGCAGCACATCTGGAACACTCCGGTCCAACTTCGAAAGCAGATCGTTGTGTCGTTCTCCGGTTTTATCCCTCGCCATGAAGGCAAAGGTGGGACCAAAAGGCGGAAGACTGCCTGGATGATCTTGCGATGTACTCGTCTCACAGGCCTCGCTATTAACCGTGGAGGAGGACGACGATGTGAACGAGGCGGTTGTGGATGGCATCATAGACCGAACAGCGGCCAAGAAGGAAGTAGTCAGAAACCAAACCATTGTATCTTCTTCTAAAAGCTGACCACACAAATGACAATTACATCCACAGGTAGAGTTAGAGAGCTTCTTCTAAACTATTTAAGTATCACGAAGCGTCAAGTTGAAGTTCTATCTATTACTTAGTTAGTGTCTGTGATTTGAATACTTAAGTATTCAAACATGAATCACTCCTGGATGCAGAATGGGAATATTCAAGGGATACGGCGACCACTGGGAATGTACAGAATCATGATGTTTCTTTTTGAATTGTCCTCGGAGTTTCTGGCGTCATCATCACGCTAGCAATCATGATGTTTTTTTTTGAATTGTCTGCGGAGTTTCTAGCGTCATCATCAGGTCAGCAATCATGATGTTTTTTTTGAAATTTTATTCGGAGTTTCTAGCGTCATCATCAGGTCAGCAATCATGATGTTTTTTTTGAAATTTTATTCGGAGTTTCTAGCATCATCATCACCTCACTCACAGCCACACTTCACTTTCGTTCTTCAGCATGGTTGCAGAATTTCAACTCCTCCTCATATCATTTCAAGAAGATCTGTCTTTTCTTACCACCATTCATCCCAATCCCTTTCATCTAAGTAAGTAGATAAGAACTTGCTCCGGAGGTGCTGCTCTGTTTATCGCTTTTCGTCGTCACGATGCTGATGTATGTAAATGGACATGTCCGAGTTGTCCTATATATATGTATGTATGTATGTATGTATGTATGTATGTATGTATGTATGTATGTATGTAAGGCGACATGAATTTGCTCAGTGTATGTCATGTGATGATGTACGTAAATGAAGATGTCCGGGTTGTGCTGTATATATCTAAATGAAGATGTCACAATGATGATGTAAAAAAAGCCTATACTTAGACATATGCGTATTAGATGAAAAAAGTGTCCTTAACACATGCGTTCTTTGTTTTTTCACGACATTGCGTGCACTTGTCCGCAAAGACACCTGTTAGATGCTAGACTCTACCACTAAGCGACCTCAAATTATGAAGAAAATTTCACCTCCTCTAGGGCAACTCTATCTATTCAAGATAAGAAAACCACTACATTATTGAAATCTACGTGATCTTTTTGAGTGAATTATCTGTATGTATAGTTGAATTATAAATATAATGCGAAGTCACTGTATGCTATTATTATCGTATTATATGTGGAGGGCCCTCACGCTAGGCAACTCCGGACAGGTACTACTCGAGGAGCTAGCGGCGATGCCACCGGCGTATCGGGCTACCGAGTTCTACGGCCAATCTCTACACAGATTGCGCCTGTCTTGTAGATTCTCAGCATCTTCGCGCCGCCGGCGAGCACACAAATATACTCGGAGTAGGCATGTGGCAACGCGGCGGGTTTATCTCAAGAGCACCCATGGTCACTGTATAATATGTATATGTTATACGCATATAATGAGATGACTTACATAGGACTTTTCAAAGTCCGTATTTCTACGGGGTAAAAATGTAGTGAGGACTTCCATCAAGTCTCCGTGGCTGCTGCAGCACGTTTCGCGAAGAGGTACCTTCTAAGTCTTGTCCGTGTAGTTGTGGGCGCACACAATTCGTAGTCCAGTTGTATATGGTCAACTTGTGTCTACGGATAACTGTTATCCACTATATGATCTCCGACGGCGTCGGCTAACCTCCCCCAGCAGGGCCTTGAGCGTCTCTGGACCTAAGCCTTCACAAAGAGTTTGCACAGACCAACCGATTTGCGGCCGGGCTGTGCGAGACTGAGAACGAAGCTGGTACCTAGGGAAGCCAATGTAACATTAGAAGAGAAAAGTGACGGGCCGGAGACGAAGAAAGCATGGACTACCTGAATCGTCATGGACTACCTGAATCATCAAACTCTAGTAATAGACTGGACCACTTAGACTAACTCCGACTCCGACTCGTCCAACTCCGACGTCGTCGGCTACCACTACAGAGTGGCGAATACAGGCTCTCCCAGGAGTACACTGCCCGCATCACCACCAGAATGGCGCCACGCATCGGCATCTTTTCCAGGCGGTTTTTCATCCCACCAACTACGGTCCAAACAACGACAGTGGCACGCGGCATCCGGTAACCCTTTGTAGCAGGGTGCACAACAACGGCAACAGCAACAGCATTGGCACCGGCAGAGTAGGCAATGCACCCAAACGGCATCGGCGCATGAATAGCCACACGCCATGGACGCGAGGTCCATGCTGAGCAGAACCACCACCAGCAAAGCGGCAGCTAGCATGACTATAATGAGCGACAATTTCGTAGGTCCGATACGATATTCTAAAGAGTAGTTGTGGTCTGCAATCGAACTAGACGGGTAGAACGCGTCGCCCACGTTATTCCAAGCCGTCTACGAGAAAAGCCGCTCACTCCAATCATCCGTCCGCATTGTGCTGCGAGCTTCTCCAAATCCCCGTGGTCGCCTTTCGTGCGTTTCACTACCTCCTTTACGGGCCCCCGTTTGTCTTTTCGTTTCGCCCGCATGGCACTCTTCAGTTGCTCACAAGGGTGGTTTTCCTCTGCATTGATAAGCGCCCAATCTCGAATCCACTCCCCATAATCGTCGAACCGCGTCATCGTCCCGCAGATGCGGGGATTCAGTTCCAGAATGACCGGCTGGTCCAAGTTGCCGCTGCGATACTTGAGGTCGAAACAACCGATGCCGCGGTAGTCCAGTTTTACCAGAATTTTCTGCAGTTTGCGGGCCAACGCGGGGTCGGTATCAATCCGCGCAGACGACACGTAGCCGCCGTGATGCGCAATCACATCATCTTGAGCCCCGGAGACTGCCACCTCCCGGACCTGCCTCATCTTCAAATATGGCGCGGCTTCGTTGCCCGCGTCGAACACGAAGTGGAAGGAGTCCTCGCCGGGCGATGAAATGAACTCCATGGCCAAAAACTGGACCTCCGGGTGTGCTTCAAGGTGCTGGATCGCCTCTGCCAGTGAATTGACTTTTCTATACTATAAAAGCGGCCCACCCGGGCTGACCGACGGTTTCGGCATCCAGGGGGCCTCGGGAGAGGCCGGCAGTAGTGCCCTCTGGGCGCTCCTCCGCAGCGCCTCACCTTGGCCCGTTTTCGTTTTGTCTTCGTCTTCTTCCTCGGTAAGAGCACCACCCGGCAGCAACTTCGGGTCCTTGGAATCACGAAACTCTAGCAACATTTGAACCGAACACTTGCCCCCGCGCATGCTCACCATATCCTGGATTTCGGGGTCCGCGGTGAAATCCGTGAAAATCTTTTCCATCATTTCTCTTTTGTTCACGACTTCGCTCCAGCGCTCCGCGGTATTCAAATTCTCGTTCATGCGTGGGGCCAGGAGTTGCTTCTCCTCCAGTGAGGCCAGCCTAGCACCGTGACTTTCGTATGTGCCCATGATAACCTTGAAGATCCGGGGGTCCGCACGGATTTGTGCATTTACGGCGTCGATATCCGCGTAACCAGCACTCACCGGCTTCACCATATGCACATTTGCGGCGCGCAGTTTTTCGGCGGCGCCCGCGAGCCACGCCTTCTCAAAAAACCAACCATCCGAGAGAATGTATAAATTCACACGGGCGTCGTCGTATCGCGTGTACACGGCCGCATGCATATAGCTCCAAAACCACGTCAAAAAAGCCATCAGAGCAATCAGCAACAAGAGAGCGACACAAACCACGTCCTGCCTCCGAAGCACCGTATCGCGAGACCATTTGTGGCAGGAGTTGCACTTCCTGTCGCTCCCACCTTCACCTTCCCTCCTGCTGGTCGCGCTGCCCTTATCCACTACTGTCTCACGCTTTCTAACTCTCACTAGCGCTTCCCTGTCGGGAGGAGCGTGGCTCTCATTGCCAGAGCCTTCTCCCGGTTCATGTGCTTCATCTTTCATTTGTGTCCTCATGATCTCTAACGCGCTGTTTCTTGCACGTGGTAGTTATAATTTCTTCATTTACCTTGTGTTGAGAATGCTACTACGAAAATCAAGGGCCTATACGCATACAATTGTTTAAGAGCCAATTTGTTAAAACAGAGCGCGGGTAACTCAATACACGGTAGACCCGAGTGCGTGTCAATATAATTACAAACCCCAAATCTAGGACGAAATAGAGAAAAAAGCAGGTGGATGACCTTAGACTATCATAATTTAAAATAATCAGGTAGACCTTAAACAAAAAAGGGTTTACTTCTCTAGAACAACAGAAGACTCCTTTTCACTTCTCCATCAGGCGAGACTTAAAATAAGTAACTTAATCAGTAGCTCGAATGGAGGCAAGCAAATTGCTGAACCAAAGAATCTTGCTTCCTTTCTGGTGTGAATAAACCCCAAAAAACCACACGAACAAGGATCCATAAGCAAATATCACTCAAAAAGAAAAACTTACTTAGACTTAGAAGTTAAACCTAATATAATATTGGTTACAGTTGAAGGCGATCGATTTTGATGCAATTCTAGTCTTCTCAATCAAATTCTTCTTGATCGTTTGTTTTCCAGACCGATAGATTATACTCACCGCCCGAAGGGATCTGGCTGTGATCTGCCAGTCGTATGATCAAGAACCGATATGTCCTCCTCCCACAGGTGGACAAACACTCACACCACGTCTCTTTCGCCCATATTAATACACTTCGTCAATTGTTGTAAATCATCATCATTGACGAGTCTATCACTGGCTAGCACACAGCGTTGATAGGACTGTCAACCTTCCACGTCGCTCAGCTGGGCTTCTTTGATACCAGGAATTACGAGATGTAGTGGGGTCCGCGTAAGACTGCGTAGCTTCAAAGATGATGGTCAACTTGCATCAAAATTTGTTTCAATGCTCTTCATATGGTCCTCCCTGTTGTTGGAGCGACAAGGGAAACATATTAAGTTTCTATATAAGAAAGATCTATAGTTCTTCAAAAACAAAAACAAAAAATGAATTGAAGAATTGCAGATACAGGCACAGTGATATTTTCAGGACCACCGCACCTACAACTGCACACACAGAAACTAGCTGAAACTACTAGTATAGTTGCGGGTTATAAAGGGATCTAGTGGCATTTTAGGGAGTGAAAATTCTAGTGGCATTGCAGATACAGGCACAGTGCACCACAACTGCAGGGGGAGATTCAGGACTACTTGTAGTGTGCAGTTGTAGGTGCGGTGGTCCTGAATCTCCGCCTACAACTGCACTATTGTGGCAGCATATCGTCCACTAGTAGAGTACCTACCGTTCTTGTATCTACTGCTGCAAACGGAACCTCAACGGTTCACTCCGTTCCAAAATATTGACCACTCAATATGCAAAAATACAAAAACACACATACAATAGAAATTGATAGCACGCTTCCACGCTTCATATTCAAGTTCCTCAAAGATATTGATATTTTTCAAAAACCTACACATGAATGTCAGTGACTGCATCTTCCCCCACAGAAGGAGAAACCATCTGCTGTGAAGCTTGCTGCTCTTTCGTACCATCCTTGGCCTGCTGTTTCCTCGGCGGCAGCTTTCGTTCGTGCCACAGCGTTGCTAGATGGGTGCACAACTTCCACGTCCCTTCGTATGCCAGACAGGTCTTCACAGCCTCAAATTTGTCCTCCTCATTCTGGTGAAGGAGAAAGTACCACACAGTAAACATCCCACCGCTCGTATCGAAGACTGGAATGCCGTAGGTGTGGCTGGTATAATTTCCATCCGGACAGACCCAGTCGTCCATGCCAAAAGAGCCGATAAGGAAACCGGTGCGACGGAGGTTAGAAGCAGAACATGACAGGAGAGGAAAATCCGGTGCTTCCTTCTGCTTGTAGTTGTTGAAAGTGTATAAAAAATTAATTGAGAAGATTTACTTGAAATTGTCCCACATCACATGCAGACATATTTCTGAATGATATCTTATGATAAATAAGTACTTACCCTCACGAACAAGATTCTCTCCAAACAAGAAAAAAAACTCATAACAGCAACAGGTCCTGGCATGTAATTGTTCACAGCCGGATGCGCGCAATGCTCATGGCCCATGATAAATGTGACTCGCTGCTCTTCATGGAACTTCTTACAACTCGCTATCTCCTTCACCAGTGTCGCAGCAATGTTCTGTGCGTCCATGCCCTTAGCAGACCCCGACTGGTCCTTGTTCCAGTGCGAAACGACCATCAGCAAGTCCACAGTTTGCTCTGCCCATAAACTGTCGCAAGCCTCCGTGAAGTCAGCTTTCATAGAGTCATAGTCGTAAACAGAACTGTAGCCAATAAATCCGGTGTTGCCAATCTGCTGAGGGATTAGAGGTCACAAGAACTGAAGGAACAAGACGAACTGATTCAAAAAGTCGGATGTACTACTACAAGTAAAAGAATTATAGTTATCATGGAATGAATGAAGACTTACTAAACTTCTAGGAGGACAAGAGACAGCACAAACCCATAATCAAAGAGATCCCTGAATCAAAGAGATCCCTGAGAGATCCATTCGAAGGTTGAGTTAATGAAATCAATCCACTAGGATGAGTCGCAGTAAAGATAGCGGTAGTCCCCTGCCATAAATAGAAGAACGTGTTCTCCTTTTTCGTGTAGAGACATTCGTTCGGTTTGCCTGCAGACGGATCTATGCTGAGGTCGTACGGTGGAGACGACGCAGAGCCAGGAAGCTGATCTTTTGCGCTTTTCATATCCATACCATAGTATTGCGCAAATCCGTTAGCACATTGGTCCTCCGGAACCGCGCGCACTGGTGCACCCTGCACCCAATAATCATGGTTGCCAGCGACGGTGAGAAACCTATTATTTGTATTTTGGAATATAATAGAAGAGCTCTGTCCTCTTGCTGAAAAGCAGAAGGAAAATCTTCACAATGGAAACACTACACGAACGATCATTCAACAAAAGAATTATGAAGCAAAATACATCTTCTCTTTCGTCTTCAACGGAATCCGATCATAGATTTCTTGCGTGACTGTGCCATCTCGGTCGTAAAAGTTGTCTCCGATCCAACCCCAGTAATGCGTGTTCGGATCTTGACCAACAAAAAGGTCTACAATTGTCGGCAAAGTACGTTCGAGGTCCCACCGCTTGCCTTCCATACAGCCTACCAACTGCACAACTCCGGGAGTTCCGACGCATGGGTCACCCATCAAAACGCCAGAGACAGGTTGGCCTTGTTTTGGTAGAGTGATGGAGATCTTGTGTTGTTTGGCATCGACAACATGAAAGTTGAAGTCCGTTGGTTTTCCTGCTTCGACATTCTTGAGAGTGGTATGAAGTGAAAACTGCGTCCACACCCACTTGAAAGGTGCGCTGTAGTCGAAGAATGACGATGATGAAGCTGTTGCTCCTGTAGTTGTTGTAGATGGATCATCCTTGTTGACCTTGGCAAGAGCATCTTGTTCTGCATAATTGTTCCTCTTCGCATGATTCTTCGTGATCACAGATATCCTCACAGTCTCGTAGGGTTTCGAACCATAGCCCTTCGTCACCCGCAGGTCGACGTGATCTTCGTCTGATGGTGGTTGAACAGGCTGTTGTTGTTCTCGATGTGAGGACCTCGAGGACGTCTTCCCTCCGCCTCTTGTAACTGGTGCTCCTGTTACCTGCCTCCACACAGCAGACACTGCACTCTCCAGAGGCTGTAGTAATCCACTTGGCCAAGGAATGTAAGCGGCGATGCCGCCAGGAGAGGCTCGTCCATCATACCGTTCTGCTGGCCTACAGTATCTCGCGAGACACGTTTGAGGATCGAAGAATTCGGGTTCTGAGGCAACGTTCGTCCTCCCAAATCGGTCCACGTCACCTGTTGCACGCAAATCGACACAGTTCGCGCAGAGTAAGGACTCTGGATGGACGTGGGCGACTACTGCAAATAAGTTGTTGTTCCTCTGCACAAGAAGAATCCCGCATTGTAGTAGCCGGCGATGAAGATTGGATGACATGTTGATGTAGCTGGAGGATATTTCTTGCCGATATAGATTGCTCATAAACCACAGAAATTACTAAGTTGTAGAAGAGGTACTCGTAGAGTTATGTAAGGAATGCCAAATTCAGACAGAAAGTCAACAAGGATGTCCATGTCGCAGTGTGAATGCTACTTTTTCTAGATTCTTTAGCTACATGATTTTGTACTCACGTCAAGTCTTCAACATTAAGTCTTTTCGATCAATGACTTGTCCGAGGACTCAATTTCAACTTATGGATAACACGCATTTTCCATATTTCAAAACACGAAAATAGGGGTGTCTGGAAAAAAAATCGTAACTCGCCTGACAGATCATGTTATGCGGAAATTCAGGAGTCGAGACTGGTGGATGCTATGGGGATGACGCACGCTCGCTTCAAATTTCTGCTCACATCTCCTCTTTCAGCACCAACTCGGTTTCAAACAATGAGTAAACGACAAACTGTGAAACGTTTTCGTCTACCTCTTGAAGAACGAACACAACACGAAATACAAAATATCTGCAAAGCACAACTTCTCCATCAGGCTCTGAAGATACTTCTGGCTCGTATAATCTGCCATAAAAGAGTCTTCTAACTATGGCTACTCGTATATTGGATAGGAGATGCTGTGGATTTGGGATTGATGCTCTATTCTCGTCTCAGATCACGGTTGTAAACTAGGGTTGTCTTGATGACTTTTTCAGATTGAGTCGTAATACGGGAAAGTCAACGTCTCCGCATTTTGCGGTAGAAGTCACGATCCAATTCACCCTCAGACGCATCTTCGGACACCTCATCGATACTGTCTAGAGGTCTAAAGCGTTTAGGATTGTTCACCAGTACTCCTCCGCCACCTCCGACTGATTGCCCAGCAGCTCCAGTCAAGCCTCCTCCACCATGATTTCCAGTCAAGCCTCCCACACTATTGCCTGGCACTGCAACATAGCCAGCCGATTGCGCCGTTAGGAGGCCTGTAGAAGCACCCATGTCATCTCCTGGGGAATCGAGGACTGCGCGATCGTCGTCAAATTCAGAGTCAAACGAAGCTCCTGCGTTGCCTAGACCACGATTGAGACCAGATCCTCCAGAGTTCTGGCTCAAAAAACCACCACTACCAGAAAATGATCCGGAGTCGTTCCCTCCCTGCCCACTACCAAGCAACTGTGCTCTCACTTCTGAGTTGTAATGCTGCGCTGCTTTCCCCTCTTTGATGCTCCAATCTGTTCTGTCCCCTGGTTGGCCAAGCCATCTTGGCTGCTCGAGGTCGCGCCAAAGACTACGCCTTGCTTGAGAAGCCGAAGCGAAGCCTCCACCATCGAGTAGGGGTGCTGGAAAGCGTCTCGCTTGTCTCAAATTCTGAGATCGAGCAGCGTAACGAGCTGCGATGCTGGAGGCCATGTAGTAGTTTTTCTTACTATACTGTGGCTCCTTATTTGAGGCCAATGAAGAACCAGTAGTTGTAGCACCAGTGCTAGGAGCTCCGACAGTAGGAGCTCCGACATCAGAAGATCCACCTTGATGTTCAACATTCGCTGTTTCAGCATCACTTCCCGAAGATGCTGGGCAACCTTGCTGGTCTCCACCAGATGAGTCCTCTGCAGCATTCTTGGTCTTGTTTTTCATGTACATCCTTGCCGCGGCCGTCGCATTTTGCAGAAATGACAGTGATCCCCGCATGTCGCTGAAGTGTTTGTCGAAAAGTTTTCTCTGCTGCTCGTTCCTTTCTCGCAAGTAGGCATTGATGTTCTCGTCAAAGACGTACTTGTAGAGAGCGATGACGCGATTCTGCCTTTGCTCACCGTCCATCTGCATGGCATCGAGGTTGACGCCAGCAGTAGATTTCTCAGCCAGCACGACAACTCGCATCACACGGTGTTTCTCGTCTTTAACTTCGGAAGATGAAGAACTGTCACTATCAGAGAGATCATCTCCTGCTGCGCCGAGACGCGAAGGTGCTGTAGTAGTAGTTTAGTTGTGCATGATTAGAATCATATTGGAGACTTTAAGTACTTTTGGTGTGTGTGATATGTTAAAAATCGAAAATTTATTATTTCTGCCTGGATGAACATCAATCGTTAACAATATGAGTCATCGAACTTCTTTGTACCTTCATGCATCTGCGGAAGGACCGTTGGGGCCATCACAGGGTTTAGGAGATCGCGTATGTCATCGGCAGCGGACGTCGTTCTTCCTCTGTAGTTGAACATAATATCATCATCATCATCAGAATCGTCGTCCTCTGCTTTCTTAGACGGCGGTTGCGCCACCTTGGACGAAGCACCAGAAGCACCAGTGCCAGCACTAACTTGCGCTTGCAGCTTGTTGACAAACAGATCGTTCTTTTTAGAAGTACTAGAAGCACCATTTCCGCCCTTGTTATTGTTCCCGCCTCCACCGCTGACCAATGATGCATCTCCTGCCAAGTCGCCTCCTGGTTCCTCCTCAGAACTCGTACTCACAATGAGATTCGTAGTAGTAATCTTAGTATTTGATGTCTCACCTTGTTTAGTAGAGGTCTCCAACAACCCGGCACCTGCACCTCCTGGCTTCTTCTGAACAACCGCATTTGCTGCGTTAGAAATCCCTACACGGACGCCGTCACCGGAGTCTATCTCTTCCACGCCCTCGTCCAACAATTCGTCCATGAACTCATCGTGGATGGCGGCTTCATCTTCTGTCGACGCCCCATCATCTGAGAACTCTTCGTCCGACGCCGCGAAAAGGCCCGCTCCATGCTTATGCGCTAGTACAGCGCGCAACTCAGCTTGCACACGCTTCGTAGACTCTGTGAGGTAGTCTTTTTGAAGAGCAGTACTAGCAGAGGAGGTAGCTGTAGTGGTATAATTAGCAGGTTTCGGAGGTTTTTTTGCCCCCCCACCTCGCGCTCCTCCAACAACAGATGACAAATCTGCAATCACTTCCTCCTCTTGTTCAAGGTGAACGTCATCCATCGGGAAATGATCAGCTTTTTTACTCCGTAGTCGTTCTTGACCCCTTGCACAGGCTTGCTTCAGCTGCTGCACGCCGTGGAGCCAGTACCAGCGATTCAAGCACTCTTCGTACATCACGCGTTTCTGCGGACCGGCAATATCACGCCTCTGCCTTGTCGCAAGCTCTCTCTGCAATCGCACTGCTTCTTTCTGGGCTGGGGTAAAGCCCCGCATCTTCATGTACATATCCAGCAACTCACTTGCATCCTTGTTCGCTACTAGTCTTGGCTGATTCTTCACCTCTATGAAGTACCGCACCAAAGCCTGCCTATCCAGCCTCTTCCCGCCAATCAACGCTGAGCACAGAGTTTCGTTGTCCTGTTGCAGTTTCTCGACTTTCTGAAAACCGTTTAGCCGCCCTCGACGATCTACTCGGAAAGACCACTTTTCTGGCGCATCGATGGCCAATTGATAGTCAGCTGCCTGGACCCAGGGACACTGTAACATATTCTCGACGATGAAAACAGCGGGTGGCACCAACCGCCACGCATTACCACCGGAACTGGCAAGGAGTTGAGCAGTAGTGGTGGAAACTTTGGAAACTTTTCCTGCTCCGGCAAAACCTCTTGTAGAAGAAGTTCCATCTTCTCCTAATGCAGACAAAGCCAAAGGCGCATCTGTAGGTGGCACGAGACCTTCTGCACTCACGGCTACACGTCGAATATAATAGTCCTCTAGAATTTCCATCGCCTGTAACGCGCGACGCAACCTTTCATCGAAGCCGCTCATTCTCATAGTAGTCAAAAACGCGACCCCGCGACGCACGAGGTAGGGATTAGAGATAGAGATCCTTCACGTGTAATAGATGCATAGTGGTTTCTTTTCGTCTGAAACCATGGATCTTGGTTGGAGGAATTCGTAAAACCCATATCTCTCGAGTACAATCAAGGGAGTTCAAGATGATTCATGTACTTTCGTAGGTACTAGACACAAGAGGGTAGCTGCTTAGACATCTTCATTCCCATTATGAAGACAACAAGAATGAAACTTATGTCATAATAAAAACTGCATCTACGCAGGCTTGGCGCGCACACGCAGCTTCTGCGTTGACGTGAAATTTGGTTTCCCAATCTTGCAATGTGAGATTGCTTTCAAAAGCGAGCACCATCGCTGAAGTCAACAAAGGCTCCACATCAGCGCCAAAGGCCGCGCGCGACCACGCGACCATGCTACTTCGGGTCTGCTCGTCCGTTGTGCTGTGTGCGGAGGTGACCTTCCCAATAATATTGAACTCCTCCAATCTAGTCATCACTCGTCGAGCGGCTTGGGCGATGCTATTGCTGTGCGTTTTCGCGACGTCCGCTGGTCGTGCGACGGCGCTCACAGGCTCCAAAGCCTGATCTTGGTGCAGATACAGTCGTCGTAGTGGTTGCAGAAACAATTGCGGCTGCACTTTGACGAGGAACTTTTTGCTGTCGCTCGCAATCTTGTATTGGTACCATGTACGGGCTTGGCGCAGCATCCGCGGATTATTCAGCACGAAACCGGGATCCAAGGCTCCTCGACCTACAATGGTCACTTCTCCGGTCAATAAATTGATCTCCTGTTGCACAATACACTCCGTTGCGGTCCCAAGCTCTACTTCACCGGTGTTGAAAAGAATCTTTGGCTGCGGCACCAAAACCTTCTTCGTCCCGGGAAACAATCCGCCTCTACTTGGGAGGACAACTACACCAGAAGAAAGTCCTGTAGTGCCACTCGTTCTTGATGTGCCACTAGTAGAAGTAGTCCCTGCTGTTGTACCGGAAGGAGCTAAACCGCTGCTAGTTGTACCGGTGCCAGTAGTACCCGGCGCAAGAGGACCTCCTCCTGCAGAAGTAGTAGTAGTACTACTACTGCCTACTACTACTCCTGCAGAAGTTTGTTCTCCTTGATCTCTACTTCTAGCATGCATTGGTTGAACGCCGAACTCAATCACTACACCCGTTCGAAACGACTCCTGATCCCGGACTATAGTGCCAACATACCGATCCCAATGTCTATCCGGAACCACGAATTCAGGCTGTGCCCTAGCTGTTTGCCAGTCTGCCTCCGCCAAGTCGATGTGACGGCCAGAGGAGGTCACGAAGGACGTTGCCCTCTTCGGGGATGGGGCTGTAGTAGAGGAGGTACTAGCAGAAGGGAGAGACGACGATGCATGTTGGCCGTGACCTCCAGAAGAACTTGATGAGCTACCTTTATTTTGTGCAGCAGTGTTATTGGCGTCTTTGAAGATACTGCCTGTTGGTGTTCGCTGTCCACCTCCTCCGGAGCGAAAAAGATTACTAGTAGAACGACCAGAACTGCTGTTTCCACCCTTTTGTGACCACACTTTCGGCACCCGCCGGATCAACAAATAGTCTCGATAAACGCCCTTCTGACCGACCGGAACCTCTTGGACCGGAGCACGAGAGACGGACGTCTGCAGTAATTTAACTTTCTGCCCCTTTGGCATTCTGACCGTTTCGCCACCTAAGACTTCGGGTAAAGGTTCACTAGCGCGAACTTTCTCTATACGGACACCGCCTGCATCGCGTTGGGACGCGGTCTGTCCGGGAGCTCCTGCACTTGAGGTTTCCACCAAAGCTTTTAAGGAATATTGCATACCACGTAAGGGCATGATTAAGGGTGTGGGAGTACTGTGCTCGACAAGCGTCGTCTCGCAGTCGGGTTGCATCAAGGAGCAGTCGCCAGCTTCCTCTGTTCGCGCAGCGCGACCAGCAACCTTGGGAGCCGCTACCGATGTCGTGCCTGGCTGGTGAGCACTGGAAGATGTTTTTGCATGAGAACCTGCTTCCTGTTCGTGGCGTACTGTTCCACCGGCCGATGACTCTTCTGTCGGCAACAAAGTATCTTCGGATCCTTTCTTTCGCGCCTCTCCCTTCATCATAGCACCAGTTGTAGAATACGAAGATGAACTTCCACCTCCACATCCAAATGCTCCTAAAATTTTCACTGGCCCTAGCCATGCGATATCGCGGTTAAACTGCCGTCTCTCCAGTGTCGGTTGCGCTGTATGTGGCAGCGTTCCTCGGCAATAACGGGCTAGCGGGTTGTGGGAGACGCGTTTTTCACCATGAATTTGGGAAGCCACCAGCTTTTCCCGAAGCCTAGCATATTCTCCACCAGGGCCTGCAGCTGCACGTCGATACCTTTGGGCCATGTCCTGACTTTCACGCGCCTCACGATCATCGTACAAACTTTTTGCGGTCGTAAAATCAAACATCGTGGCACGACGAAGCTCCTCTGCACTACCACCATTTTGTAAAAGATGTTGAACACTTCCTCCTGGTTGATGATGATGTTGTAGATGATGACTGCCTGATCTAGTGCGTTGCAAAGATAGTGGTCTAGTAGTTGTACTCCTGATGTCACGAAAGCAGTTTTCGAATAACTTCTGTTCTCCTATGTCCAAGGTCCATCGACCTTTCCTGTCTCGCGTTCCGCCCACCAACTGTTTTAGAATTCGCTGGACATCTGGCTCAGCGCTGCCCTTCTGTATAGCTGTACTACCATTCGACTGCAGATTGGTACTCGTACTCGAACTAGACGTAGCAGTAGCACTACTACTTCCCCCAGCACCAGTAGATGCCATCTTCAAACACTGGATAAAATGTCGAAATCTAGGACTCGGTGGTTCTTCCTCCTGTTCTTGGAAAAATAGGTTCTCAGTACCTAAAAACAAGTCTGGATTTCTCCAACTCTCCCTTTCTAAAAGCTCGCCTTCCACCGTCTCACCCCATAAGTCGGATGGATCGATTGTAGAGGGACTGGTGGTAGCTGCACTGTTCTTCACGTTCGACAACATCATAGGTGGTCCTTGTTGTCCTTGTGCTATTATGTCTTTGAAGAAAGACCCTGAAGATGTGCTGCCTGTTATCGCTCCTGAAGCGAGCATGCTTTTGCTATCTTCGTGGTCACCATCGATATTATTTGAAGAAGATGCTTTTCCTCTCGAAGCAGAAGAGAATGCAGCTGCGCCAGCGGTCGGACTTAGACCCGGCAAAATAAAACCAGATTCTTCATCCATTTGCATGGACATAATTCCGCGTCCCATGCTGGGTAGTCGGTCTCCAAAGTCATCAGCATGAGCTTCGTCATCAAAGCTACCTCTAGCACCTCTGGAGGCAGCTGCAGCACCTTGTTGTCCACCTTGGGATCTAGAAATCAGCCCTTTGACATATGATGTACTCCTTCGATACGCAGTTGGCGATTCGCTGCCAGAGTCGTCGTGGTCGTGATCAGAGTCATCTTCATAGTCTTCATATAATTGCTCTTCTCGAGGAGCAGGTGGTCCTCGTTGACCTTGGCCACTTCGATGGCCACCACTAGCAAGCAAGAAATTGACATCCCGACCGGGAAGTTTCGGTTGCGCTTCAAACCGAGGATCTTCACGTGCATTCCATATGGGTGAACTCACCTTCCACGTGCCCCAGTTGTTCCTAATGCGCCATGAAGGATCCTCTGGCTTTAATCTCTGAGCCCGTTCGGCTTCGGTTTCGGTAAAGACAGCCCTTCGGAGGCCCTTTTCTTCCCGCGCCAGGCCCGCCGCATTGCATGCGGCTTCTTTCACCGCAGCAACGACGTCGGGAGCTACATCGTCCAGGTCAAGAAAGAGGCCTGGTGGCACAAGCGAGTCATCCGGCTCGTCGATGCCGTCGTCGACGTCGTCCATTTTCATTGTTAGTTAATAACCAAGTAGACGGACAGGGAATAAAGGGATGATGAAATAGTTAATAGCGCGCACTACCATAGCCATCTGCTCCTGTTGTCAATTCAACATGACATTCACCATCTTCTCCCAAACCCAAACTATTTCTCCAGAATGTTAAGGATGAGTGATAAGGAATTCGAATTCAAAAGGACGCCGAAGGAGTAGGTGGAAATGACTAGGCGACATTCAACAAGAGTCATGTTTGTTACATAGGGCACCACATGGCCAAGTAGGAAGGAGGTCCTTCAGCCTCTTTGTACCTTCTGAAAAGAAGAGCAAGTAGACCGAGCGATTGACTATCAAGTATAAACGAGTAAGAACGTGAGATCAACTTAAACGATCATACCACAAGGTGGGTAAAGTGTCTGTGATCGCCAAAAATCCATGCAAATACAGGTTTCTTATTTCATGTATTGGTTTCTCTCCCAAGAGGTTGTTTTGGTTTTCTCCCATAAGATGTAAAAATTTTGAAAAACGATCATTCTTATTCTTGGCCTTCTTGTGCTCGTGTTCTTGTAACTTGGTTTTGTTTCGACAGGCAAAACTGTGCGTAATCAACATCGATCAGACGACACTTCTTCTACACACTCATCTGCAAGTGTGAGTGACATCCTAACGAGAAGTTCGTGTACCAAATTGTGAAAATCGAATGATATGGAATCGTTTGGTGAACAAAAGCAGAGAAAAAAAATCGGATAAACATGTACAAATAGCCTTGATAACATATTTACGACTCATCTACAGAGATTCTGTTGATCATGGGGAGGGAGGGAGGGTAGGTAACTACCAAGATTTAAAGTATTAACAAGAGGGGAGATAACTACCATGATTCAAAATATGATCAAAAGCTTATCATGTACAGGGGACGATAAGAAAAGAGCTCTACAAGAATTACATCTCTTCAGAATGACCGTTACCTCCATTGTAGCCACCGACAGCTACGTTCGGAGGAATTTTATCCAAAGACTTCAGTCCAGTCCCAAGACTCTCCTTCAGCCACGCAATGAGGTCATCCGCAGTTCGCGGCCCATTATACTCGGTGAACTCGAACTTCCCGTCTCCCATCTTGAAGAGGAGCAATGTCGGGTACCTAATTCGCTGCAACAAGATGTCTTTCAAATAGAAATGTAGTACTTTATTGAATGAAGTGGTACGAGTGAGTTGTTCCCCAGATGTGAGAGTATCAATTATTATCAGCCTCCGCAATCGCGTCTCGTGTTCTCGCCGCGCTTATGCTTTGCGCTATGGGAACTTGGGTTGAAAATTATGTGAAAGTACTATTTATTAGTATTGTTGCATGGAATCATAAGCCTAAAATGTGAAAGTACTATTATTGAATCAAGTGGTATGAGTGAGTTGTGATAATAATTGATACTCTCACATTGAATGAAGAGAAGCAATGCCGGGTACCTAGTTCGAAAGAGCATCATTACTTTGAGAATAAGTAAGGTTAAGGATAAGGTTTTCACTTGTTCAACATAGTAAGTACTTCCAAAAGAAAATTATAGTACCCCACAACCGGTATTTCCGATATTTCATTTGCTGTGCCATCGATTTTGGCGATCTTCAGCAGCTTCTCATTGCCAGGCACCTGCATCCGTAACGCTAGCTCTCGATAAACGGGTTGCATGCGCTTGAGTTAGAGGATGCAATTTTTCAAGTCTAGGTCGCGATGTTGCAGTAGTTGTTGATTATTCAACTTAATCTGAAACTCAATGTTGAGCAATTAAATGAGCACTTCTGGACAAGATGTGTGCAACGAGTAGTCGTTCTTTCAGCACTTTTGCAACTACGAAACGTTTGAAGATGAAGATTGTCTCCTGTGTGTCGTGTACCCAATTCTTCTTCTGCCACATCAAAAAACACGAAATGCGAGCTCCTAATCGAATAACCTAGCAGTTGCAGAACTACAAATTCAATCGAACATCTACATGATTTCATAATTTGAATGTCCGCACCAAGGGGCGTAGATGTTGATGAAAACGCTGGCTTTTCGGTTGGCGATATCATCGTAGAAAGTGGAGCCCACGACAACTGCGATAGGATCGTAGGGATCCACGTAGTTTGGGTCTGGCGCTGGCTCCGAACGGTAGTAAGGCTTCAAGCAGAGTTAGAGGTGGCTTCAAGGGGAGTTGGTAAGCTCCTGCTTGATAGTACGTTTTTACGGTAGAAAAATATAGAAGGGGGTAAGAATCAGGTAGTGTTGTAAGCACTTCAAGGAAAACTAGATTTGGAATGAAGATGCTCTGGTAAGCTGCTTGGCAGTAGTTAACATAGGAGGATATTGTCAGCAGCGAGGTGGAGACACTAGGTTCGTACTTTACGACGCTGCCAGTACAACTAGTAACAAGTTCACAGAAACGACTTCTCGCTTGAGTGATGCGGTCATCGGTTAGGTGCCGCCTGGATTCGGTGGCGCGGTCACTACTTAAGCGACGCCTCGCTTAAGTGGCGAAGTCACTACTTGACCGAAGCTGCGCCTAAGTGGTGAAGTCACCGGCTAAGCGACGCGCGGCTTAAGTGATGCAGTCACCGGTTAAGCGACGCAAGGCTCAAGTGATGTAGTCACCGGTTAAGCGACGCAAGGCTCAAGTGATGGAGTCACCCGTTAAGCGACGCAAGGCTCAAGTGATGTAGTCACCGGCTAAGCGACGCGCGGCTTAAGTGATGCAGTCACCGGTTAAGCGACGCAAGGCTCAAGTGATGTAGTCACCGGTTAAGCGACGCATCGCCGAGGCACTTAAGGGACCCCGAGACACTTCAGGGACCCCGAGACACTTCAGGGACCCTGAGGCACTTAAGGGACCCTGAGGCACTTAAGGGACTCCGAGGCACTTAAGGGACCCCGAGGCATTTAAGGGACCCTGAGGCACTTAAGGGACCCTGAGGCACTTAAGGGACCCCGAGACACTTAAGGGGCCCCGAGGCACTTAAGGGACCCCGAGGCACTTAAGGGACCCTGAGGCACTTAAGGGACCCCGATACACTTAAGGGACCCTGAGGCACTTAAGGGGCCCTGAGGCACGTAAGGGACCCTGAGGCAGTTGAGGCCACCCAAATAGCATCAATCTGAAGATGAAAATAAATCATCCAAATATCAGTAAAGTGTAGTTTCCCAGATGTTCTCAATCAGCTAGATTCTTGTTTCACATCATCATCCCAATCAAAATAAATTACTCCTGTCATCCATAAGTCTGTGCTTCGAACTGATCGATCATGGTCATCAAGTTCGGAATTGTGATGTCAGGCTCTTTATCAGGGGAACCCGACGCACTAGCAACAGGTATTTTGTACTTGATGACTGCAGTGGCGCGTGACCGCGCATTCGGATTCCTACTGATCAAACGGACGACAGGCCAATTGCGGTTGCCGTTGAGGTCGAGCATTTCGATCAGGTACTTGTAGGCCTATTTCATTCATTCATTCATTTACCTAGCACGAGGTAATTTGATCATTGTGCTTAATATTTCGGCAATAGATAGTACAAGAGTATTCGGCGGGATGAACCTTGAATTTCTTCCTTCTAATCGCAAACTCAAAGTCGTTTTCCAAAGTAAGGTTGATCACTTAATGAAAAAACAGTTTTATACCGCATCATCCGCCTTATAGGCTTTGGCTGTGATCTGTCGTCCTTTTGTTTGCTTCGCGAAGTCACGCACAATCAGTTCGGTTGAGTCTGGAGGATCGTCCGCTTTTCCGGTTCCATCCGTGATGATGTTAGAACCAGAACTGGAACTAGAAGAGCTGTACTAGACTAGAATCGAAAAAGCTGTGAACTAGAAGAGCTCCTGTAGCAGAAGAATACAACTTCTCACAAAATAAATTTGTAGCCATAATATACACTGTGACTGGCACGCTTCCCGAGACTGCACTTTGGAAGATGTCGTTAATAGTGTCCACCGTGAACCCGCTGAGCAGGCTCTGGCGGTATTTTTGCACGAATTCTATCAACTCCTTCACGTCGATATGGGATGTGTGGTCACCTGCAAGATGGAAATAAGTTATTAAGAGGAGAGAAACAGCACTACTTGATGTACTCGATAAGACGAAGTTGAAGACTTGTTGTGCAGTGATCGTCGTGAAACATATTAGTATCAGAGCAAAAAATATGTGATCAAGTTCTTAGTGAAATCACAAGCAGCTTCCACTCAATTTCAAACTACTTCTAAACATCTGCACATATGTTGTCATACTCATATGATCTAGTTCCAGAAGCAATAGTACTTGGAAAAGTGTAGACTTGGTCGTCGTGTGGCGTGAACATAGTCACTGACGGAATCTTCAATTCCAACGGTTTCTCATCGGCAGGATGCGCTTCGAGGCAGCAGCTGTACTGTAACCCTTGGTCCCAACCCGTTTTTTGATCCGTACGTTCTGCGAGGAGATTAGAAATCTATCGCGGCTAACGGACGAGAGTTGTCCTAGTTCGTTGTCCTGTTCATGTACGCGGACCTGTTGAGTAAGCATGCTCACTATCTTCTGGAGTAAGCTTTTACCAGCGACCACAACCATGTGCACTCTAGGTGAAAATAGCTGGCATATTATCTCAAGCCCCGGCAGTCATAGAAACTGGAAAACTCATACTGGAGTATTTGTCCTTATCATAATGACATGTGTTTTGTTACTACTGACCGAAAACGAGTCACCCCATTCTGCTCGCTGCGGATTTTGCGGTCCTCTGCACTGCATATCTGGTTGTGAGACTGGTACCGCCTTCACGTTACTCTTCGACGCACCAATCGAGACTACTTCGCATTTCAAGATGAGACATGAAAGGAAGAAGTTAGGGTGAAGAAGGACCCTAGGGTTGTGTGGTGATGTGGCTGAAAAATTTCGACAATTTCATGCTACTTTTTATCCAAAATGAATACTGAGCTATGTCCTGTCGGTCTTTCTCTCATGCCGTTCTATATCTTTTCAGGGTTGCAAAAAAAATCACTAGAAGATATTTCCAATCATTTACCCACATCGACCCCCATAAATGATGTTCCCGCAAGTAGTCTGCGATCTCCCTGCTCAGTGTGCTCTTTCGTGACTCCGCAAAGAGAACATTCTCAAAATGTTTGCTGGCCTCGATGAAGGTCTGCACGTTGTGCTTGTTGTCCAGTTGGGAAGGTGGGGATTAGAGTATGAAAACAAAGTCTAAAA